GAAATGTAAATTTAATACTATAACCATCAATTACTTAGGAATAGTTTATATGCCAAAAGGATTAAAGATTTAATTAAAAAAGAAAAATATAATACTTAACTAGCTTATCCTAATAAATATTAATAAAATATAGTAATTCTTAGATACAATAAAATATATTAAAAGATACTTAAAGAACTATATAGAAATAATATAACTAATTATAGAATTACTATAAAAAGATCAAGATTTTAATTAAATAAAATAACAACAGCAAGCATTTAAGAAAGTTAAGGAATTAATTAGAAAAGCATTAATTCTTATATTTTATAATCTAGAAAAACTAAATATAATTCAACTAGATACATCAAGACATATATTAGAGATTATTTTAGAATAATCAAAAAACAATAGACAATTACAACTTATTATCTTCTATTCTAGATAATTTACTACTATAAAAAAAAACTATAATATTCATAATAAAGAGCTACTTACAGTAGTTAAAATATTTAAATAATAAAAATACTACTTATAAAGAATTAAAAAAGAAATAATTATGAAAAGCAATTATTATAATCTAAAATACTTCATAATAATCAAAGAGCTTACTAGCAGACAAATTAAATAATTAAAATATCTATTAAGATTTAAGTTTTAAATTAAATATATCAAGAAAAAAGAAAATATTATTACTAATATATTAAATAAAAGAACAGATTATATAATTAAAATACAATAGCTACAAATGAATATATTAATAAAAAATAAAGATAGAATTCACTACAACAACAAAGCAATCTTAATAATAATAATTATAATAAAAAGCAAAGATTTTTATAAAAAAATAATAGAAACTACTAAGAATAATAAAATATTACAAATAATACTATATAATGATGAAGCAGTAATTAAGAATAGATTAGCTATTTAAAAAAAATCAATATTAATATTATTTTTAATAATTATAAAAGTCATTTAAATAAACCATAATTTACTAATTAAAAAACATTTTAAAATTAACCAAATAGTAGAAAAAATACAATAAATATATTATTTCCCAAAAATAAGAAAATTAGTTAAAGATTATATTAAGAAATATAATAATTACAATCATAATAAACTAATCAATTATCAACCTTATAGAAGAATATAGATTCCAGAAACACCAACAAAAATATAATAGAAGATCATAATAGATTTTATATAAGACTTACTAGAGTTAAAGAATCTTATTTTAAAAATTATATATACTAAAGTTATTATTATTATAGATAAACTTATAAAATATATTATTCTAAAGCTAACACTAAAAAGTTTAATAATATAACAATACACAATATTAATATTATAAGAAGTATTCATAATATTTAGATTATCTAGTAAAATCATATCTAATAAAGATAAGTTATTTATATTTAAATTTTAGCAGATAATTATAAAAAATTATAGAATAAAATATAATCTATTAACTATATATTATTAATAAACTAATAATTAGACTAAAAGAATGATTTAGGTAGTTAAATAATATCTAAAATATTACTTAGATTAGAATTAAGATAATTAAATAGAGTTATTATTAATTACTTAATTTATAATGAATAATACTATAAATATATTAATAGAATAAGTACTATATTTTACCAATCTAAAAAGAATTCTAAGAATAAGTTAGAAAAATATCAAATAAGAAAAAACATCTAATAAAATAAATATCTAAGTAATATATATGCAATTAATATATAGTAATTTATTAAAAGATATTAAATAAGTAAAAATAAGAATAAAGAGATATTATAATAAGAAGTACAAAGATATATTAATATTTAAAAAGAAGAAAAGAGTTTACTTTTTATAATAAATATTAGGATTAAAAAGTTTTAATATTAAAAGTATAAGACTAAATAATAAATTTAATATAATTAAATTTAGACTATTTATTATTAAAAAAAAACTTATAAATAATAATTATAAATTTTAACTACTAATAAGAATACAAATATACCTAATATTTTATATCTTATTACTAGAACTAATTATTAATCTAATAAATAAAAATAAAATAACAGATAATAAAGAATATAAAGTTAAAAAAATACTATAATATAAGTTAAAAAAAAAACATATCTACTACTTTATAAAATAAAAAAAATACAGACCTAAAGAAGATATATAAAAATCTATTAGATATTTAAATTACCCTGAGAAGATTTAGGAATAAAGATAAAAATATAATTAAAAAAGATAGAAAGATTAAAGTTAATATTAAAAATAAGATTATTATTTTATAAAATAAAAGTAGTAACTAAAAGCTTTTTAGCCTCTTATTATTTTTTTATTTATTTTATTTTTATCTCTTCTTTTATTTTTTCTAATTTTTTTAACTCTTTAATATCTTTTATATCTAATTAAATAAATTAACCAGTATATTTTTATAATAATTTTTATTATTTATTAAGATGAGTATATTTTATTAAGAAAGCTTTAATTTTAGTGTTTATTTTATTTCTATTTTTTTTTAAACATTCCTAGGTATAAAGAAGTTTTTTTTATATAAGATTAGATAAAGTTATTAAAATATATTTATAATAACTATTTTGTATATACTTATTATAATATAATAATATTTTTAATTTTATATAAATCTTATTTAGTGAGGAGTAATAGAAATAAGATAAAGATAATTTTATACTAGATTGCTTAATATATAGTATAAGATTATTCTTATTAATATTTTGCTTTAAAGATATAGTTAGCATAAAATCATAAAATTATATATTTAGAATATTTAAGAAGTTAGAATTAATTACCTACACTTTAGAAGATATAAGCTATTTATTAAATTATTAAGATATTAGCCTTTAGAGAAGAGGATTATTAGAGAATTAGAATATTATAGCTAATAGATTAGATTAATTACTATAGGACTAATATATATTAGAATAAAGGATTATTTATAAAACTTTAGGATTAAGATAATAAAGCCAGTAGAGCTATTACTATATTAATTATATTAGTTAGAACAGAGCGAGCAGAGCTATTATTATATTAGTTATAATAGAGAAAAGCTATATAAGAATGCTTATTCACTATATATTTAGTTTTCTTTTATTATCTTGAATTAACTATGATAATTTAAGTATATGATCTTCTATTAATTAGGATATTTATAGCCTTATTCTTATTTCTTTCGTCTATTGAGACCTTTCAATCTTAGAAGCCTATTAACTTCGCCTGTTAATAGCTATCCTAGCTATACTCGACGGTAATCAAACCGAAGTTTCCGACATATAGATAATATTTTTATAAGATATTCTAAATATAAGAATAAATCTAGATTAATAATAGTAAATTATTATTATATTAATATTTTCTTAAATATTAGAATATTACTTTTAAAAAAGAAAATAATTAAAGTAGATTTAAATTATTAAAATTAAATATTTTAAATTAACTACTATACTTAACTATAAAATAATTAAAACTATTTTATTATTATTTTAAGCATTAAATCAATATAAAAAAAGTAAAAAATTAATAATATAAAATACACTAAATCTATATTTAATAAAATTTTAATAAAAAAGTATAATATTAAAATAATATTTACTATTAAGAAAAAAGATAAGGCTAAAAAAAAGAAGAAAAAGAAAGAGGAAGTTAGAATAAGAGAGATAAGGATTTATATATGCTTATTATTAGCACTAATTTTAATTATTTCTTATATATTTAATCCTTTATTTAATATTTATTATCTATTTTTAATTTCTTTACTAAAAATAAGGATTTTATTATAAAACTTAAACTATTAATTTTATATACTAAACTTTATAAATCTGCAAAGTTTTAGACTTAAAGATATACTTTTATAAAGAAAAAGATAATTATAAGATAGAATCCTAGATAAAGTTAGAAATAATTTTAAAATATAATAAATATATAATCTTATCTAGCTTCCTGCTACTAATTAGACTAATAATTTAGTATATACCATCTTATAATTATAGATGGCCTTAGGTCTTCATAAAGCAGCAATTAGCTGCTGAGTATATATATATATATATATTATATATTCAAATCTATTCCTAGGCCAAAGCCGAATCCCAGCTACGTTCTTGCAACCCCCGTCACAGAGTTATTAGAACTAGGATTTAAGATATTATTATTATTATTATGAGAGTTCTCTTTTAACTAAGAGTCTTAAATTATTAAAAATTTTAATTTAATTACTATTAAGTATAATTAGAATAATTATTAATAAGCGAAATTAATAGACTTTTAAGGTTAAAAGATCTCAGTAAATAAAAGAAATAAGAATAAAACTATAAATATTTTAATTAATAAAAGATTATATACTTAAGTTATTATAGTTAATTTAAGATAATAGAAGAAAACTAAATATATAATAAATAAATATTCTTATATAGCTTTTCTTTATTATAATTAATATAATAAGGGCTCTGTTTGCTCTGTTCTGACTAATATAATTAATATAGTGATGGCTCTGCTGGCTCTATTGCTCTAACCTTAAGGCTTCACGGGTAATCCTTTGTTCCGATGTGTATTAGTCTTGTAGTGACTAACCTGATCCATTGGCTGTAACGTTCTGATTCTCTGACACACATATATAAAATATTATAAATTTATTTAGCTTAATATATAGATTGAATTTTGCTATTTTTTAAATTAGATATAACAAGTAAGATTCTGCCCTCTTAATTGCTTAAATTTTATGTATCTTCTATATAAATTAATGGCATGGTGACGCGCTCAAGTTGGTGTAAGAGAGAGATTTAGAATATTTTGACGTGCTCGGATGGAGGCGGGCCGCTCGGTGTCATGGGCCACTCGGTGTCCGATTACGTTACCCGGGAAATACGTTACATAACACCAGCCACAATCTCGGAACGTTTTAAATGGGCTGCGCAGATCTGATGGCATGGATGTTATATAATATTTTGTGATTTTTTTCTGTTTTGACAATTCACGCAGTTGAACTCACCAAATTTTCCTTAATTATGCGGGGGATCATCTACTGGACGCTGACTGCGCTGGCAATCTCCGCCGTCTACCAAAGCTTTCTGTCCAACTTCTTATTCGTAATATTGGGTATCGGCCGGGGTATGCAGACAATTGATGACTTCCCATGGACATGTACTCGGCTTCACCACCCGCTGCTAGAGGGCTGCGAGCATATGTGGCTTGATCACGATGGCCGAAAATTATACGGCGCATGTACCAGTGCGACATCCCGCGCCGGATGGAACCCCGGTGGTAACAAGTACAATCTCTCTGCGAGAGCTCGCACAGACCACGTTTCAGTGCTGGATATCGACCAGCCTGGCTCTGATGGGCTGTATGGACTGCGCCAGCTCAAAGTTAGCGGATACCAGGGGGAGCTCGACTTGCACGGGTTTGACGTGCGTAGGCTCGGGAACACGCTTCGTTTTTGGATGATTAACCACAGACCACCAATAGACGATTCAACTGGAGACTTCCTTGACCCAAAGGTATTTGGGGCGAATTCCACCATTGAGATTTTCGATCTAGACTACGCCTCCGAGACACTCAAGCATGTCAAAACCATATTCAGCAACGTCATCATTTCGCCAAATGGCCTGGCCGTGGAAGCAGACGGAGTGGGCTTTGTCATCACCAACGATCATGACGCCAAGGTCGGTGCTTTTCGGGATTTGGAAATGCTGTATGGTTCCGGCAGTCTTGCATATTGTCGATCTGATACAGGAGAGTGCCATATTGCTGCCAAAAACGGCTTTGCGTTTCCAAACGGCATCGCCAGTGATCGCAACGGGTTCTACTATGTCGCTCATTCGGTAACAGGTATAGTGACTGTACATCAGTTACAAAATGGTTCCTTGAACCGGGTGGATGAAATTCCGCTGGGGTATCCCATAGATAACCTCTCGATGGATGCGGAAGGAAGTCTTATCGCTGCTGCTATACCCGACGTGTTGGGGTTTACGAAGGCTTCAGAGGACCCATATAACCTCGTGGCGCCGGCAACTGTTCTCTCGGTTAATGGAGTAGTTAGCCAGCTGCAGAGTGGTGCAAGGCAATACGATATTGCAAAGATTGTCGAGGATAAGCACGGCACAGCACTTCCTACAATAACGGTCACACTGCACGATGTGAAGTCAAACCGGCTATTCCTTGCAGGAGGGTTTTCTCCATTCCTTGGAATTTGTGAGAAACAATAAGGCCGAAGCTGTATATAGTCAGAGACGAATCTCCTCTCTTATATTTGATAGATGTGCTAACATAATAGGACACTGTAGCAATAAGCTAACACGTATATTTGAAGTCGGTGAAGCCACACAGAGAAAACGAACCAATTATTTCCGTCCAAGCAGTCGTGATGTCGTGTCTGGCCAATAAGGCCGCAACTCCCACTTTTCGTGGGGGTTTCGGTTGGAGCAACTGGGGGATGCTGGGGAAAGCCGGGGGTGCAACCACCCGCGTAGGACGGGATGCATGCCTCCATGGCCGGATGCGGGGTTTGGGTGCTACTAAGGTACCTACCTATATTAGGATGAGAAAGTCCCGACTGCTTATGATTTCACACTTATTTGTCTCCAGAGTCTCATTCTCCTTTATATTTACTTTTCAGCAGACTAAGGCAGAAAAACTAAGGCCATTGACGCACAATGGACACCGAGGATCAAAAAAGCCTGGAAACACGGCAGGAGTTCGTGGAAAATGAAGAAGCAAGTGCCCATAGGAAGCTCCCTGAGCTCGCCGAATTGGACATGTCTGCTGAGCTCGCAGCGCTGAGTGAAGAGGAATACGAGAAGCTCAAGAAGTCGGCCATCTGGAAGCTTGATCTTCGCATCATGCCTCCTGTTGTGCTGATGTATATCCTCAACTACTTGGATCGTCAGAATATTGCCAGTGCAAAGCTGGCAAATTTAGTGGAAGATTTGAATTTGAGCAGTGTTCAATATCAAACCTGCGTCAGTCTGCTCTTCGTCGGATACAGTAAGTTGGGGTAGCGATGAATCATCAATTGACTCTATTTGATAGCATGACTGACTGTATTCTAGTCACCATGCAGATACCTTCAAACATGATTGCCAGCAAGATCAAAAACCCTGGTGCCTATATCTGCATAGCAATGGGGGTCTGGGGCGTCATCTGCTCTTGCACTGCTGCAGCTCAGAACTTTTCCGGACTGGTGGTTGCTCGATTCTTTCTCGGTGTGGTTGAAGCAGTGTTTTTCCCCGGTGTTATTTTCTACATTTCCCTTTTCTATACTCGACAGCAGATGGCACTTCGAACGGCGATCTTCTACTCAGGATCTCAGCTGGGAAATGCTATTGGACCGTTGATAGCCATTGGAATCCTACAGTTGGGTGGCAAACAAGGTATCAGCGGATGGCGTTGGCTATATATCATTGAAGGCGTGGTTACTATCTTTTTCGCTATCATTTTTGCTCTCATTTTGCCGGGTTCCCTCCAAAATATCCGCGGAATGAGCAAGCTCGAGAATGAGGCTCTGTTGTACAATTATGCTATTGATATCGGTCAACAGGATCATAAGGATGAGGCTAGCGCTACGAAAGGCTTCATGCTCGCCGCACGGGATCCGAAGACGTGGATGCTTACGGCAATTCTTTGGGCGGTAAGTCGACTCTTCTCCTGCGGGGGTGCAACGAGTAGGGTTCAGGAGGGCTGACACATACATACAAGACATACGTTGCCGCAGCTGTGGTGAATTGGTTTCCCTCATTGGTTGATACCCTGGGGTATTCTCGAAACACCACTTACGGTCTCACTGCGGTAGGTCTTAGACTTGAATTGACGGTGAAACATCCATTCCAAGACCAAAACCGACTAATTTGCGAGGCTTTTTTAGCCACCTTACCTCCTCTGTTGTGTTGCCATGCTTGCCAACGGATGGCATTCCGATAAGGTCTGCGACCATATATCAACATCGTCTCATCCGTGTCAAATTGCACTCACTGATATCCTACATACAGACAAAAGAAAGGTTCTTTCACGTCACAATTCCTCTAGCAGTTGCAGTAGTTGCCTATATCATAGCTGTCGCGTCTTTGAACACAGGCGCTCGATGTACGTTTTCTTTTTTGTCTCTTTCATGGCATCTTGGTAACAAGTTTTCTCTAAATTTTAGACTTCGCAATGATGCTCATGCCCGGGGGCTGCTATTCAGCCACGATTGTCATTCTGTCATGGGCCACTGGTACTTTGTCTCAGCCTAGCATCAAGCGCGCGTCGGCTATTGCGATTATTAATGCAGTTAGCAACACACCGAACAGTTGGTTTCCACTTTCTCATTGCTTGTTCTCTTTATGTTTGACTATCTGACTGATAATGGTGTAGTTTGGACATCCTACCTATACTTCGGCGCGCCACGTTACCTGGCTGCGTTTTTGTTGAACATGGCCATGGCCGCCTTGGCAATTGCTTTTGCATTTCTCTTATATATCTATCTTCGCAGGCAAAATGCAAAGTTGGACAGGGGCCAGGATCTAGGGAAGAATGGACCTACGGCTGCACAGCAGGCTGCTGGTTTCCGATACATCCTTTAGAGGGCGTGTTTATCTAGGTATCTACGAGGCTTGGTGATTCTACGAATTGGGTAATTAATTGTATACTCGTTTCATTTTAGGAGACAAGTTTCAGGTCGATCTGTAAAATGTATGGTGCTGAAATAGAACTTAGGTTTGAGTGATAGATGTAGGTATGTCGGTATATCACCACAATTACTAGGCAACTAGGCTTGGATGCCTTTCAAGTCATGAAGGACCCTTTTGGATAAAGTGATGAATTCTTGTATCTTTATAGCTCCTAGGAATAATATCAAATAGCATCATTGCCATTACCGAATAATGGCCGTCATACATGATTGCCGTTGATACTCACACATATTTATCTTTAGCATTGCCCATTTACACTGTTGTAATTCTCTATCAATATATATTCTTATGGCGACATTAAACTAGGTTTACCGGCATTAAGTACTCTTTCCATCGACGTTGCTTCGACCTAGCATGAATATACCGAGGGGTCGCAATAAAGATGATCAAGTACAATATCAAAGGAAGCAGCGAACAAAACAGACAATTTATGAAAATTTGCCGTGAACCATCAACTTGGCTTGCTTCTGTTTCCATATCTGGGTAGTAGGTACTGACCGCGGTAATCAAAGGATTTGGAATGAACCAATAATGCGTCTACTCTTTGCCCTAAATGGAAACGGCATGTACGAGCCAGAGATAATAGCGGTAATCTGCCGTTCATTTCTAGAGGGCCTCAGCGCTCCTATATCCATGGATCTTACGGCGGCTATCCCGTGGTCCGTTCAACCGGATCGTAAATCAAGAGATAAATTTACATTCCAACAATATCAACACAGGTAATGTGGTTATAGAAGTAACTTACGAGGAATTGTTTACTAGAAAGAAGTTAACTACCGGTTAGCAATGGTTTGCATCAATGATTTACGTAGGGGTTTCCCAGGGTTTCCCTGTCGAGTCTGTCCTCTGACCCCCTTTAAATAGCCCGTAATTTAGAGTTTTCAACGTACCTAACTTGGCCTAATTCTAGAATCCTGGCTTATAGAATATTCAGGTACGACGGTATTTGTAGGTATTTGAAGGTATTTTAAAGGTATTTGAGGTTATATCCTGCAAATCTGCTGTTAGGGTTGGGAAATCCCTACTGCTTCCGTCACGTGATAAACAACAAAATTTCAATTTTTGCTATTTTCCTCAACGTTTTTTTGATTGTCTCTATTCTTCAACTGGTGGTATATTGTTCATATTTCTTTCTGCAAAGATGAGTTTGACTCAAGATGGTGACTTGCTTTGCGCAGAGGTATTTTCTACCACATACATACACCACAGGGAAAATCTCAGATTGACAACAGACACTAACTTTCGGCAAAAAAAAAAAGAAAAAGAAAATCTCTTTACAGCTCATAAGAAACGAAATCCCTCCGTCGTGTTTTGAACGGAGTACAACCATCTCCCTCGCCTATCTCGCTCGCGATTGTGTCTATGCAGCTTCTCTCGTGTGGCTAGCCCTCAAGATTGACCTGATTCCATCTGCCCCCGTCCGCTTGTTACTATGGATAACATACGGATTCCTCCAAGGATGTGTCGGTACTGGCCTGTGGATTGTTGGCCATGAATGTGGCCATGGAGCCTTTTCCGATTCCCCTCTTCTCAATGACATCGTAGGCTGGGTGGTGCATTCCTCTCTCATGGTGCCTTACTTTTCATGGAAAATCACACATGCGCGACACCATCGCTACACAAACAACATCGAGAAAGACACGGCATTTGTTCCGGAAACCTGGAAGTCGGCAAAAATACCAGAAACATCATCATCAACCACCGCAAGCCCTATGCCGCTTGGCGGAAATCTTGCGGCCTGGGGGGAAATGATTCATGATACCCCAATCTATACGACTTTCAGCTTACTCAGACATCAGCTCCTAGGATGGCAAGCATATTTGTTATTCTATGTCACTGCAGGAAGCGACAGTATTCCTTCTTCCAGCGGCGTGGCTACCAGCAAGTCCTCTGTGCAGAGCCATTTTGATCCCTTCAGTGCTCTCTTCCGTCCCTCTCAGAGACATTTAATTGTCTTGTCAGATCTAGGTTTAATCTTGGTTGGAACAGCGCTTTATTTCTTGGGACAGTCTCTTGGTGGATTCAAGATTATGCTCCTATACGTTATTCCCTACTTATGGGTCCATCATTGGCTAGGTATGATATCTCAATGGCATTCACCGATAGAATACACCCACATTACTGACTCTTTGTTCAAGTTGCAATTACTTATCTACACCATACCCACCTTACGGTTCCGCATTTCGCTGATAGTTCCTGGTCATTTGTTGACGGCGCGCTGTCTACTGTGGATCGCAACTTTGGCTTCATCGGTCGCCACTTCTTCCACAACATCATTGACTACCATGTTGTTCATCACTTGTTCCCTAAAATTCCCTTCTACAAGGCGGAGGAGGCCACGAAGGCTATTATCCCGATCTTGGGTGCACGGTATAATCGGGATGATAGGCCGTTTTTGAGATCCCTGATTGAGACATACACTACTTGCGACTATGTGTACGATACAAAGCTCAATGGTGTCTTCCACTGGGTGAGAAAGTAGATTACTCATAAGTCATCGACATCGTATACTTCTTCTCTTGCAAATGTCCTTTGGTTTCCATCAACTTTTGTTCTGTTTCTGATGATGGCAGTGTGCTGCTTTCTCATTCAACAATTAGATTTATGCTATTATGTTCATTGCATATATTGCGATTCTGTTTAATTTTTAGAAGCCCCAAAGAACAGTATAAAGGATGAACTTTGCACGTTATTTAACAAGATGAGCCTCTCATATTCCTTTTCGAATCTCAAACTTGGAGTCTCCAGCAACCTTTGGCTAGTTTCCATTCAAGCGAGTATAGGTTCCCATGTAGCCGTTTAGGAACTTCTCCTTCTGATATGCAATAATTTTCCCAAACAAAATGACTGGATACTCCCTAGAAGCACCAAAATGAAGCCTTTACATCCGTGTTGCTGGACTACTCTCGTAGCTGTATCTGTATTAATGGTTGTGCCTCAAAGAGAGTGCATGAATAGAACACCTTCTGGATGTTAAGGTTGCTTTGAATACGTAATATCTCCCAATCTAGATATTCCTGGTGTCCTTCTTTCTATTTTCTGTTCTATAAGGTTGATCAAACCCCTTCGGGCATGTTATACATTGCTTATAATTCTGCTTTATGAACTAATTGATTCATTGTCTTCTTCTTTTGCATTTTCTTTGTGCTGAAAGCCCTAAGCACATACAGGATCATTCACTCATGGCCATAGGGCATGAAATGACAAATCTCCCTCACCATCAGTCCAGGTATAGGAGCCGTAGATTAAATAGTACATACACGATTACAAGTAACTAACTAGCCTAGAAAATACATATTTCATTCTCAGTGCTCACTATTGGCACGCACCATGCGATTCCGAGGACTACAGAAGTACATCGACTATTGATTACCAGCCAGCAACTAACTAAATTAGCACCTTCCATTCTTCCAGGAGGAGCAGAGGAGCCCAGTAATCAATATCGAAACCCATAACTTATGAACAAACCCACTTAATATTCCGTACATAGGTATCATTGGGTACCACCGTACCAGAAGGACGTTGATCCAAGTGGGTATGGGAAATCCTTCCACACGTGGCTTTTACAGGATAACTTCCTTTTCGGATTTATCAATAGCTCGAAAGCTAAGAACAGTACGGAGTAGTCAGTACAATGTTACGGTGTTAAATTCCGTGATGGTTTTAGCCCGATGAGTTTGCTCACTTCAATAAGGCTTATTTTCGGCATTGCTTCGGTATAAACTATACAACTACGTGCTTCAAGGACAGAGAGCATAGTAACAGACTAAATGGCCTGACTTCGTGCTTGGTTCGTCATTTCCTTGATTGTGAGTAAGAAGCGAATATCAAAAGAGTTAGAAAGCAGGAAACTCAAAACGACTCGGTGACAAAGGATCTATCAGTCAAGTAAATGTGCACGGCTCCGCTGCTTAATCATGTGATCTCGTAACACCTAACTTAGGCAGCCTCATGATATCAAGCTGTATCAAGAGCGATCACCGAGATGGATTCGCCTTGTGGATGCAGTTAGATTACGGAGCATGTAAATCACCGACCAAGTTGAATTGCCAGGCTTTTCAAGCCACCAAGGGCAGGTAAAGTTTAATACTTTCTGGCAATCCTAACTAATTATTAGTTAACTGTATCAAGATTTTATTGTCCCGTAGATACAGTCTATGATGGACTACATTTCCTAAAAACGAGCAACACAAATGCCGAGTTTTCTCCTGTTTTAGACAGAGCTGATATTCGTTCTACGACTCTCAAGCAACTGAATAAACTTTCAGTCAGACCCAGACCGATAAGAGCGACAGTTAGTATGGTATGGTTTGCATTGTACTCCGTAGTGCCAATGCCACGCATTGAGCCCACTTGACCACTCTTCTCTCTGGATCGGTCAGCAAGAGATGGGGCCATATGCACATGCATTACAAGCAAGGTCAAGGATGATTATGAGCCATCAGTATATATAGTATGTGTTCCATGGAATAAATGGCCCCATTGTATCAGGATATTCACCTCGATAAAGAACCGATGAGCATCTTCTCTGGATACGTACCATATAATTTGGTATTCCTGTCATTTGCCATGTGGCTTCCCACTTTTTTGACTTCCCTCGGAGCGCATCCCAAATAAACTTCATGGCTGTTGGTTTAATACAGTATTGCAATCGATATGACACTGATCAGTGAATACTTGAATATACGGAGTAGCGGGATAACTATGTAGTATGGCTGCTCGACTAGTCCACTAATCCGGCCACTCAGGTACTACTCCGCAGAGCCGGATGGGTTCGTTTACATTATCCAACCTTTACAGCGTATGTGCTAGTTAGAGAATGGGCACCAGTGAGTGGGACTGGAAGCTCTGAACTGTTAGGGAGAACGAGTTTAACTGGCTGGTGCTGATGCGAAATTACGAACAGGGGATTTTACTTTACTGGATACCGAGCTCCGTACGGCGCATGTAGCGTCGCAGCCTTGACCATGTATTCAACTGCATCAGGTTAGTTACTTTCGGCGAATTACAGCGTTCAAGCTCCACTCCACAGGCAAAATTGCCTGTAAGAGTAACTTGCTATTTCCGGGCTGAGTGGTGGATGTTGATCACAGAAAATGCACGTATTGTATTACTGGAGCGTCGCGGTAGTGTGATCGCAGGTGCGTGACTAGACAGTGGATATATAGAAATGACAATTGATCATTATTCCATAGTATAGATATATATGCCTTGTGCATGTATGTACTCCGTACGCTGCAAGTGGTATAGAGCGGAGAGAAACGGCCCGCCACGTGAACACCAAAGCCCTAGCGCGCCAATCATACTCGCTATCATCGCACGGAATATTACATCCAGACTTGACGGCCCATATTTACTAGGCGTAAATCCATCAATCCAGGGATTCTGCGCCCGGCCCCTTTTTTCTAGAACCATGGAAGCTTGAAGGATTCGAGGATCATTTCAAATGGTTTGTTTCGCGCCGTTACGTACAGAGTAACAACTACCGATCATCCCTGGTTAATTATGACTACGTACTCCGTAAATATCATGGAAATACGGGAATAAGTCGTATCATGCCACTGACCAGGTCTGTGCGCCAGCCTCCAGCTTTTGCCGTTAATAACCAGCGCGGCGGCGCGCGCCACCTGTATTTCATGGGATTTTCGGTTTATTTTACTGGTATTGGTTGGAGGGTATTGCCTACGTGGATCCTTCCAGAAGATCACGATCAACATGCCAAGCTGCGCATCCTCGTAACCACATGGCGGTGGCATCTGTAATTATTGTCCTAGACAAACTCGGACTTATACGTCATTGCGCCTACTATATATTCTCAGTACGGAGGTCAATGTATATGCATACGCTATGGGCATGCCTATATACATTCGATTAATTGTAAAAGAAAACCTGGCATCTAGTCACATAATCATCCTCTAGAGCCCCTAGATAATTACGACCACCCGAGCTACCCAGGCATAACGTACCTATTATATTTACGGACTGCATACTATACAGGCTAGTAATACCGTACCGCACAAAGTCGGACCAACGAAACTAGCGCCTCTTTACCATGTGGCAATAGATGCGCACCGCGCGCAAAGATGGATCATTTCCATAGATCCGTTCCATTTTTGTACGATTTACGGATCACAAACTTTGAACTCCGTAAACTAGTTATCTGTGTCCATTCATAATTAAGTCCAGCTCGGTACTCGGTGCTTTTGGGGGATACCTCGCTGAGACTCGAGCAAGGCGGTTTACTCCGTCTGTTGTTCTCTCGCGTGTATCGTATCAAGCCCCGATGGGGTATGGTTACTCGTAATCAATCTATTTACTCTGTAAATGTAAGACTTAAAGTTACTCAGTGTAAGCACTTGGCACTTGCATGGGATGGCGGTGGAGTGATCACCGCGGACTCCAGCCCACGCTTGGACAACTAATTATCATATTGACTGTTATTATAAGTATAAAGTACGGAGTATTGTGTGGAAATATAGCTGAGATGTACTATGCAGATCAGGAAGATGATTCGAAGAGCGCCTCCATCAACACTTGGTCTTGCGGGCTTGTACACCACCGTTATTATGAAAATCAACGTATTCAGTGATGCTGTAGCTAGGCCTAAAATGGTCTATTTAACCACGACCAGCTGCTAGTCATAGTAAGTCTAGCTTCTTTATTTGATGACCGTGCATGGAAACTAGTAACTAACTGTTCCTCCGTACGGAAGTTTACCACAGATCCTCAGGTAGGGCTAGGGTTACATTAAAACATTGAAACCTCAATATAGCCGGCTATATATTGGCTGTTCAGCTTTGTGTTGTCAGCCTCAAGATACAAATTTAATCTCTGCCAAGCCAATTATCCAAGGCTTACATACTTAGTTAAGTCTTACACGCAGAAATTACTTAGCTAGCAAGCCTACCAATCCCTCTGCATTACTCTCACAGCAAAGGCAACACAGCTAATCCGTACAGAGTAGATTTGCGGAAAACTCCGTAACGCCGGACAAATAACACCGGCGGCTTTTTAAAGCTAGCTAGACTATCTGCTAACCACTAGTTGACTAGTGATTAGTCTGGCTTAGTGTGCTATGAGAAGAAGTCAGTGCTAAGCTGTGATAGTTAGCGTCTCCAACCTCGTGGCTTTTAAACTTTGGTTAGATTCCTGTTATGGGTACACCGGAGCTGCGTATCCATACTCCATAACTACAGTACAGAGTACGTGCTATGGAGTTCCTATGTTGGTGCTGACTTCTGAGTCTTTAATAGACTTACTAGGCGAAGCAGTTGCATTAGTTAGAAGTTACTTTTTGGTTACGGAGTGCTCAGGCGGATTGAAGCGACGTCCAGAGTATGTACTTGATACTTGACTAGTGTTCGCTGGTTGATCATATTCTTATCAAGTAAAAAGACGGCTCATAAATTTAGTTTGTTCGCAGTGAGTTTGCTCACCTTCTGTAGTATATATATTGAAAATGTAAAGTTCAGGTTCATCATTAATCAATAAATTTAAATTCTGTAGCTGTAATTCAGACAAAGCCTCCCCCAACCTCACCGGACCCAAACCAAAACACCATGCAAGTAAAGCAAACTCCGGGGGTATAATCCGTACCCTATGTTTATACATATAATGTCACAGACGAAAGACAATATAATACCAGCAAAGTAGACAGGCAGTAATAATAAAATGTAGTAGTAATAAAACATATCAGAACACATTCACACATAAGCTGGCTCGTTAATTGATTATTTCTGCATTTTTTTTATTTTTCTTCTTTTTTCCCGTTTCTTTAGGTTTTAAACGAGGGCTGTTGCTGCCAGTGGTCGGCCACTGTGACAGCCTCGCTCATGACGCTTCATATTGCTGCGCACACTGAATGCCTTACCGCACCCGGCATGGGTGCATCGGAATGGCTTTTCGCCGGTATGACTGTGCGAATGGATTCGTAAACTAGATGGGCGAGAGAATGCCTTGTGACATGTGCGACACACGTAGCGCTCGTGGTTTTGCGGATATGCCGCTGCCGCAGCAGTGGAAAGCGGGAAGTAATGGTGGTGTTGCCAGCCTGCGTTGACCATTGACGAGGAAGGCGGGATATGTGAAGACGGAGTTCCGGGAGCAGAGGAACTGTGGCTGGCGTGTGTGCGATTGTAAGGTTGCTCGTCTGCGTAGTATGATTTCGGGGTGGTTATTGTCGTTGTGGTAGATGCTGTGGTGGGTGAAGGACTGGGGATGTCGCGAGGAGAAGCAAGTGAGGAGATGGAAAGCGAAGATGCTCGGTCTAATGATGACGAAGCTGGTGTCGGTAAAGATGCGGAAATAGATGGTAATGATGTGTGTGAGGGCACCATGGGAAGTGCGCTGCTGATCGACGAGGCAGAGTGTGATCTTCCACAAGGTGAGCCACGCTCTGTGAAACTGGACGAGGGTCGCATTGGCGGCGTTGGAGGAAGGAACACGCGGCTGTATTCGTTCGAATTATGGCGCTGGCGTTCTGTTGTATTGTTAGTTTTATCAGACTATCTATATGCTAGGAAGGAGGGGAGCATACTGTTTGCTGGCATACAATCCATTCCTTCCAACAGGCTCGAGATAGATGGAAGTGAGCATTTGCGTTGGTCATCTGCCGGAGGCGACAAAGGCAATTGCATGGATGTCCTTCCGCTACCATTCATAGCAGAAAAGTATGAAGTGGCGGCTGTTGTGATGGGCGAGGGTTTCTCTTGATACTCATCGAACTTGCGCACTGATCCCGACAAACTTGCAGCTGGGCTGGGTTGCGATGAGTATGAGGTGCGAGGGCGGTCGCACCACTCAGATGATACTAGACTAGCGACCTTCATGATGGCCGTTTGATCCAAAAACTGTTAGTGTCTCGTGTGACTGAGACAGGTAGACGATAACAGCAGCAAGATACTGGAATAATTAGACCAGGCAGGGATGAGATCGATCAGGTAAGCCTCGTCAGTATGCAGGAGGCACAAGTGACACAAGAAGATAGATAGATATATCAAAACAGAGATTGAAGCAGGTGGAAAGGTGGGCAGTCGGCGTGTTAATGTATGACCGGGGGGAGAAGCGCGAGGCATACAAAAAGAGTATAAAATTGGCTAACTAGATGACTAGTTAGTGGGAAGTACGGAGCAGTGACTAGTAGACTTCCAGACTAGTATCATCGACCCAAAAAAAACCGTAAATATCAATTTAACTCCCAGTCTTAGTGAGCACTAGAGGAGACAAGCCGACTTGGGGCCGGAGGCGCGCCTGAGCCCAACAGTAATCTTAGCTTATTAGCTCTTATTCTTGACCGTACGTGCTTCGTAATATTTGTGCTCTCTTACGGCGTAGTGATATTTTAGTCTGAGTGGAAATAAAAGACGTTACGATTTTAATTTTCTTGGGTTAGCCTGGGCTTTCTTACACGAAAAAAAGAATTCTGACCCGCGTAATCTAGCGATTCGGTACATGGTAGTTGCGCTGGGATGCACCCACGGTTCCCCCTCTTGCCTGGCAAGCCATAATCAGGTACATAGTACAGTAAACAATTAAAGGATAATATACGTAGTTCTAGCTACTGAATAGCATACTTTGACGCAAGTCGACATCGTGACGGGTACAACCGACAGGCTGGTAGATCATGTCTGTATCAAACGGACTAGTAATTGCGTGGTTGGTAAAAGTAAGAACTAACCAAGAATATTATTTTTTAAGCAAGTTATGGCTGGCTATTGTTAATGCTATGGATTCGGATTGGAACGTGCTTTTGTTTCTCCACAGAGAAATCTCGTGGAAGCATACGTATGTTCTCTTCTGGACAGGGGTGAGCTTTACGGTAACAAAAAAAGACGCAGGTCTGAGCCCTGAACAGGCACGAATCAGTCAACGGTCAATAGTCCCGGGTTCGCATTGCCGAAAGGAGCGTAGTAGAGAACTACTTTCGCGGCATACGTGTGCGTATGTTTATAACTACGCACTATAACTGCGTATTTAAGATTTACTTGCTTCATTTCTAAGCGAGATCAGCCGTCGGTCTCATTGGCCGCGTTAGGTTTAGCTCCATCTACTCTAGCGCTGCCCCACCGCCGCAGTTCCATGATACCGTTAGCGCCGATCTCGTCGTATTCTTACGTATTATTACCGCCCTTCGTACTGTCCTGGTTACAATTACTCCGGTGCCGTGTCCGTACGAATAATACAGGCGACCATTTGTAGGTAAGCGCGGAACGGGCTAATCATGTGTCAATCTAAAACCCTAACTCCATAGCATGCTTGACTCATGTTAATATCAACCTAACGGAGTAGTAATATACTACATCCACGGCGTAGTACTGGCAGACGCATGGAAATTCCTGCGCCAATAGAAAACGGCTAAATTATAATAAACGGGGAATAAGTATTACCCACAAACAAAGACGATCTGTTCTCAACGCATTGTTAATGCGCCCACTTCCCTAGGTGTCAGTACACTAGTACCCAGCAGTCGCACGCTAATTCCCACCGACTGTCTCAGACAGCTCATATTAAGCGATATCCCCAGTCCCGGGTTGGCTAAGACGAAACCGCGGTGATCATGATGTTAAGTTATGTATGATTAAATTATTATTATGGAGCCATTCTCTCCCATTGGAGTTTTATTCTCATTTCGCTCGGGATTTGCTCTGATTCGTCCTTGACTTTTCGTTTGGCCTATTTTTCCTACTGGCTGAGCAGTCAGTCCAATAGATCTAGGAATCAGGACCGTCCTACAGTCATTCAAACACACTGCTTAATATTATTCATTGGCAATATTCAGAACGCTCAGGGAGATCGACAGCACATCGACTGACCGCCGGTCAGCTGATATGTAATGATTCGACCAGGACAAAAAAGAAAATTCTCCGATACATGGCAGTTCTCCTGGCTACGTAGGACAAGGTGTACGTATTCCGTAGTCTTAGCAGTAGGAGGAGGCTACTAGGAGGCTGGAGCAGCGTATAAGCATCAAATGACAAACACCATAAATGCGTGGCTCTCCACATGCTCGGCTGCTAATAGTTCGCACCCCGCAGGCTCGTATGTGTAATACCGACTGCACTGCGCTGCGGTGCATACTGCAAAGGGATGAGGATCATCGGGTCTAAAAATAAGCGATTATTATATCTATAACAGACGGTGATAAGATTTCCATGACATTTCCCAGGATACATCGTCGGGGTCTTCAAGAAGACGTAAGAAAAGAAAAAAAGCAAGCATTGATCACACGTTTCCATGCTTTTCATCCCTGTCTGAGTTCAAACGCCGGTTGCTGATTGTAATTTCGTAGCGACGACACCGATCCGATCATGCTTAGTTTAACTTTTGTTTAACGTTTTTAATGCTTGGGTAGTTGCCAAAGTCAAGGCCCATACTAACGTGTGCCTTGAATGAAAGTCGATCATCATCACAAAGAATCCTTGAGAAAGGCGAGTTTTGTTACGCATAGTACAGCGTAGAAACATATTGAAGAATTACGTAGCAAGTAATATTAAAAATAAATCATGTATTGACGGTAATTTCTGTTTCCGTGCCAAAACGAGTAATCTTGCTTCGGCTTGAGCCTTGCCACACTGCCCATACGTCTCACGTAAGTTACTGTCACCGTCAGAAAGTTATTGTACCCCCGGGTCACGTGCACTCAAACTATCCGTACTATTCCGTAATCTTACCCGATGCAGGCGAGATCTGAATATGAGCAGGTATGTATGTGTGTGCACACGGAGGAAACTACAAAGAGAGTATAGTACAAATCACAAATTTGCATTTACAAGGACTGAGCATACTCAATTCCCATGCCCTTCTTACGGCGCAGTCAAGTTAAGCGATCTTAAGAAAGGGGTAGTTAAACAAAAAGAAAAAGTGCGTATGCCCGTATCCACTACTATCCACTAATCATAAAATATGACTATTCGTCGGAAGCTCTCCGGCACCGACACCGTATTCGGTAATATTTACTCGCGAGCACGCGAATCCTGTCCCAGGGCCTGTCGATCATCGTATCACCAATACCGCTCGGCGGCTCTGCACTCATGATTCCGTACGAGTACGTGAGGGACTGCAGTACACTGTCTATGCATCTCAAGGAATAAACGGGAAGTTGTCACCCGCGTCGATCAACTGACGGACGAACATAATTTATCTGAGTGAAATAAAACAAGATATCCAACAAATAAACGGGGATGATCGTCTCCAGGCTACGTATGTTTATGATGCTATTACTAAGCGCATACAAAATCCCTCGTTGACGACCTAGTACTTACTAGACGAGTATATAGTTATATGCGGAGTACTCCGTCTCTAAAAAGGTACATGTTCGGCAGTTAGCAGAGTCTAGGCATGATCAGCGCTTAACCTCAAACTCTTCTCATCTCAGGTGGTGATCATCAGTTATAGAAGAATCCTGCGGGCTTGCAGCCATTGACCGAAATACGGAGTAATTGTTCTTCTACAGTTTTCTGAGGCATACAAATTGCCATTCGCTATCAAATGTCCGTATGACATGACACGTATGTAGAGCTTCGACGGAGTAAAGTCGGACAAAGAGAACAGACCTCCTTATAGACAGGTACTTAAATTTTCCGAATGGGTTGCAAGGTAGCTAACTATGCATGCGTTATATGCCTAAGCGAACCTAACGGATCGTACCATGTCATTGAGATGAGTACGCATGCATGAATCAATCGATGGAGTACACTCCAATGGTTGCGAGTACGTACATATGTCCTACGCCGCATTCTCATACAAGGGATGCAGCACGCGTGATCGGCGTCAGGGTACAGGAAACTGAACACAAGTCACACACCATGATACAATGATACGTATAGACGGTATGGAAGGATGTACGAGCTAGTACGGCGGCCGTATTATTTTACCACATGGAGGAACGCTTTCTTGCGGGCAGATCCGCTTGCTGATCATCGTGGATGGAATGTAACCATGAAGCACGGACGCCTAGCTTTGTCGTTGGTATGCGGAAGATGCCGCTGCTCTAACCTCCGCTATCATTGATCAGCGCGGTGGTACGTGTAGCACTACGTAGACTAGCTAGTGACCTTCAACTGGCATCAGGGAGTCGAGGTTTGTCTCTTGTCGGATAGGATTAGACTGGATTATAGATATGACGAACCTCCGTGCATACATATGATATTACCTCCTCGTATATGCGCGTAGTATTGCCGTATTGACACTGACGGTACGTAGCACGCCGATCAACGGCGGCGAGAAACAGCAAGTATGGCGACTGAGCCAATCGGAGTACGCCAGCCAGCGGGGCCAGCACTCAGCCTTGGGGCTTTTTTCACGTGGCATGGGATGGGTCCTGCCGCTATTCCAAGAAGGGCTTGGTCGTATTCTGTTTATTTATGGATTGGCTTCAGCGTGACTTGGTTGGCGCTAGACCCAGGCAAGAAGTCGACTCCGGAGTCCGGACGCGAAACTAAGTTACGCGACGTTTTTAATTTGGAGATCTTCCCCGATCGGGTATGAACCCCGGCTTGCCATCAGATTCGTCTTGATTCGCTGCTGGTTACTTCGTTTCCTGTACTCCTTATACAAAGAGATTGAACATAAAAAAAAAAAGCAAGTTCGTATTCTTGTGCTACCGTGCTTCTTTCGCTTAGGTCAATACATGAGCGGAAGAGGATCTCCATGGGCAGTATTATGCAGTGCATGCACTATTATTTGACAGGACTCGAATAAGCCAATCACACGCCCGGCTCCTCGGATTGGCTGTCAATCAAGCCAATCGACAGCTTCCGACACCGCACTGGAATAGTCAGAGTCATCGATATTATTATTGACTATATGTGATTAACTATATTGAGTGAGTACTCATAGTACATGCGAATGGTTACAGATAGCATGCTACATTACATGTCATGATCTGCAGCGGGCTTGGAACATGCGCATGCGGCTGGCTAGTCAGATCCTCGACCTTGCGTCCTGTGCCACCTTAAATAGCAACCAATAACACACTTACTCCAGGTAGATGCATGGATACGTAACCAGTTCATCGGCTCTATAGCTATAATTATCATTCATATAGTATCTACATAGGGACGAAGCATGTGACATGTTCAGCTCCTGTCTATGAATGGATGACATGGGGCCATTTGTTTGGCCTCCATCAACTGCCCGGAAATCACCATCAACATGGTGAATCTATCGCCGGATCCCGACGTGAATGATAATAGATATTGCGTACACAGGTATAATATCGTAGACAGACACTCTCTTGAGAAGTCCCGTTCCTTGATTTTAGCTCAAACGTCTGTGTCTTGCATTCAGTCCTAGTCTTGGAGAGGTCTGACCACCGCGTTTTCTTTTCGTCTTCCCATAGAACATACCTAGGTACTACATACTACATACTGACGTGCGTGATAGTTGGTTGGGGGTTGATGCGATGCCGAGATGCCTCAGGGTCGATCAACCTGGATTATCTCTTGACTAGGTGGACATTTTTAGTGAGAGGCGAATATCCATTCATATTGTCATTGATGCAGTAGCAAGACTGTATGCCTGAAAGGTTCCTACTCAGTAATGGACATCGCCGACGCTCGACAAGCAGCTAATAGAATATCCATTGCATTCGTCGATTCAGCTGCATACATGGTCCGGGGAAATATCGTACGAGATGTAACGCATCAAAAACATGTTCTTCTCATGTCATATTTCCACGGAAGTAACCCCACACTTGGCTTGATAGCTGTCAATCACCGGGAGATCCATGGATCACTCGGCTGTAACACCGGTGCCAGGATCAGACCAGCCGAGCGAGCGAACGCTGCCTAGTTCATTTAATCATGACCTGCTCTTTGCGGTCAAGTGTGCCTCGTAATGTAGGCACTGATCTTACAGCATAATGACCAGGTAACTATTGCTCGGACTACAATACTGTACGGCCCCAAACAGAACTCCATCTAACAGGGATCAATACTGACCTTCTTAAAAAGTAATAGCTTGTTTAACACGCTGTCCACTGGTCCAGTCACGAACCAACGCTTGACCCAGAGTTTTGGAACATTCTGCTAAATTTATTAATACATTTTATCTTGCTAAGTTAGTGAGCAACCTAGTTACATTGCATTTATTAAAATGCCCAACAACGCCACAAGTCACCTGATCGAACCGGTACCAACAGGCTGACACCGGGATTTTTTTGGACCCAATTGGCAACAAGGAAATAAAGAAATTCTGTAATTTCCGTGCTTTAATATATTTTCATTTATTATTTCCTCCCTATAAAATATGCATGTTTACCCGGGCTGGTCTGGTCATGGGTGCATGGGTTGTCAGTGGCAACTTGTAAGACTAAGGACAGTACCGCCATAGCTCTCCACAGTCGAGTCAAGAGTCAGTCAGAGCACTGGACGCCTGATTAGCTAGTGACAGTGACAGGCAGGCAGGCCAGACTCAATCAGCACTGCACGTGGCTCAACGGCGAATGCATAGTAAAATTGAATTCCCATATGAACTGCTAACTAACTAGTTAGGTAGTTATTGTTGCAGTGTGACTCACTCCGTAGGTATCTTTGTTCAATTGGTAAGGTTTGAAGGAATGCATGAGGCAACAGAATATTAATTTGAGGGACTGCGATCTCGGTCTATGCAGTGCACTTGTTTGATATCTTATTAATATCTTATTAATTCAGCGGTTGGCAATTACATTGGTTTGACATGTCACTAGATGACTCCCGAATTGGACATATCTCCTCCCCCGCACCAGACTATCGCGCCATAGCACATAGAAGTCACCATGCACAGGCCCATCAACTGCCTATCCCTAGAATTTGCCGTCTTTGTAACGCTTATCTGTATAATAGGAAAAGATTCATCGAATCTAGTAGAACGAAGCTCAATTTCCTACTCCGAGACTCAAGAGCAATGGTACCGGCAGGGTGGTGACCTCCAAGATATTGCCGGTGTAGATGAATGTCTTCTTGGTATCCTTAGGCAAGGTTCCTGTGCTGCAACGTAAGGACTGATTGTGTTGACATTCAGATCCGACGCAAAGCTCTCCGCTGGGATGGGAAAGACAGAGTCCTCAGCGGAATGTGGCGTAAGTCTCGAGCGTTGTTGAACTCTGCCTTCAGTGCATCAAACAGTGCTGGCATTGACTCGTGCTTAGAGTGAAGTCCGACTGAAGACGATTCTCTTCCCAAAGGGGGCCCGACTTGACTGGAACATTGGAGCGATGGAACCACATTCGAGGACAGGATGGAGATCCTGTATACCGATTCAATTAGTATCGAATATTGGGACTTGGGTTTTCTTTCATGGACTTAATGAATATCAATCCATGTGGTTAACAACTTGAGAGTAAAGTCTAAACCCAAAATTTATGTCGATCGACCATGTGCAGACGTGCCGGAATCTACGACCTCAGATTAGCAATCATAGAACAGAATTCGATTAATTATTACTCACAGTCTGACCACTTCGCAATAGATTTGTCATGGATTTGTCATCGCATCGGGGCTTCATCGTCGTACTCCGTAAGAGATCTAATAAAATGCCATCAAGGGCCATTTTTTTTTTTTTTTCAGGAAAAAAAAGTAGATTCAGACCATTATGTCCTTGAAGCTGTCTTCAAGCCTTTCAGTCTTCCAAATATCTGGTTTATTACATGCATCTACCACACTGCCACTCATACACAAACGGCTTCTAGTCTACCGTCAGCGCACCAAAAGCTACAACTTTTATCATGCTTGATTCCTCTATAAACAACGGTAGTCCTCCACGGACACCCGTCTACTTTCTCAGTATTGGCGGGCCCAACTTCATGGAAGATATAGCCCATCCGGCCTATGTCAGACTAGGCGAAGTAGGACGCGAAATCACCACAAAAGTGAAGCCAAAGGCGGTCATTGTCTTTTCTGCTCATTGGCAAGACGGCCCCAGCAAGATTCAGATTAATGCTGCTGAACAGACAGATTTGATCTATGACTTCTATGGGTTTCCGCCTCACTATTATGAGTATGACTATCCGAACAGGGGGAGTCCTGAAATTGCAGAAAAGGTTATAGAAAGACTGGAAGGTACAGGTATTCAGGTAGAGAGAGTTAAACGGGGCCTTGACCATGGCGTCTGGGCGGGATTCATTGTTGGTAGGTGCCTGTGACTTATTTTTCGTAATTCTCTTTTTCTGCGTTTTATATTGATGTATTGTGCGAACAGCTTTTGATCCAAAGAAAAATCCATTGAATGTACCAATTGTGCAAGTCTCACTTCTCAATGGTGAAGACGTAGATCAACATTACCGCATGGGACAAGCTCTAGAAAAGCTGCGAGATGAAGGCATCCTGATAATCGGCGCAGGCATGGCCGTTCACAATCTCCTCGACTTCCGAGCTATGAGGATGTCTGGCGGTAGCAAGCTCATGCCGTAAGCGATTCCAAGTCATAGTTACATCTATCAGAATATTTCGTGTCAATGCTAATACAAATACTATTCAGATACACCCTTAGCTTTGACGAGGCACTGAAGGAGGCTGCTACTGCAAAACCGGCAGAACGTCAGGCAAAGCTATCAGCTCTTATAAAACGCCATGACGCCAGAAAGGCGCATCCGACCTTGGAGCATCTCCTTCCAATTTATGTCAGTGCCGGTGCTGCAGGCTCGGACGTTGGCGAACGACTGTGGACTTTTGCCGAAATGAGTTTGAATTGGGCTCAATATCGGTTTGGTGAAGTCTTAGAAGCATAGAGCGATAGATGCTTGAGTTTCTGTCATCACTCGCTAGCTCTATAGTAAGATATCTTTCAAGCCCTACCATGTGCTATATGTATTAAGATTATGAGGTATCAGCTATGCTGTGCTATATTGAAAAATCAATTATTTGAATTATGTGAGACAACGCCACACTGCGAATATTGAAGCATAGGCAAATATCCAGCATACACGATATACCACCTGTGTTTGCAGTTTCTTTCTTGGATGATCAGGATGAAAAAGCAAATTGTAATCAGCCTAGTCTCAGATTGAATCGTGACACACAATTTGCCGCTTTATGAGCGCAGAGGTCAATTGTTCTCGGCCCATCTATCAAGCATCAGACCCTGACACAGGATAAACAAGGACAAAGCTAACACACCGATGGCCACACTTGATACATCTATAAAAGATGGTGCTTCCCTCATCGGCACTCCGTAACTGTTCCTGGGTCCAGGATATCTCCTTCGATGGGCACTTGGGGTAATCCAAGCGTATGATAGGCCTCTCACCCAGTGTCTCCTTGGTGATATTCTGTGTTGTGGATGTGAGCTTGGTTCGTAGACTCGATTGGAAGTTAGTGGACGTTGAAAGTTGGCTGTAAGACATCATCTTATCTAAGAAGTTGAGAGCGTATGTTACTCTTAGCCACCTTCCCACATGGGATGAGGCCCTTAGAGGACTCGTCAAGGAGGTTTCCATAGTCGTCGCAGAATTGCACAACCATGACGAAGGGAAGTGTAGCTCTGTGAATATGAAGAGTGGTGGTCTTAATTCTGATTTTCACCTCGTGAATGATGTGAAGTCGATGCCTCGTAAGGCTACGCTAAAGTAGGATCATACGCCTGTCCGTGCCACCTTTTTTCCCTTTGTTCTTGCATATTGATGGCCTGTCACAGATCCTCAGGCTGTGGGAGCAAAATAACCTAGTAAATCGTATCCATTTCATTGTCGGAAAAAGTCTCACCCGGTACATCAAACGGACTTCGCAAGGACGGAGTCCCGATCACCCGTAAAATACGTTAACGCCGACTGTCCCTGGATGATCGCCATAAAATGCATCTATTTAGAATACGAAGCATAAATTACTAAAAGTCAAGTAGATGTGAATATGTAGCCCTTGCGGGTAACAATACAATTTTTGATCAGTAATCATGATTACTTTTTGTGTTAGCGTTGCCGTTTGGGGGCTAGGGCACAGTTACTGAAATAGGAAATAAGCTTGCATTCATGCATTTAAGAGTATAGGAGATTAAGGCTGAATTGCGTGACTGAGTAATGTCTACCTTTTTTTCTCCTGCCATTTATACTGCTACTGTCGCCCACCTCCAAGGGAAGTAGTGAGTCCAAACATCTAAACCGCACGGCAACTTCGATATGGATTCTTCAGCAAGTACCATAAACCAAATTTACCCCTTAGATGAGGAAAAGAATGGACAAGCCCCTGCTCATGATGGTGTGATCCAAGGCTTCGACAAGGAGACTGAGGCTGTAGAGAGAAACCTATCCGCAAATAATGCATCATCTGTGCCCAATGGAGGCACCATGGCATGGTTACAAGTTCTGAGTGCACATATTCTTTTCTTCAACTCATGGTAGGTTATCTGATCTAGCACAGTTTAAATTATAGATATACTCACCATTTTCTCTGCAGGGGGATTGTCAATACCTTTGGTTCTTATGAAACCTTCTACCAGATTGATTTTCTGTCATCTTCAACATCATCTGCTATAGCATGGATAGGCTCTATCCAGGCCTTTCTGTTACTATTTGTTGGCGCATGTACCGGTCCACTTTTTGATAAAGGCTATGCCATCGAATTGACCATCGGGGGCTCCCTTTTCCTCGTATTTGGTCAGATGATGCTGAGTCTCTGCAAGGAATACTGGCAGGTCCTGCTAGCCCAGGGAATTTGCATAGGTATCGGATGCGGTTTGGTCTGCGTACCCAGTACTGCCATTCTGACGCAGTATTTCAGCACAAAGATAGCAACTGCTGTCGGCATCACAGCGGCTGGTAGCAGCTTTGGTGAGCAACTTCCACATCGTCGAATCAACAACAACTTAACAATTTTCGTACGCATGTAGGTGGCATTATCTACCCAATTGTCTTCCACAGACTTCAGCCCAGCATTGGCTTCCCATGGGCCACCCGTGTCATCGGCTTTATGATGCTTGGGACTCAACTTGTTTCTCTAGCGGTCTACAAAGTCAGAAGCCTGCCAGATAAGAAGCGAGATCTTGTTGATTTTGCAGCTTTCAAAGAACCGCCGTATGCTATCTTCGTGTTTGGCATGTTTGTGGGGTTTATTGGCCTATATCAACCGTTTTTCTACATTCAAGAATTTGCTATCGAGAAGCATATCACAAATTCGAATCTGGGGTTTTATATCCTTCCAATCATGAACGCTGCAAGTGCGTTTGGCCGTGTCATTCCGGGAATTCTGTCTGATAAAGGTGAGTGCCTGCCTATTTCTACCACGCGTACGTGCAGGCCGCCCTAATATCTGGATGCTAGTTGGACCCATGAACGTCATGATCCCATGCACTTTCGTAGCCGCCCTCGCGGGTTTCTGCTTGATTGCAGTCAAAAGTCCTGCCGGCTTGATCATCCTAGCGATAGTTTACGGTTTCTTCTCCGGAACGATCGTTTCTTCATCAAGTACCGTTGTCGTCTATCTCTCGCAGAATAATAAAAGCAAGATGGGCACGAGATTGGGCCAGTTATTTGGAGTAGCTTCATTTGGGATGTTGATTGGTAAGTCAATAAATTGAGTCTCGGTATTTAGGTATTTTTTTTAATCTTCGATTCAGGGACTCCTGTCGGTGGCGTTGTTCTGGATGACTATAGCTATACAAGTCTATTTGTTTTCGCAGGTGTCTTCGTTGTCAGCGCAGGCGTATTTATCATCATTAGCAGGAAATTCTACAAGGGATTGAAGCTGATGATAAGGGCGTGATATACCGTTACTGTCCGGATGAACTACAATGGAAACTTGCTAGAGATAGATATAAATAACTCCAATTTCTAATGAAGCGAACAATGATGAAAATTGATCAAAAAAAGATGATGTAGAGTCGTCGTCCGAAAAATAAATGATCCTCTGAGGCGGGATCGAACCGCCGACATCCAGATATTTAAACTTTCCATTACAATCTGGCGCTCTTCCAACTGAGCTATCAGAGGGTTGTTGTTCCGGCGCTTGTTTAACCTGTAGTAGCAGTTGTCTAGATTCTGCCGGCGCTTGTTTAACCTGTAGTAGCAGTTGTCTAGATTCTGCCGGCTTGCCTACCACATAGCGTTAGTCCTCCCGGTGCTGACCGCTTTGTGGGCCTCGTGTATTTTAGTCCCCGAACCGATGATCGATCTATTCTGACAGCACCATCATGTAACTATAACTAACTATCCATTTACTTTCTTATATAGTAATTTACAGCTTATCATAATTCCATGACTCACGTCTGCTCAGTCAACTCTTTGTATATGGTACCAAATTCTTGAAATTTTACTTCATAGCCCTCTGATAGCTCAGTTGGAAGAGCGCCAGATTGTAATGGAAAGTTTAAATATCTGGATGTCGGCGGTTCGATCCCGCCTCAGAGGATTAGTGTTTGGTTTTTCAGTTTTTTGTTTATTTTTTTTTGTCTCCAAAATCAAATTGACTCTACATCCTTCTATACCGGTTTGTCTATTGGATACTTACAAGGTATATGACGAAAGTTTTATCAGTCAACAACTATGCGAATCACGCAAAAAGAAAAGCCATGCTTAGAACAGTGACCAAGAAATCTGTGTAATATATGTATGTGTCTATGCATCCAAGTTGAGTCGTTCCAGCAATCGGTCAAGTTTATCCAGGAGAATCCGATAATTCATAGCGTCTTGATCGAACTCGTCTTCTACAATTTGACCGTCCAGAGTTTTGATAACCGAGACGTAGTCGGTAGTTGGCACCGTGGTCGCAGCCGGCGCAGTATTGACATTCTGTTCCGAGTTGGGATGCTTATTGGTGGCCTCTAATAGATCCAGCTCCGCCATGCCATTGGTAACAACTGTCGTCTGGTCCTCCTTATTATCAGGCTGCTGCTGCTGCTGTGCGTTGTCGGGTGGAATCCAGTTTTGAGGCTCATTCTCCTCGATCATCTCCGCCAAACCCGCATCGTCGAATCGAAGTCGGAAGCGCTCGCTGAGGTAAAATCGGATGTCGTCAAGTAATTCAATCGAATCTGTTTCCTGTCTTTTCTGTATTCGCGAGGCAGACTCTTTGATTAGTTCGGCGAACTCTTCTGTGTCGACATGCTCCTCCAATCTATATGCAAGGTATCGGGCCCCGAACTCTTCTAGTCGCTGTACTCTAGTGAGCCATGCGGCTCGAATGATTTCATAGATGTCGATCTCCTCTTCCTCTTCCTCATCGCCAGCGTTTTTGTTTGCCTCAGAAGGTTTTTGGTGTCCGTTCTGTTTTGCCGGCCTGGTTTTGGATGCTTGTGCTTGGGACATATTCGCACTGCCGAGACTGCTGATAACCATCGCAGCTTTGGTCTTCAGCTTTTCGATGAACAGTAAATCCGCTGCGAAGAGGACATCCACCGCGATATCTAGAGGGAAATCAGCCTTTTCGGTATAGAAGAATCTCAGAACAATCTCAAGCACTTCCGGCGAGCAGTCGACGCTTATTATATTGAGGTGCTCTGTAAACTGCGCTTCCTTGAAGGCTGAGGAGAACATGGCATTGAAGAACTCAGACCGCATCAACATTGCGCGATGAGCGGGATATAGAACAGACTTTTGCGTGTATCCTTTACTCTCCTCTGTTGTGGCGCCTCCTCCAGTGCCCACGGGAATAGAAGTCGAAGAGCTATTGTTATTACTGTTGTGTTTTTGCGCTTCCCCAGCTACACCGACAACGCCATCCGGAAGGACCTCATCAGCTCGAAGAAGGACGTCCGCAAAGATACCATTGCTGCGGTCCCACTTAACATCGTTGGCTTTCCTCGTATCAACAACAATCTTATGGGCAAGAATATTATTCTCAAACCAGGCTTCAAACTGATCTCGTCCTCTGGCCAGCTCATCCGCTCGCCTCTGCCGCGCCAGTCGTCTATCACCGCTTTCCAAAACACTGTCTAGAAGAGTGGGGATCTCAAGATGCCTCCCAATCCGATCAACGCCCGCCACAACCTCAGACTCGGTGAACCCTGTTCCTGGCCCAGCGCGCAACTCTCGCGGAGAATCACCGAGGTAGAGGAATCTAACCGAAGCACCAAAGGCGGCTGCGGGAAGAGTATTGGGAATCTTCCATGAGTTAGCATCTGGGGAGGCAGCAAGCTTCTTCTGAAAATAAGGTGAGCGCGCTGAAAGGACGAATTTGTGGAGGAAGAGTGATTCTTCGCCGTCGGTTACGATGATGTCCCATGTTCGCGGATGGTCGCGTGTCAGTAGCGAGGATATATGTGCTGCGAAAGGCTGGAGGGGGTCGGTGGATTTTGAGTAGTCGTATTTTAGTAGTAGGTTTCGTATACGGTCGTTTAATGCATTATATAAACATCTGGTTGTGTATGTTCCGGATCAGCCACTGTCCAAACCATATTCTAGAGGCATCTGTCAGAAATACCGTTCACCTTGAAACGTATCTCGCTCACACAACGCCCCAGACTCTAAAAGAAGCTGTACAAGTTCAAAATGCCCGCATAGACTCGCCTTCAATTGACATCAGCCCGGCTTTATAGATAATATTTGACACCCATCTTTTTTATAGGCAAGAGTCGTACCAGAATAAGAGGTGTATAATCATAACTGTCGCGCGCATTGATATTGACTCCCTCCGATATCTTCTCCTGGCACGTCTTCAGGTCGCCTTTGCGACACGCATCGCACAGCTGGCGGAACCCCTCGGTGAAATCGAGCGGGTTTTCGTCCTTGAGTGCGCCTTCGTGGATTAGTTTCTTCTCATTGTGCAGACGGATTTCAAGTTGGTCTTTGCGCAGAACCTCTGAATCGGTCATGTCGGGTGAGCCTCTGATTCTGTTCTTGGTCGGAAATATATAGAGAGAGACCTTGGGAGAATTCCAAGTTATCGATAGTTTGGAGATAGGCGGGGAAATCTGACGTAGCGAACTGTTTATTAGTGAGGAACGATGACTAAGATCAGCGATAGACGTAAATATCCCCCGCCTGTCTCCATCCACTCCCTGTTCCTCACAATAGACAAAATTACTCAATTCAATTCACCGCTGTTCATTCAATATCATACAGAAAAAGCAGAAATGCCAGTACCACGCTGCTTCATAGTCCGCCACGGTGAGACCGAGTGGTCCCTCAACGGCCGACACACCGGCATCAGCGACATCCCGTTGACAGCGAATGGCGAGAAGAGAGTGACAGCCACAGGCAAGGCGCTTGTAGGTGACGATCGACTGATTGCGCCAAAGAGGCTGGATCATGTGTAAGCCATTCTTTGTCTCTGTGGATGAAAACCACTCTTCTAATTCATGTGTATGTACACTAGTTATGTATCGCCCCGAAAACGAGCCCAACGCACCTTCGAACTACTACAGATCGGATGCATGCAGAGGCTGCCATGGAAGGAACACGGAGATGAAGCCGAAACCAATAACCAGCCCATCGCAACTCAGGCAAATATCGATATTACAGAGGCCATTCGCGAATGGGACTATGGCGACTATGAGGGCTTGACAAGCGCGCAGATCAAAGAGCTGAGAGCACAGCAAGGGCTGGGACATTGGGACATTTGGAGAGATGGGTGCCCGGGGGGAGAGTGAGTATTCTCTTTTTCCTTTACTCAGGAATAGTTCTTGTTTCGCCTATCGGAAGAGTTCTGCTCGGTGTCTAACATACAAGCAAAGATCCCCAGAAGACGTCTGCCGCCGCCTCGACGCGTTTATCGCTGATATTCGAGCTAAGCACCACAAAGCCTGCTTCGAAAACGTTAAGGACGATAGCAAAAAGGGCGATGTTCTGGTCGTGGCTCACGGCCATATTCTAAGAGCCTTTGCGATGCGCTGGACAGGAAAACCGCTGACAGAAACGGCACTCATTCTCGAGGCTGGCGGTGTTGGAACATTGAGGTAAGATATGCCTTTCATTTCCATCATGTCGATATACTTGCTAACGGTATTCGAACCAGTTATGAGCATCACAGCATCGAAGAACCGGCTATTATTCTCGGTGGTGCTTTTGTCGTCGAGGATTAAGCACATTTAATTTCTCGTATCTCCTGGCTGAACACGCTTGTATATATTCGTTTTCCTGCGCATTGTCGATTAGAATCCACCATAGACTTTTTCTTGCTGTCTGTCTTGTCCGCACAAATACAGTCAACTCCACAATTGCAAGAATCACTCATTCTTAATTTCCCTTTCCATCTCCCTTGCGGAATTGGTCTGGGCATTTCCCTGCACCCCCTCCTCGCCCAAAACCTTGGCCGCACCCATAAACAAGCCGCCCACATACCCGCCCAAGAACCGCATGTCGCCTGCCTGCACGGCCGTCATGCGCACCAAGTTTTCCGTATCAGCCAGATGGGCATTGAGTTGAGCCAGTTGTGAATGTAGGTGTGCATATTGTCTGGATTTTGTGGCGGACATTACTGCGGCGGTGGTAGTGGACGATGGCGGTAGGGTGGATTGGCGATTGTAATAGCCTTGATGGGATTCGGTGCGGCGGTGGTTGCCGGTCGAGTAGGAGGAAGGAGGTGCCATGTTGTGCATTGCCCTTCTTTTTGGTTTTTGGGGGCTTGTCAGAATTGTGGAGAATATGAGGTTCGAGGTTCGTGGATGTTATCTTTTGCGGGCAAGGTCTTGTTTGTTTATGAGTACGGTAGATCACGTGATTACACTGCACAGTATCAGCAATCAACTTCCTAACATATGTCGTGCTGATAGCATTCCTTTCATCTCTGAAAACACTCCATTCTCCCATCCTATACTCCGCTGGAGCTCTTGCCACCATCCTACCCCTACCTCCCATAATCAAGTTTCCTGGACGATAACCAAGATCGTTCTTCATCCGATGCACCGCGGAGACGTACCTCAGCACCGACAGGAACATTCCGTGAAGCACCGTGATGAAGTAGCCACCTCTTAAACTTCCATGCGTTGTCTTTCTGTAGAACCATCCGGCCCAGCGGCAAATACTCCATCACGCGCCAGGCAAGAACGGATGTGAAAGACAGTCCTGGACCGAATTGTAGACGGGCATCGTGCCCGAGGAGAAATGAGGATCCAAGTATGACGAGTTCTCGTTATTATTTTCATTCTCATGCTCGATCCTGTTTGATGCGGGTTTGAAATTCGATGATTCCGTGGGATCATTCGCGTAGCGCCCATACCTGTTCAGCTTGGAGCTGTCAAATATCAAACCCGCCTTCTGGGCTTCAACCACACCATCCAAAACAGAGGCGCATGGCTGAGTGGGCCATCTTCGTCTTCGCCAACTTTGTGTGTCCGCCTCCAATATCTGAATGTCCTCCTGGGAACCATACCTCCTGAACATCTAGGTTTGCTTCATCGTCATCATCGTCACTGACGCTTCCGAGGCTAGGCAGAGGATAAAGGGATAAATCATATATGCTGCTACATGCAAAGATGGATAACCTTTCTTGACTTTCCAATTCTGCTCTATTTTCCTTGAAGATTTCGCGGCTAGGTCCAGGCAGCACTGGAGATGGGCTATCTGAACTACTACTACTACTACTACTACTACTACTACTACTACTAGTAGTAGTAGTAGTAGTAGGGATTCTTTCTTCATCCACTGTGGGATTGTTCAAGATCATTGATGGCGTCGTCTCACTGTTATTTTGATTTCCCTTTTTGAGGCCAAGTGGTACCACACGCCCTGTGCGCAGATAGCTAGAACGATAGGGGGGAAGAGGGAGGGCAGAGGATGGATTTGCCTTGATCCTCTCGGTTTCGATCAAGCATTCGAACAATCCTTACAATATTAGTCTCACTTCCATCGGCATGGAACGTGCCATCAAAGAACAGAATAAGCTTGCATTCAGGAGGTGAGGATTCTGGAGTTTCCATCGCGTTACGAGGTCGGCAAAGAAATGAATGTTTTAGTCCATGCTTGGGGAAACTCTGCAACCAGTGATTATAGGTGCAGCGTACTATATAACACGACGACTCGACAAACGCAATTATAGACAGCGGCACGTTGACAACGATCTTCCACTGCCTGCATTTTAGTTGATCAGTAGCAGTCATCTACGTGTCTAGCTGCCACTAGACAGAGATCAGTATGTTATATGATGCATCGAGCTTTACCTAGGTATCTGGATAATCATATGTGGTGAAAGAATTGCTCTATACCTTTCACACGTGTCCAATCTGGCCTGATTCTCGGCCCTGACACGACGCCCCTGTGCTCTACTGCAATCTCTGATGCAAGGGAGACCTCGTCTGGTAGTGCTGCAATTACCATCGGGTCTGTTGACGAGACTTTCTGGAATCCATTATTTTATTCGTGGAGAAGCGGTGTCTTCTCATCCATGTTGAATGACTGTTTCGTCCAGGAAAGAAAGGAGGAGAAGATCAGTATAGTATGCAATTGCAGATCTTCTAACAAAAGAGAATAGAATGGGAAAGGCACGGCTACAATATACTACATTACTAAGTATTGATCTAGAAATGGCCTTGCAATGTGCAATACGAAGGTGTGTGTGGCTATGCTGGGCGTTCGATAACACCAAGAGAGACATCTTCAAGATTATCTAGTAAATAGTTGATAGATATAGGAAAACTATCATTTGGGAGTTATATAATGAAGATTTAATAAGTATCAACCCAAACGGATCGATGCGCATTTATCCTATTTAACTGATAGTGTATCCCCCTCATGTCTAACGCCATGAATCCTCGAACCTTTTTAAGAGCAAATAGAAATAAGAGCCAGCCGACTATCGCCGGCTGGCTGTCAACAATATAACATGAATTTGATGTATCAATGAACAAAGCCCCCAGAGGCGACTGCAGCATCGAAAGGGAGAGAGGGTGGTGAGAATCGTCGTATACTGAGTGGACAAGGGATGATGCGCCGGGGATGCAGTATACAAACTGTCATATAATAAACAACAAGAACAAAGAGAACAACGCAGTCATGGTGATGATAGTGTAGACAATATAACATGATAATATGATTAGGATCAGCTTCCCATCGCTGACCTTATAATGATAAAGAGAAATGTCCGTCCGCGAAAGAGAATGTGAAAGTGCATATCGTTGACTGAAGCAGTCAAAAAAAAAAAGGTGAAAAGGGAAAAAAAGACCATTAATTCCTTCTTTCTACCCTCTTATACCACAAACCAAAAAGAAAAGGAAAGAGAAAGATGTATACACTAAGTTTACAACTTAGTGTCCCAATTATTCGTGTGTATTTGCAAGGCAATCATTATAGAGAATATCGTGTGTATCAAGAGTAGGTGCGGTGAATCGAAGTAAAACAATCCCGAACATAACCCAGATTATTTGTATTGTTGCTGCCTGTTGGATACAACGAAGACAATGCTGCGGAGAAACCGATGTCTATAAAGATAATCACGATGACGTTGCAAACTCGGCGAGTTTTCTATGTTTAGCGGACAGGCATGGGCATCGGGTGTCCGAGACTAATCTGGCTGCTGTGAGCGGAATTTTCTGAATCAATATTGGCGCTCGCTCCGCTATCACCACTCCCCGCGCTGGCGCTCGCACTACCAGTCAGACTTCGTACATTTGGAGAATTCTTGACCGGATACGAATTGCTCACCCCAAGATGTTGTTCCACTTGTTGCGCTGCCATCGTGTTTCCATGTCCCGGAGGGTATCTGGGAACTGGTGCCCGCATGTTCGGCGGGGAAGGACGATTATGTGGTGGTGGCGGCGGCATCATACCATTCGGTGGTCCATAAGAATGATGATCGCCAGTGGTGGGCCTCGGCATGGGACGCCCATTAGGAGCGAAGGCGGCCGGTGATCCGCTTGTCCGCCTGCTGGGAGGGTAAGGCCCCGGGCCAAAGTCACCCATACGACTTGCATTGCTTAATGAATTGGCTCTGGAATCAATATGCAACTCTTTGCGGTCGACGTTGCCATATCTGTTGGATGAATAAGCCATCAATGGGTCGTCCAGCAACGATGAATGAGTCATAGGTATGTCTTGGATGATTCGAGAGCTTGTACTCTTCCGTCCAGGACCATGACCACCAAAGAACCGATTGAATGATGACGAGGGCCTGGATGAAGGCCCGGACATTTCAGGATTGCGCCGCAATTGACCAACACTAGGAGCTTTCCTGGTCCGGCGAGAGGTGACGCTCATCATATCAAGGTTATCAAGATCGATTCCAGGAGGCGGGCGGAAATCCATTGGATCCACATAATCATCTTCGTCTTCTTCATCAAATGCCGGCTGTGGAGGCGGAGCCCCACGACTACGAGGACCTGGGCCGCGCCTCATGTTCATCTCTCGCTCCCGAAGTTGGAGCTCTCGCTGTCGAAGAGCAAGCTCGCGCTCTCGTAAAGCAATGTTTCCCCCATTAGGCATGTTATCCATGTTTCCGTTTGGAAGCCCATCGGATGGCATATCATCATAGACGACAAGATGACTAAACTCTTCCAATCCAGTCTCGTCGAAAGACGACGGGTCGCGAGGCATCCGAGGCGGTCCGGCTTGTGAGCTTGGTGGCCTCAGCATCGGGCCACCTGGTGGCGGCCCTCTCCTCTGGTGGGGTGGTGGCATCATGTTGGACGATGTTCTGCTGCCGCGCATTCCGTTCATTATAGGTTTCTGGATCGGAGGAACAGAAGCTGTTCTTGGTGGAGGTTGAGAGGTAATTACAGGTGGCGGGGGATCAGAATTGGGAGATTTAGTCTGGTTGACTATATTGGCGTGATGTAGCATGGCGTAGAGGGTCTCTATACGGGGCAGGCTGACACTGCTTTCCATTGCTAGGCGTACGGGGGATCCAAGATAGGTTTCCACTTCCATTGGGCGGCGAGCGAGAAAGTCCTGGTACATGGTACTCTGCGCGTCGGATGAGGCAATCATTTTCTCGACAACTTTGCTTCGGTAATCGGGGCCGAATGAGCAGTCGTGTGTTGAAGCCAATTTGATAAGTTCATCGATCACATCGTTTACAAGTTGTCGCACACCGACTTTCTCTAACAGTTGAGAATGATTAGGGGTGTTGAAAAGGACGCTGGCTGGGTGAAACGCGATGGGCCTGAGACAGAGTTAGATGTGTTTCATGACGAAAAATGAGGAGAATCTTACCCAATCATCCGGTCGAATTGCTCCTGTCTGATGTTTGGCGAGACTTTACAATCCACCTGACCCGAGGTCAAAGTCATGGCCAGGGCAGATGCCATATCATTCTGAATGCCAACAGGGATAGACGGGTTCCGGCTGGCGGGACCAACCCACATTTCCGATGATCCTTCATGCTCAAAGTCACTCATGCCGGTTTGTGAGATATTGACGTTTGAAACGAGTGACAAGATGACATTCGTTGGGAAGCGTTGTTCTAAATGTGATTCTATACCCAGAGTATTTGTAGTGTTGATCAGGATGCATGTATGTTGAGGGGTGACGACGGACTCGATGACGGATCCAAGGTCATATATATCTGGCAGGGCCTTGACGCAGAGAACAACGTAGTCGTAAGCGGCCTCTCGTGTCGCGGCTTCTTCAGGTGTCCGCACGACTATTTAGATTCAAGTCAGTCTCTTATCTTTCGTGTATATATATATAGTGCAGTCCATCGTGATTATGACTCACCATGTCGAGGCTTGAAACGCTCGTTCCCAAACGCCTTTGATCTATTTGATGACAGTGCGTCAGCCTTCCGTCCCAGATTCATTAGCAGGCAGCGAAGAATAAATACCGGAAAGAGACCCCATATTGAGCGACTGTCTCGAAGCCAGATTTCCATACCAGGGTCACATCACATGAATTGGTCGTCTGTAGCCTCCAGGAGAGAAAGGCTGAAACCGCATTTCCACCGACTACACAGAATTTGTGCATTAGCTTTCGCTTCCCCATGTTGCATAATGAGTATTCGAGGTAAAATGAGGATATTGCGAACGAGTGATGGTAAGGCAGAAGAAAATGGGAAAAGAAAAGAGTGAAAACGAAGAATGGTTCAAGAATGTAGGTCTTCCGTGAAGAAAGGAGAGTGGTATGCGTGATGTTGGGAGGATAATGGTATGACAGGAGGGAGAGAAAGCACGGTACCTGACAAAATGCGAAGTCGCGGGGGTGAGGGGGCCATTGTAACTGCGTGACTGCCTTGATGCAGTCGCTCTGGATTGAATCCAAGTATGTCAATGAAGCAGGACCGAGCAGCGTCGAGGGGGGCAGGAAGAGTAAGTCGACGGATCGCAAAACGCAGCAACGATCGATCGGTCGATCGTCTCGAAACGGCAGCAGCGAAGGGAGGAGACTTGAAAAAAAAAATATCAAATCCCCGAGTGAGAAGCAGCTGGTAGCTAGCCAGCCCGGACTAGATGGACGGCCGTTCTTGGGTTTTTTTTGCCTGCACTTCCTCTTTTCTTTCTTTCTTTCCTTCCTTCCTGTCCTTATTTTACCACAGCCAAACAAACAAACACAAACGAGTGTCAAGAAGTCGTCGGAGCAAAGCTACCGGGAGCGCCGGGAATGGTGAGTGCAAGTATTAACGAGAAAGGGGGAGGGGGGATGCAACAGCGCAGGGGAAGAAAAGAGAAAAGGAAAAAAAGCAAAGAAAGAAACGAGAGACACCAAGATAGGTTGGTGATGGGTCGAACGGAGGGAGGCAGAAGGCGGAGAGAGAGGGCGGAGAGGGAGAGAGAGAGAAAGAGAGAGGGAGGGAGAGGCAGACAGACACAGAGGGAGGGAGGGAGAGAGAGAGGGAAAGAGTGGAAGACGGAAAGAAGGACAGAAACGGGCCTGGACAGCAAGAATGGAAGGAGGGCGGCAGTTGGCAGGAAGGCAGGCAGGCAGGTGGTAACTGCCCAGCCTGGAAGCGCAGCTGCAGTAATTTATTTTACGCCGATACGCGCCTGGCCGCAGCAGCAGCGCTGGTACGGGCGGTATCAGGATTACGGTCCAGAATCAGATCGCAAATCGACGACGACGTACGTAGCGGCATACGTATACATCTCTGTCTCTCTGTGTTTGTTGGATTTTTAATTATTTTTTGAACCTTTTTTTTGTACTTGTCTAGTATTTTACTTTTCCTGTTTCCTTTTTTTTTCCTTCTTCCTTTTCATCTCCATTCGCGGTGGGTCGCAGTGAATCCATGTTAGGCTGGATGCGGCATCCGGAACGGGCCCATAATTCATCAAAATTCTATTATTATCTCCGTGATAATCATCGAGCTGTCGGTAGAAGATAGATAGCCATGTAAATCATAAACGCATATATATGTAGATGCAGATGCAAATGCAATTGTATCGTGTATTGAGGTAAAGCGAAGGTTGGTGGCCAGCGAAAAAAAACACGCGGGTAGGCACATCCTGGTGGAGACTGCTGCTGCCTAAGGTACGTTTTTTCCGTTGACTACGTACACTTAAGCTTAAGCTCGACCTCCAGGGTCTTCGTTTCCCCTTTTTTTCCTTTTTTTCTTTACTTCTGCATGAGGACTGCGTAGTACGTAGGTCGTACGGGGCAGCCAGCCACCCGTAGTACACAAGAGTATTACACCGATTCATCTCATCTGGCATCAGGCATCTGCATCAGTCGGTCAGACGTTTCCATCAATCTTATAAATATAAAAAAAATATTAAAATTTACTACTATGTCATACTCGTAAATACTAAGTACTAGAAACCGGATCGGCTAGCCAACGACCCGTCCAGCCTGGTCGTATTTGTGATTTAAATCATAGTGGTGGCTCTGCCCGTTGTACTAGACCACCTAGTCGGTCCACCGGTGGCCCTACAATTAGACGTGGTTACGCCAGCGCAACCCACGCTGTTGATATCATTGGCTACGCGTCGTGCACTGTTCATTCGTGTCTTATATTTCGTGTTATCCCTATATATTAATATAGCAGTCATAGACTCTGCTATATGTACATCTCCTTGGCAGATCGATCGGATAGGGTACGTACATTCCTGCGTTGAACTCTCAACCAATCCGGCATTTGTCTAATGGGAGCGTTCATTCCGGTAGAACTTTGTTTACTTTGGACGCCTTGGGTGGGAAAAAAAAAAAAAAGAAAAAAAGAAGATCAGGAATTCCCCGTTGCATGGCAGATCTCTCGAGAATGCCAGCCACGTCCGTGTGGGCATTGATTGGCCTGGTATTCGTTTATTATATTGATCATCGCTATGTATGTCCAGCCATTGACTGAGTATAGGCGCCCCCCTGGAATACATACTCGATTAATTACTGCTCCGAGTCTGTAGTTAGTTACTAGTAGGCTTACGTCGTTAATGTTCTGACTTCTTGCCCTTGAGGTCTGTTCTTCCACCAGCCCCCACGAGGAACCGGTCGTGCATCCGCCAATCTCATTGGTTAGGCTCGCGCTTGAAAAAAATAACTGATAAACATTAAAGACAGGGACATACAATACAATCAAAACATAACAGAGTACGTGTATACCGTTTTCGGATGATTCCTCGAGTCACGGGACTAGGTCTTACCGCGTCACATGGTTGCCCGCTTAATAATTAATCTATCGGAGCATCCTCAATTGTTCAGGGCATTTGAATAACGCCCAGTGCTCTTATATATATAAATCATAAATATTTCTCTATAACTACTCCGTTGGCCATGGCGTATATCCAAGTATGATCGACATCGGCACAGCCACCTAGGTCCGCAGCCATTGGCAAATGGATTATCTGCGAATCGCCGAGTCCATCCAAACGCTTGCTACGGAGTGCATACGGAGTACTACCCATAACACAAATACAGCCACCGTCCTGATCCTGATAAGACTTATTCCTTGTCAGCTGCATGTACATTAGCCAGTTATCAATCCTAGCGGGCGTTGGCTCAGCTTGACCTGTCACGCAGACACTACCGTGCATGCTAGTTAGATAAGTACTAGATAGGAGAGTCCAGAGATTGATAACTACGGAGTATATAAGAAGCTGTCTCAGGGCTGGGACATTTGAGCGGCCAGGCTTGATTGCGTTGCAGACACCTTAGCCAATCGGACTGGTCAATTCTGTACTTGGTTGTTCGATGTGCAGACATATTTTTATCAAGAGCAACTGCGTCCGTTGTCGGATAGATGGACCGGATTGTAATGCATTCATTCATTCATTATCGTATCTTGAATACGGGATCAATATGTTAGTGTATTCAATCGAGATGATATTAGGTACGATTATATGAACAAAAATATCTAGGTACCTACCAGAGTTCTTATTCGTCCTGAAGTGGAAATCAGGGTTGGCCGAATCGCGACACCTAGTTAGACAGTTGAATTAGGGCTAGACGACTACAAACGCGGAATAGAATTCATGTATCAAAACTCGGCACTGGATTGAGGAATGAATTATTGAGGGTTTAATTTTTGACAGATTCTACTTGTTGTCTAGATGGATATGTAACTAGGTACGGTAGGGTAATCTATTAGGTATATATGCACATCCGGTCAGTGGACACAAGATGTCTAGTGGCTTCCAATCATACCTGGCCAGGTAATTATATTATAAAATATATACACATAGTTAATACATTCTAAATGATTCAAAAGAGAGGCCCACATAATAGCGTCGCCGGACCGGGCTTATTCAGACGCAAACGCCTGCCCGTCCGCCATTCGCTCGCTCGTACATATCGCCAACCTGGAACTAAAACCAGACAACAGGTTACCTCATACTCCTCCATTCAACGTCTGCTCATAAGCTGGCTCGTATATCATCCGGTCACAGGATTGATATGATAGTTACATTGCTAACATGACACTGTAGGCTCCTCACAGATATAAATAAGAGGATGTGAGCTACATCAATCATCATGCCAGAAACTCTCCTCCTACAAGGTCTTCTCGCGCGAGTTTTGAGGTGAAAAAAAAGAAGAAAAAAAAAAAAAAAAAAAAGAACAAAATAAAAGAAGCAAAAAAGGATATCAAACATGATCCCCCCTCTTCCATCTGCCACGCCAACCTGGCACAATGACACCTATCAATCAATATCCCCGTCCCGTCCGGAACTGAACGTCTCGGGGAAAACAGTCATAATCACCGGAGCGGTAATACTCTACCACTCACTCTAGAAAATGCCTTTGCTGACAGGCAGGTAACCATTTGCACAGGGCAGCGGAATCGGACAAGAAGCGGCTCTCACATTCGCCAAAGCCGGCGCCAGCAAGCTTGTCCTCCTCGGTCGTGACGAGAGCAAGCTAGCAGAAACGCAGCGCTTGGTGGCGGCTCAAGCAGAATCAAAGTCAGAAAACCCCAGCGTCATTGTCTGCGATATATTCCCCGTTAGTGTCACAGACGAGAAGACGATGCAGGATATTGCGGGCAAAGTTGGTACTTGGGACGTATTGATTCTCGCTGCTGGGTTTCTATCCACTCCGGGGCCGGTTGTGTCATCTCCCTTGGATGATTGGTGGCAGAGCTTTGAAGTATGTTTATAACACTCGACCTATTCCGAATTGAATCGAATCAAGTCGATGGGCTAATAAATTCATCAGACCAATGTCAAAGGCACAGTAATCGCAGCAAACGTATTCCTACCTACAGCCCGTCTTCCACCCGCAGACTCATCGTCCATTCATCCCAGCGCTGCGATTCTCTCATTGACCACAGGCCCGGCTACTACTTTTCCTGCAGGCCATTTGAAGGGTCTGTCAGCTTACATGTCCTCCAAAACCGCAGGGGTCAAGCTTATCGAGTTCCTGGCCGCCGAGAACCCCCATGTGTTTTGTGCTAGTGTGCACCCTGGCATGGTTGAGACGTATATTTTCAATAAGAGTTTGAGTAATGCTGCTGTGTTGCCTATGGATACAGGTTCATTATCCTCTCTCTCTCCCTCCCTTTTGCTTGACATATTTAGGATGATCTGACTGGGTCAACTCTAGTTCAACTTCCGGCGCACTTCTTACTGTGGATGGCTAGTCCCGAGGCAGGGTTTCTCAATGGTCGAACCGTCTGGGCTAACTGGGATGTGGACGAGCTCAAGGCTATGGCAGCGAAGATTGAGGCTGGGAGGTTGATGACCGTGGGGTTGGAGGGGTGGCCATTTTCATAGAATCTTCCTACACATCTTGATGTATCTACGCTACTTATTACACACGGTAGCCATTACCAATCTTCAAGCAATGAATACGATGGAAAATTAGGATAGACGATTTTATTGACCATCAATTTAAGTTAATTACCCATGCCAGAATCAATTTTCACGTTTCGAAATCCAGAAACAAACAGACAAAAAGAAGCATTCGAAATACATTATACCGTCATCACTTCCTGTCCATATTTTTCAGCATTCTCAACTAGGTATTAAGAATGAAGATGAAACTGAACAATCACAAGAGCGGTAAGAACAGAACTGAACCGAACATTGCACATCCATTTCCTCGTCTATGCCATGTAGGTGCTAGCATCGACACCGCCTTCGGGGTATTCACTGCATGCATGTTAGACAAAATATAGACAGGAAGTGCTAGCAAAAAAGGTAAACTTACGGAAGGGCAACTTCAAATCGTTTCTCAATCTCCTTAAGAACTTTCTCGTCGTCCTCATTGCTGACGAACGAGATGGAAAGACCCTTTGTACCGAAACGACCGGCACGTCCAACACGATGCAAGTACGAATCAGCATCCCCGGGAAGATCGTAGTTGATAGCCAAGTTAATTCGCTCGATATCGATACCACGACCAAAGACGTCGGTTGCGACACAGATACGCTTGTTGAACTCCTTGAATTCCTTGTAACGTTTGATACTGCATGAAATTGTTAGAATCTTCCTATTTCTAGATATTGAACAAACTTACCGCTCCTCCTGGCTGACACCAGAGTGGACAGCGATACTAGGGAAATTGCATTCCCGCAGAAGCTTGTCCAACTCGTTGGCACGCAGCGTACTCTTGACGAAGATGATCACTTGGTTGAATTCCAGGTTGTCCAGCAGGTCGCTGAGCTTGCGGTTCTTCTCCTGCTCGCTAAGCTTGATGTAGTATTGCTGAAGACCGTGGAGTGTGAGCTTGGTGTCGTCGTCAACGTACACCTCGAGAGGGTTACGCATGAATTTCTTGCAGATTGGTCGGACTTCCTGTGAAAGAGTGGCACTAAACATCATAACCTGCTTATCCGCTGGTGTGTTACGGAAAATTTCCTGGACATCCCGGCGCATGTCTTCAATATGTTAGTATAGTTCGATTGGCTCGGAAAAAAAAAGGACAATCAGACTTACCAATCTGGTCGAGCATCTTATCACATTCATCGAGAACAAACGCTTTGACATTGCGGAGAGACAGCTTCTTGTCCCGAACAAGGGCATTAAGACGACCAGGAGTACCGACGACAATGTTTGGTCGCGTCTCCTTGTTGCTGAGGAGATCGATGTCCTTCTGCATTGGGGTACCTCCGTAGAAGACCGCAGTCTTCACTTGAGGAAGGTATTTGCTAAAACGAGCATACTCATTCTTGATCTGGTACGCCAACTCACGAGTGTGGCACATAACCAAGACCTGGACTTCTCCTTCAACAGGGTCGAGTCCGTGCAGAGTCGTGAGGACGAACACTGCTGTCTTACCCAAACCGGACTTGGCCTGGCAGAGAAGATCACTATGGAGCATACCCTGAGGAATGCAAACTTGTTGAACTGTGATGAGGCGCGAAAATGTTAGATATCGTTCGATAGGAGAATTCCAGAAGTTGAACCGAATCGAAAGGATGAAATGCTCGTCCGTCCATCTCTTTGGTCGTGTAAAGTTGCAAGAAAGAAAAAAAAATCAAGCCCTAGCGCCAATCACCGTATCTACGAATAATAGAAATAAGGAAGAGAAGAAAAAAAAAAAAAAAGCACACGCCAAAGCCTTGCCTCTAATATGATGGCGGTGGAGGTGGTAGATTCCTCTAGCTGCTGGATACCTTTTGCAGGTCACACGAGTGTGTCCAACGCATGTGTGGGTAGAGCTCCAGACACATCATATTCCCTCCACATATGGATTATCCCTGGTTGGATATACTCCGTTTTTGAGAAAACCAACGATGCTTCGTCTTGCGCAAAAAAGGCAAGGTATTGAAGATCGTGTGTAACTGTTTTTTTTTCTCCCTTGGCTCTCCGAGGCATTGGCCACGCACTGCAGGCGAAATACAGCACAGGCAAGTTCTTTAGATAAACAAAAGAACCAAAATAACAAGTATGCATCTTTCTTGCAATGACCGCGATGATTTCTTCTTCTTTCCCGCAGAGATGGACGGACGTAGCAATAGTGGGGGGCAATTTTTTAAGGCTGGTAGGAAAATAGCATAAGTGTGTGTGTGTATGTAGTTAGACTAACCCTCCGATGGATGTTCGAAACCGCAATCGGTAATCGCACGAAGTAGCTCGGTCTTGAGCAGGAAATCGCGGAAACCAGTCGAGTGAATACCGACGTAACTACCCTTCTTGTCGGGACGACCACCAGAGACAGTCAAGTCGCCCTTCTTTGTAGCAGCAGCGCCATTTGCAGCGTCAGCCGCGGCGGGAGCCGCGACTGTTGGCTCTGTTGTCTGGAGCTCCTCGTCGGAGTAGTCGATGAGATCCTCCTCGGTGGCCATGGTGTGTCGTCGTTGTTGTTGTGGTGGTGGTGGTGGTGGTGGTGATATTGTTGCTGGAAAGAGGGCCGTTGAAGATACGAGAAGAAAAGAAAGGTTACGGGGAGATATGAGAGCGTCGATGGATGATTACGCGGTCGAGAGAGTCGCGATGTGGATGAATGAATGAATGAATGAGAGAGCTGAAGTGAGGAGAAAGTCTGCCTGGAGAAGGAGCGGCGTGCCTGCGTTAGTCATCATGCTAGCTGTTTTGGGGCTAGGTTGGGGCCGGAAACGGTTAGCTCCATGGATATTACCAGTCTACCTCCCCCGGTTCTCAATCACCTCTGGGCACTCGACATGAACAAGCATATGAATAGGAGCTTGACTAGAAACTTCTAAAACGAGTTCTTGTTTCGAATATTGAGATGGCGGCGACAAAAGGCAAGAAAGTAGCGAACGGAGGTCCTGGGGGAGCGCAAAGCCACATCCGAGCTCGCCTGGCATATTTACATAAAGCCGCACTATATTTGCAGACAGCAACGAAAGAAAGCCAGACAACTACAAATGATAATAATAATGATGATAACGAAAACGAGTCCAGCATTCAAGCCCGCACCCACAGGCACTACATCAACCAAATGCGCGGCATTTCCCGAAAGACTCAGCAGCGTCTTTCCATAGAAACAAAGCGAAGTTTCTGCAAGCGATGCGACTTGCTTTTGATTCCGGGTGTTACGAGCACAGAAGAAGTCGAGAACCAGAGCAAAGATCAGAAAAAGCCCTGGGCAGACGTCCTGGTGGTTCGCTGCAAGGCTTGCGAGGCAGTGAAACGATTCCCTCAGAATCAGAAGCGCAGCGCAAAGCTATCTGTACGGAAGCAGGAGAGGGGTGACAAGGATGCGGAATTGAAGAATGGAAGTGGTGGCTCATAGAAGGGCTTTTCCCAATGAGCAACGCAAATCATACTTGCGTTCGCAGGCCATGGATTCAAGATGAGGTATATCTCGCACCAATATCTCTGATACCATACTGTCTGCCTTCCTGTGGGAACACAGACATTACCGCGACAACGTTGCCCCCAAATCAGACGAACCAGTCGTTTATGACGTCGCTGGAAAAAGACGCAGACCATACACAAACCGCACAATCTGGCTTGATATAGCCTAGGTTAGGAAAGTACTACGTGGTGTCCGAGAGACGCTCTGTACGGGGCTTTTTTGGACGATGATTCTTTCGACTCGTTGTTGAGTGTATTCAAACAGACAGAGGTGACGTCAAATCAATCAGAATATACAAAGTACCTGTTCAATCAAAGATAATCGCTAGAGGGGGATATGTCAAGTGAGCACAAAAAGACAAAGACAAGAGACACAAGCCTAACATCCCGAAACGGCGCGTCGTAAAGAAGATCAATCAAAAACAGCAGTAGCTACAGCAAAACTGATGGTCAAACAAAAGAAATGTAAACACAAAAGTATCAGACAAACTCCAAGACACCAGTCGCCTCCTGTTCCACCGTGAATTCCTAGTATGGATTTGTCTCCAAGATAGCCGCGAGGCTGAAAACCAACTCTTTATACCATTCTCCACACTGGAAAACAAATAGCCAACAAAAAGGGAATCAAAGATGCATTCAGAACCCCCCAAAGAACAAGAACAAAAAATACAGATCATAAAGAAAATAAACAAAAGAAGAAAATCCAACCCGCTGTGCCTGTAGTAAGACGGCCAGGCTATGGAAATAGAGGCGGTTATTGTATTTTGGTCCGCGAGGACGAAGATTGTATCATGTCGTTATTCGAAAATGAAGTTAAGTTCCGGGAAGGTTGTACAATAGCCCTCTGTAGAGAGATGACCTTCCAGCGGTCAATCGGATTTGTATGATTCTTGCTGTTGCAGATATTGATGGCCGCCTGGGCGCATGTTTTAGATAATGCCAGCCGCCAAGCGAAGAACAGAGAGGAATATAGGCTGAGCTGGGTTCTGTATATATGTATGGCAATGATTTAGTGAGCAGCCACAGACACCGATCCATTGACATATATATAGGAATACGGCTAACGGCGACGCGCAGCCTGGTCGAGACGATGATCATAGCTCTCGATGCGAGCACGAAAGGACTTGACAATCTCTCGAATATGACCAATCTTAGCGAGCTCATTCTCCAAGTCCTCGATTGACGTGAGTATGGCACGGGTGCGCGCGATTTCCGCGTCGGCGTTACGAATGACGTTGCCGGCTCGGTCACGGCTGTTCTGTATGGACATCTGCATTTGTTCTTCTAACTGAACGAACACACACACACACGCACTAAGTTAGGACCTTTTCCCTACACGACAACAATGGACAGGGGAGAGATACATACATGTTCGAGGCGATGGCTGATCTGCTCCTGGAGGTAATCCAACTGATGGGACAAGGCTCGTAGGCTCATAGGGTCGAGCAAGAGGCGACCCTGACTGCTCGCGGCACTGGTCGCGCGGGAGCTGGAATTGCTATTGCGGCCAGAGCCGCGGCCTCTGGAGACACTACCGGCATGGCCCCCTCCTTGAAGCGCAATCTGCTGTTGTTGACGGAGGATCTGGATTTCGGAGGAAGTGAGGCCCAGAGAAGTATCGGGAATCGAGGTTGCGACGGACATTTGGGGTCCCTGGAGGGGAGGGACATGCCCTTACACTTCGTTGAATGCGGTGGTGGTGGTGGTGGTGCCGATCAATCTGGATGCGGAGGCACACGACGGACGGCAGGGCATGATGGCAGTGACTTGAAGTGGTTGTCGTAGGGAGCAGGGAGCAGGGCGCAGGTATTTAGAGCAGTCGGCGTTTGGGAGGTGAGGATAAGGAATAGAGCGAGCGCATGCAAGGCAGCGCAGGAAAAGAGGGACTCTCCCTTTCTTTTTTTTTTTTTTGTTATCTTTTGTTTTTGCCCTTTCGGTTCGTTCCCCGGACGCCAAAAAGGCCACAGAGAAGATTACCGATGCAAAGGACCGGCCAGCATGAAGGGAGGGGGAGAGGAGCAGAAGAGAAGAAGAAAGAGAGAGTCAGACGGTGGTGTGTATGGCGGCAGTCGAGGTAACCGCGGCCGCTTGTCGCGTTACACTGTGGGGAGTAGCACCTAGACAGTGCTAGCATGCAGGAACTGCGAACGGGCCCTACTGTATCTTAGACTTAGATATCTGAGAGGAGAATGGAGAAGTCCGAGCAATTTCGCCGACGATTTTTTCTTGCCAGCCGGAGTAAAGGAGTAGTGCTCGTAGCATACAAATTATTATGCCTGTTTACTCTTTTAGTATGGATGACGGCCAAGATGCGATAAAAAGCATGCGGCAAAATCCAGATCGGGCGGTCTGCTGCTTGGGCGCAGCTTGGTGTCCCTACAACTCCAATCACCGACATACTTGAACAGTATAACGTGCGTCTCTGGATTCTCTTCTCGGCTGCCCAACGTGTGAGGCTGACGCACTGCGGACTGAGAGTTGGTTAGTGAGCATTGAAGCTTTGCGACTGGCCCAGAGACGTTCTTGACTTATGCAGCTACGAGGGCCTAAGAGGCACCCATAACCTGTGAGAGCTCCTGCACTTATCCACCGTGGCTTCTAGGCCTTTATTCTGCGCATATGCCATGGGAAAGAGCAAGAAAAAAGCCATTCCCCCAAAATTCTTGAATAATGCATTGACTATTGCAGATCGACCACCTCGTTGCTCATTGCTTACGTTCGTCACTACCCTACGCTAAACGACCAGCAACCCAACTCCCCGTATAACGAAAGGAAAACAACCTACCAACCCGATCAACATGCCCAAAGACAAAGAGCGATCCGTCAACCCAGCCCAAGCCCAGCGTAAGCTCGAGAAGCAAAAAGCGCTGAAAAAGGGCAAGGCCGAAGCCGTCACCCGACGCAATGAAAAGCTTGCGCGTCGCAACCCCGAGCGCATACAGCGGCAAATCAACGACTTGAAAGCCATAGAGGAGTCTGGCCAGCCGTTGCGCCCGCGCGAGAAACAGGTCCTAGAGGAGTTGGAGCGTGATTTGCGCTCTGTGCAAAAGGCGCGCGAAGCTTTGGGCGATAAAGCGCCGCAGTTCAATAGCCAATTTGAGCGCCGGCAACAGGCGCAGTATCCGGCACATCGAGGTCAGGGGCGGGGTGATGCGGGTGGTGTTGGTGTTTTGGGCAAGAGACGGAGGGGGGATGGGCGGCATTGGAGAGAGAGTGATAAAGATGATGATGGTAGTGAGACAGATGAGAGTGTTCGAAATATACCTATGCCGAGGGATACGCCGCCTCCAATCCCTCCGCAATACCGGAGACGGGGAGAACCTCCTTCTCGTGAAGCTGAAGGCGAAGAACGAGGTGAGCAGCGCCGTCAGCCACATGCATTACCCGCGAAACCAGAGGCGGCGGCCAGGACAGTCTATGAGTCAGCGCCTGTGATTCGGGATCTGCGACAGGAAGCTGTTAGCAAGTTTGTGCCTGCTGCTGTGCGCAAGCAGCAAGATGCTATAAGGGGTCAGGGAAGGCTGGTGGAACCAGAGGAAATGGATAAATTGGAGCAGGCGGGATATTTACAGACACGGAGCACCAGCAAACAACAAGAACAACAGCCCAAAGAGGAGGAAGACCCAGAAGATATACTCAAGCGGATTGAAGAGGAGACACGAGCTCGGCCGCAACATAATGTAGACATCGAAGAAGTCACCGATGAGGAGCTTTAGCAGACAAGCTAGATTACCTGCCCTACGCTTTTATCCATTTACAGGGAGCAAACCAAAATAAAGTGAAGAAGTAGAACCGTACATTGACGTCTCATGATCAAGATATACAGTACAAAAAAAAAGGGGGAGAATGAAAATAAAAAGAAAGCATAATTAAAAAAAAGCCACGCGACCAATAAGAAGAATCCCAAACTGATAGAGAGCACAAAAAGAGATATGAAAAGAATAGTCTCACGACAGCATGATAAACATGCAGCAGAGAGAAAGAAAGAAAGAAGTTGTTTTCTTTAACCAGGATTATCCAAACACCGATTAACAACCATATACGCCTCGTAAATGCGACCTAGCCCTAGAGAAAAAGGAGGCCCGGAAGACAAGCCAAAACCGAAAAGAAAAAAGGAAAAGAAAAAACGCCGGATTTGAGTCATGAAATGAGAGTCAAGAAGAAAATGATGAATGACGAAGACGTAGGAAATTGAAATGGAAAAAGAGAGGGAAAAAAAAAAGAAAAGAGGGTGAGATTACTGTTTGTTTCATTGCAAAGACATCAAAGAGATCTGGAGTCAAACCATGGCACCGATAACGACCAAGTCGACTTTGCTCTATGGCATTGAAAGGACAAGGATCAACGCAAGCTGTGATACACTCTCCTCGACACAAACGGACTGGGCATCTGCTCACTGTGCGGATCCCAAGTCGCCGGATTCTCCGACGATTTAGTGAACGATGACAACGAGGAAGACGACGACGCAGAAGCAGAAGAAGAATTAGCCGACGTCGACGAAGAAGAGGTGTAAGCGCGAGAGTCGCTCGACACCCGTTTCGCGTTTGCGTCGTCTAGAAGAGTGAAGGTAGTGCGGCCGCCGGCTCGGGCTTGCGCGAGTTCGACGAGTGTGCGCCCGCCCATGTTGCGCTGCATGACGGCTTTGTACATGTTGTTGTCGTCAGGGATGGTATTGATAGTGTTCGCGGCGTTTGAATTGGTTTGGTTGAGTGTGTTGTTGGTTTTGGGATGGAATGTGGCTGCTTTTCCTGCTGCTGCGGCGCCTTTACGGGTAGGCGAGGTTGATGCGTCACCGATTAGATTGGAGGTAGATGGGATCTTTGAGAGTCTGCGATTAGGAGATTTTGAACGGATTTCTGCGCCTGCTGGGCGCGTTTCTTGTGAGTGATGTTGTGCTTGCTGCGATGCCGGAGGTGGTAATCGCGATGCTCCAGCTGGGAAGATGGATGGCTGTGTGCTCATTTTCTGCATCATGGCAGCAGTTTGATGCCGGAGCAGTGGACGGCGAGTCGTTTTGTACGGGTCTGGCTTTACTTTGGGCCGGGTCGGAGACGGAAGGTCAGGTATATCCTCTTCATCATCGGAGTTGATAAGACTGGGTTCCCATTTGCTCTTCTGTTGCGACTGGTCGGTGAAGAGGTTTTTGGAAACTGGGGCTGTGCGTCGTGGCGATAGTGAGAGAGAAGCAATGGTAATTGGAGACGGTTCGCCCATTTGAATGTCCATTGGCGATTCAACTGTGGTCTTTGCGCGAGAGAAAGGGGTTCTTGACTCCTTCCGAATACTGGGTTTGTTGCGGCTTGAGCGAGGCGATTCTAATGAAAGCTCGCTGATATCCGTGGTCGATGGGAAGTCTGAGTCGTCACTGCAACTTGTAGACGAGCGAGATACTTCGCGCGGCTGGGGGATCTCTGGAGCAGGAGCAGGCGGTGCCCTGGCCTTGACGTGTTTCTCTACTTCGGAGGTGACGCGAGCGCGGACTTCAGTTTCGAATTGTTTGGCCAATTCTTCATATCGCATTTGCACTTGACGCTCAATTTCTAAGCGTGCCTTGACTTCCCATTCACGCCGGACAGTTGCTTCAATTTCGTCTCGAGTGAGCGCCTTGTCCTTCTCATGGTTGGCCATCTTCACCTCGAGCTCCTTCATCTTCTGTATCGCCGCATCCTCGCGCCTCTTGACCCTGTTCGTCAAGTCTGCAATCTCGCGTTCCTTTCTCATCAGGCGGACCACAGGCAGGTTTAGTATTGCCGCGGTGTCAGGTCGCTGATCTGGGTTAACACGCAGACAGCTGGCAATTACACTTTTGAGTTCGGATGAGTAAACGTCCGGCAGCGGAGCAAATTTGCCCTCTCGAATCCTCTGGACAAGCTGAATGTGTGTCTTTGCATTGAACGGAGGGGCCTTCTGGCACAGCTCGTACATGATACATCCAAGGGCCCAGACGTCCGAGTACAGAGTGTACTTCTCGGCAGCACAGATTTCAGGCGACATGTAGAAAGGCGTGCCGACATATGTAGATGCAAAATCATGCGATTGCATGAGCTTCGACAAACCAAAGTCACCAAGCTTGACACTGTTGTCGCTACCAAGGAAGACTGTGGATTGCAGTTAGCAACCAGTCCACACGGATCACGTCGGGTTATCTGCCATCAGGGACTCACTGTTTTCTGGCTTGAGGTCGCGGTGCAGGATCATGACTTGGGCCTGCTTCCCCTTCAGACCTTGTCGGGGTTGGGCAGGACCCAGGAGATTCGAGCCAACTGCAGGAGCATCGACACCATAGTGGCAGCGATACAAAGCTGTGGCAAGTTGGGACAGAATGCGCCAGACAAAGTCCTCTTCTGCATATTTGTTGCTATTTTTCAGGTTCTTGATCACCATTCCCAGGTCACCACCCCCACAGTATTCCATGTATAGATATAGATCTTGCGAAGCCTTGAGGTGTTCACGGTGGTAGTAGGCGACAATGTTTGGGTGACGCAGTGAGCTTAGGATGTTGAACTCTGCGGTCAGTTGCTCTCGTTCTTTCTGAGACATTTTGATGTAGTTGATTTCCTTTCGGCAGAGAATCTACACATGCACTGCATTAGTAAAACAGTCAGAATGTTAAAAGAGAAAAAAGCAAGCACCCACAAAGCCATCTGTCTTTCGTTTGACTTTACGGATGATTCCAAAGGAACCAGCTCCTGCCACAGTGTCAGTATCTAGACCTCTGAAAGCAACGTGTAGGATGCCCACCAATCTTCTCCAAAACCTCATACTTGTCTGCTTCTGCAAGGGCAATGCTTGCCATAATGATTGAGTGTTGGGGTCAACTGCTGGAGTCGCTGGCGAAAATGGTAGGTAGTGGTGTGCTGGTCCCGGGCAGCTCAGTGCTGTTACAAGACCATGAATGAATGAGTGAATAGACAAGTATGTGCTGATTTGGGAAACCCTGTGTGTGGTTAGTAGAGGCAGAGCAGACACATGCTATTCTGTGACAAGCAGAAGAGAGACCATCAATGAAAGCAGAGCAACTTGTGATGTTCTTCTCCTAGCCCACCAGCCATAATTAGCTGGATATGTTTTGGCTGTGTCTGTTGCGTAGCAACCGCTTCCAACATGCCGAAGGCGGTGAAGGGAGTGCATGACTAGCACTGCTGCACGTTTGGATAGCAGGCTTGATTTCTATGTCTTCAGAGTATATAGACCCATAGTATGTCGGAGGCAAAATATGTGTTTTCAATCAGTGAGCCACTCAGTAATTGGCATATGCCTGGCAATGCAATGAAGATATTCCCTTGTTGGGCGCGCCGATGTTGCTGAGAAGACCACGTGACTTCTGTTATCTTATCGAGCAGCGGCCTCCCATTGGCCAATCGACATTTTCGTGCACGCCCACAAATTACAATAAATATTCTCTTCGCTTGTACATTCTTCTTATTGCCAGTAGAGTTTCCGAGGAGATCCGTCGGTCCCGTAGAGTTACCTCTGTGCAAACTACGGAGAATAGCTGCGACTAACAAGAGTTCCTATGGAAGCTGACGTAGATCTACATCGACTGCCTGAGCATTATCTACGTGATGACCGGTAGGTTCAGTAATGCGTCTTCAAAGGTGCTTATTATATGACAGTATGGTATATATACTCAGTAGAGAAACTTTGATTCATCGCAATATGTCATATATAGCCCTCAATCTCAATACAGTGGCGTCTTGGAAGCCCAACCTGTAGTGGTGAGTGCACTTAGAAGAACTTGTTCACCTCGTTGTTGACAACGTTGTTCAGGCCCGAGTTGATGGCACTCTGGGCACCGGATGGAGCATACTGGTCCGCGAACTTGTCGACAGAGCTGTCGAGGCCCTGCTCGAAAGAGTTGCTGGAGCTGTTGTTGTTGTTGTTGTTGCTGTTGTTGCTGTTGTTTCCAGAGCTAGCCTGGTTGAGGAAGCCTGTTGGAGAGCGTCATTAGCGAACGAGGACCATCCTCGCCTTGATACAACAAACTCACCTTCGGCCTTGCTCATAAGGCCACCGAAGCCACTGGATCCGCTGTTGCTGTTGCTGTTGCTGTTGTTGCTGTCACCATAGCCACTGCCTTGGTTGTTGTTGTTGTTGTAGTTGTTGCTGTCACCGCCGTAGCCACCCTGGTTCTGGTTGCTGTTGTCACCACCGTATCCACCACCGTAGCTACCACCCTGGTTGTTGTTGTAGTTGTTGCTGTCACCGCCGTAGCCACCCTGGTTCTGGTTGCTGTTGTCGCCACCGTATCCACCACCGTAGCTACCACCCTGGTTGTTGTTGTTGTTGTTGTTGTTGTCACCGCCAAAGCCACCACCGTAGCCACCGCCTTGGTTCTGGTCGTTGTCTCCGAAGCCCATGATGACTCTTGAGATCTAAGGTCAAAGTAAATAGAGAGAGAGAGAGAGAGAGAAGAGGAAGCTGGGTAGAAGAAAGTGAAGAAGAAAAAGTCACAGAGACAACGCGAGACGAGGAGGGGAAACAGGCCCCTTTTATATTGAGCTGCCCCTCCATTTACTAGCATTTAGCCCTGATATCATCGCATATCTGGATCCGATCTGCCCAATTCGAGGCCGCTGCGATCGAACTAGGCCGTCTAGCGCGGCGCCGGTCGTCGATAGTCGCGATGCTAAGCAATGCTAGCGTTAAGCTTCGCCAACCAAGACCCGCGCCACGAGATCCGATCTCCATCCAACCCCTCAGCCACAACTCTTCATCCCCGATCGCCGACCTCCAGTGGCGAAGTTGAAGGCACCGCATCGCCGATGGTGCGGGACGGCCTATTGTTGTATACCAAATATCTGGCAGGCTTGTCCCGGCTAGCGCGCTCTAAGTTTCGACTATGTGGGCAAGGCTCAGCACGCCGTGGCGAATGAACAACAGGCTGCGACCTCAGAGCAGTGTTGGGAATCTCCGGTGAGTCGTAGTGACTCGAAAATGATTTGTAGGTACCGCTTTAGGCGCCGAGCCAGCCTCGGGTTTGAACTTTGAACAACGATCTTAACCTTGAAGGCCGGCACCTGATATGTTTCTCTGTGGAGTAGGGATACTGGCCTCAATTTTGATGCTTTCCTAGTATCTAAACGCCTCGAATGTTTGCACTCCGGGCTACGTCGACGAAAGAATAAGGAAATAAACACTAGATGATCGTGATTTTCTAGTCAATCAAAGATGTGATGATAGTATGCATTCACCGGACCGCGCGGATGCTTTCGAATAGCGTCCGCGTAGCATCCCACTGAAGATCCCAGACAGTGTCATGGTCTGCACCCGCAACAACCCTGCTGTGGTGGTCCACCACTTCCGCGGCCTGCGTTGTCCAACATCCATCAAACCAAGCTGGCCCGCGAGACCCTGCGTCTCCAATCATCCAATCCTTCTCAGCGTAGAAGATCTCTAGTCGAAGACCGCGGTTCGCGGCGCGCAGGCTCTGTACGAGTCGCGGGATAAGCAAGTCGTAGTCACCCCAGTCATCCCACCCCGAGCCATTGCCCACCTTTTGCAACAGTAGGAGAGCTTCGGCGGAGACACCCTCAGTGTTTTCTGAATGCATTCTGTTCACGATGCTGGGCCACATCTTCTGGATAATCTGAAGCTCATCGCCGGTTTCAGCCGTGCGCGACGGTGTCGAGCTGGCAAGGCTCGATGCAATGCTTGACCCACCGAGTTGTCTCATAACTTTCATGAGCTGGTGCGTGTTGCCAACAACGCTGGTTGGCAGTCGCTGGATCATGGCCATAGCTGTAGAAGAAGTGTGCTTAGGCAAGAGCCACGGCGCCCCTAGAGCAAGGTAGGGTCGGCTTGGGCTAAGAATACCTGGGTGGTGCAGCAGCGTGTCGAGTGCGTAGACGGTGCCACCGCTGTGCGCAGCGAGACAGACATGCTGGATGCTCAGCTTGTCGAGTAAAGCAATGACGACCTCTACATTGTCTTCAGGAAAAGCGTTCTTGTTGGAAGACAGGGGAAAAAAAAAGAAAACAAAAAGCTGACCCACCTCGACATATCCGTATCCTTGACTCCCCAGGAACGGCATCTGTGCCTCCCATGCCTGGCCGATCAATGGCGATGATGCGTATCTTGTCTTGTCGAGCCGCCTTGTCCCTGAGGATGCCAATCAGCCGCGACGCCATCATCGGCCCAAACCAGAGGAGAACTGTTTCCTCTTCCGGATGAGCCTCGTTGCGGTAGCCATAATCCGCGTAGGTCACTTTAATAGTGCTTCCAAGCGATGACAGCAACTCAAAATTCTGGTTGAAACGCGGATCGTCGACAAAGGCATCCACCTCAGTTGCCATGTCACGTTGCTTTGCAGGGCCGTCTAGTAGTGGCCTCTGTTTCGGTCTTGAATCTCAGCCACCGAACATCCGTGGAAGTGCAACTATTAAATTCGTGGCCAGAACATGCATATGAAGGAAAATTGATTCTAGATTAATTAAACATCAGCCGCAAGCCCCGCAAAGCAACGAGAGCTGCTAACTGCCTTCTAGTTAGGGTTGCTAAGCGAGTGCCTTAGGCAGCAAGATTAATAAGGTCGCATTTCTAGGATACTAGAAAAGCAGTGTCAACTGGTGTATAACCACGATTGAATACTTGTATATACAGCGTAATTATAGATAGTAGATATTCATCCTCGATGAGACACCGTGAATTAACCCTAGATACCTAGGTATACCTTAGGCACCCACATGGCTCGCGCTGCCCCTTCACGTACCGCTTCGCACATTTCCTTTGTGCACAAAGACACAGATTCTTCGGCGGAGTTCAATCAAGAGAAAAGTTGCATGACAGAGAACAATCGAACACTGACCGATTTGTCGAGCGCATATTGTTGGTACCGCCCACCGGATGTTTACAGTCTATTTCACGAGGTATGGAAGGCCAATTACCTAGTACCTAGCAAGTAAGCAGCCAAGTTCATACTGGGGAATCGAGGGAAACGATCGGTCAAATGGTGCACCTAGTTATAACTAGAAGGTAGTGAGAATATCATGCCTATAAATGGACCCACTTTTGCCTGGGGTATTTGAAGGAAAAAAGCTTTGTTGCAACAGGCCATCGTAGTCAGAGCTTATCAAGAGCTTTCAGTCTCACTCATGGACAAAGCAGATGAACATCAGAGAGCACTGGATTCGCGAGATTATAAAGAACGGCAAGATGAACTTGGAACATCTCAACACCAGAAAGATACTTGCCAATCTTCTCACGAACCTTGGAAGCCACTAGGAAACCTCAGTTCGAGAGCGAAACTGGCAGGCTGAATCTAAATCAGTAACAGCACCAAGAAATCTGACCATGGCATTTCTTCTATGGAACGATTTGACCCCATGATGCGTCGTAGATCGAGGGGGAGTGTTGAAAGCCTTTAAAACACACCAAGACTGAGGAAACAGCCAAGACATAAGACATCACAAAAAGCTTTATACTCATATAAGGGCCTTTATTCTACTTCTAAGGAATCCTGTAATAGGCTTGTTTCAAGGAGATCTAACTGAATGTGCTAGAAGATTAGATTTGAATGTTAAATACCGGCAAAAAGCTACCAGAATGTAGTTACTTAGACACAGACAGTTCTCTCTAATCAGACTTGCCATTTCTCCTTACTCTGATCCGCTGAGAACAGATTCAGACTTTCTACACTATATATTCCTAGGAATGCGAGTCATCCTGTGACTGAGACAGGTACTGTCTGGCCCTTTTCAATTAATTATTGCCATCCTATGTCAAGCTCTTAACTGACTCAAGACGTGACGCTTCTACTGTTTTGACAAAGAGCCTGAGTGGAAATGAAAATATATTGACTCACAACATCTAGCTATAAAGGCAGGAGGTATATCTTCATATTTGATACGTTAGACACTCATCTTGCATACGTAATTCTTCGAAGAACTACCATCTGTGGACTGAAAATCCCGAGGTGAGTACTAAAGTGCTTGTATAATTGCCTTGGTAGATTATTCTCTTTTGAAGGGACAGACATACATGAAATGGTGCTAATAAGCTCTTCAAAACTATAGACCTATCAAAATGCCGGGACGCACTTATTATCCGGCTGATATATATTTCCATATCGGAGCACCGCCAAGGATGAGACCTGGCGTACAGTTGCCCAGGCCATTACTTATCGAAGTAAGTGTCGATGGCGCATACCTCAAACGACAGCACTACCGAAGATCAAAAGTGATTTTTGTGTTTGGAGGTCCTGGCTTTGGCTCGCATGAAGTTATAGGCGAGGTCATGCCTGTTCTTGATCCTAATAACCCGGATCAGCTGGACAAGGCGTACATTCTTTTTGAAGTGTCGCTTCCAAATCTCCCAACCTCATACACGGGCTCTGTGGATTGCGTATTGGAAATAGTTGCCCTTGCTGGAGGCCGGGTCAGAACGATTGGTCAAACTTATAAAGACTTTATTGTTTACTCTGACTATGCTCCTGTATCACTTCCTCCCAGTAAGCCAACCATTCAAGCAAACTGTGGATAGTTTGAACCCCCCGCCCCCTTCCCCCCTCCCTTTCCTTATTTCTTTCATACATGATTCTATTGATATCAGTGCTGAAGTGTTATTTAGACACTGGTGAGGCGTTTTGGATGAGTCACTTGAGGCCCTGGGAAGTTCAGCAATGAACACGAGGTATCGCAACGGACATGATGCCTTTATTATATAACTAGCTCAATTAATAGCAAGCTTTTATTTTCGATACTAAGCGTGAACCTTGGTACGTTAGTATACGTACATGACAAATAGGGAGTGTTTCAAGGATTTATTATCTACATTGAGACTGCTCCTGAAGTCCCGGATCTCAGTAGACAACAATACATGACCCCATTAATATCAGTGCTAAAATCTTTCCTAAGCAGGGAACAGGATTTTTGGTATCAATGTTTGTAAGATCAGCGGGCAGGTTCCTCAAACGGGATATTAGGCCATTAGCTACTACTATTTGTGAGATAGTATTCTGGAATTGTTCAAAGGAGCATTTGGAAACGGGAAAGCCTATGAAGATGCATCAAAAGGCATTATATCTCATGCAATGTAGTAGAAGATTAGGTTCCTAACGTAAATAGCAGGAAAAAAAAATCTAGTATTCTAGTCTATTGTTCCCAGTTTTCTGTTGTCATACCCCGTCAGACAACATCCTTAACTGACTCAAGACTTGACTATTATACACTCATATCCTTCAAAGTCTGAGTCAAAACGTCACGATATCTAGCTATAAAAACAGCTGGAATCTTCGCAATGGGGTGAAACATTTCATGCAATAGATACCAATCTAGCATACAAACTTGTTCAAAGAACTACTATTCGTGAAACTACAAACCCAGAGGTGAGTGCTACGGTAAGAACACTTTCTTTTGGAAGATACACAGACTAGTTATAGATGGAATAGTGCTAATCGTTGTTTTGAGACCTCTAGATCCTTTTGCATTACTATCAAAATGGTAGTACCTCCAAATACACCAGCCCCAGCTTCGAACACCACGCGCATAGCGACTTTGGAGCTCGCAGGTCGGCCGCCGGCGAAGATTAGGCCTGGAAATCCGTTGCCCTGGCCAATATTTGTCAGGATCCAAAAAACTGACCAATGCAGCACTACTGCAACATACAAGTCTGCCAAAGCCACCTTCACATTTTCCAATAATATGGAGGTTAGCAGCCACCATTCTCCGAGTCCTAATACCACAGGAGATCACCAACTCCCAAAGAACATTGCCATATTTCTGGAATCCCGCTCGGGTGTAGCTGGGCCTGTAACGATGAAACTGGAAGTCAAGCTTAAGGTTGCTGACAGCGAAGTGACGATTTCAGAGATCTATCTTCGATTGTTTGAATACGCCGAGAACGCAAGTCTGAATAATCCTTGTAAGTCAACAACACACCGTTATTTTCCTTACAAAAAGTTCCATCGATTTCAATACTGACGTTGTACCTTCCAGGGCCTCGTTTCGCCGCGGAAGTGTATTCGAGTTCCACCATCAGAATCTCAATTTACTAGTCAATACAAGCAAGCTTCCAGCATTTGGCACTGCAACTGTAATTTAAACCGTAGTCACAAGTAATGTGGGGTAATTTGCGGTATTTTGATTGATTACGTACTCAGTAACTTTTTGCCTCAGGCTCTCGCGGCTCGGCTTTCCCCCGTCTCGGCGGATATTATCAGAGCTTCATTACTAATACTTCGCGCTCTTCTTTTTCTGCCAACGAGCATGCTCCTGCTGCTCCGGCGGCCACATCACAAAAACCCATCAAAGGACAAGACGAAAACAAGCAGAGTCGCGAAATAGACTATTATGCCTCGCACACGAACGAAGTACATCTGGCCCCCGCCGAGTTTGGCCACAGACGCAACTCCCGAACCCCGAGCCAAAAAGCCAAGGATAGAACCCCCTTCGCCTGTCAAGGATGGCAATGCCATGAACAAAAAGCAGGATGCGCCGGACGCTGAGGATCTCCCGCCGTTTATTCAAGCTATCTTGAGTGTCCCCATGGATGTACAGATACGAACATACCGTGACTGGCGACGTAAGATAATAAGGTCTCTTCTGTCTCTTTGTATTGAATCAGCGAGTCTAACGTTCGTTCTACATAGACCTCGGCTCGCCCCACGAAGACTTTTGTATGATTTGCGAGCAAACTCGATCGCAGCCTCTGATTCCTTGTACCACATGCAACAAATCTTTCCACGAAGACTGTTTACCGCCAGGGTCGATATGTGACGAGCAGCGACAATACTTCTGCAGAGTCTGTGTTCTACGCAACTGGCACGCGCAACCACCGACTATCACCCCGCCAGACTCGCCTGTTCTTCCTCCCGCCACCGCCGTTGACCGATCATCAGCGCAAGGAAATGAAGAGTCGCGGAATAATACGAGGGCGGCAGATCAGAAGCCCACCGGGAACCAAGCTCTGTCTATTCTGGCTGAAATATCACGATCGATGTCTCACGGGGAATCTTCAAATGCTCATGGTGTTTCAAACTCCCATCGCCCTTCAAATATTTCTGCTTATTTTTGCAACCCTCCCTTGTCAACTCCGGGGCTTCCGCGACAGCAGGGATCAAGTCTAATGTCGCCACACCTCAATGAATACTGTACTTCATCTTGTTCATCTTCTTCCAATGCACATGGAACTCCTGTTATGGACTCGCACGCTCGCAAGTCGAAATTCGCAACTCTGTCTACAGAAGTCGATTCCGCTTTATGGGTGCTCTACCGCGAATTGGAAAGCGTGACATCACTGCGACAACGGATTGGGGAACTTGAAGCGGAGGTTGTCAAACTACGCCAGGATGTGAGCATTAGAGACAACCAAATCATTCTTTCACGGAGATCTTTGTCGTCGTCCGCAAACCTTCCGGGGGGGATCTCGCAGGCCGAGGTTGATCGATTGCGAGTTCAGGCCGTCAGGGGCGAGGAGGCTCTGCGGGAGATTGAGTCAATACGCGCCAAGAACATTACCCTTGAGAAAGACTTGAAGGAAGCTAAGGATGAATGTGCCGCCAAAGATAAGACACTGATCGAGTGGAAAGGTCGGTTAGTGAGCCTGATTGGCACATGAATTTTTCATCTTTCATATTCTTTTACCCTTTCTTATGCCTTTGTGCGCTGCATGCATTATGGATATACTGTTTCTTGGGAGCATCTGGAGTTGGGCGTGGTATGTTGTCTAACGCATTCAAAAGATACCAATTACTGAACGACTGGTTCGTATTATTTTGTTCTTGTTTATGGATGAAAACCTGAGCGACTGGCGAATGCGGAAAATTATTTCTTTTATTATCTGACTCAGAGCTACCTGTTCGTGATTATATCTGAGCACACGTTTCTTGTATATAGACTCAGACGCGTTACGCATTCATATTATACACATGGAAAATTAACGAGAAGTTTTTTGAAACCAGGCAGGAATCCTCTGAAAAAAAAAAAAAAAAAAACCATTTCTACTTGACAACAAGAATTAAGGACACAATTCGCTTGTTGGTTGAGTAATTCGAGGCACCGAATTATTCAAGAACGTTCGAGTGGAATGACAGGATACCGATCTTGGGAGCATACCTAACATAACATATCCTACAGCCTTCATATAGCTCCTGGAACTTATCAGCAAAGACTGAACAGTGAGAGAAAAGGAAAAAGAAAAAGAAAAAAAACGCTGCTCTCGAGGTGAAGCTCGACATGCCAGAATGGTAGGACTAGGGCTAGCCCTGAGTCGCAGAATTACCGCATTTGGTATAGGCTCTAGACGCTAAACTACAACGGGGAAGACGCAAACCAAAGCGTGAAGTTGACGCTCAGCCTTTACTCATTCTGCAACCCAAAAGCAAGAAGCTCCAAGATGGCTCGAAAGCCACGCTCCGTACGAGATCTATCTAAATTATCTCAGAAGCCGCTCAGGGAAACCATTATACCGTCTGTAAATATAATACTTAACAACACGGGGATTGACAGCGGCAGAAATAATGAAGAAAGCCTCCAGAACGATTCAGACCAGTCTTCCCCGCCGTCATCTATCGATAGTGAGGCGTTCACAGGCTGGGTAACGTCTAGGGACCTTGTTGAAAAGGACCTCCCTTTTACGCAGGATGTTATGTATAATTTAAACAACTTTCTTCTTGGAAATCCGAACATGAATTCTTCTCAACTGTTTCGTGCGGATATCCTATTCGATAGTGCCGGAGAATTGAAAACGCCAAAGGAGAAAGAGGCACTGCAGTCTGGCAGGGCAAGTGCTCGGGGCTCTTGTATAGACGATGATAGCACCACCGCCAACAACATTGAGCTAGAAGCTGCACCGCATATTTCTGGCTTTGCCCTCAAACGGACCGTGGTTAGAAAGTTGATTCCTCGGAATCCCAATGTGGACAAGCCCTTGAATCAGACGTGTCATTACTATGAAGGCGTCGGTGGTTCTTCTCTTTCTCACTCTGCGGATTCCGAAGATGCGAATAATACTACAGTGCAGAGAACGCTGTACGTGTCTTTGCCACATGTGAAGTCCGTTGAAGAAATGCCGTTTTATCATCCTCGTCTTCGTGGCCTGGCGTTTTTGTATGACTATCAGAGTGGTTCGTCGTCTGCTCAGGGGGAACACTCCAAGGATCACCAAGTTCCAGACGAAGAAAAGAACACGCCTGAGCAGACATCTTTATCGCCGGGACATGGTACCTTGTCTGTTCATTTCCTTCCCTTCCCGGAAACAGAAAAGTTTGACCCCCTCGAGAATAGACTCGAGCGAATCCTGCACAATCTTCTATCCACGCATATCCGTCTTGCACGGAATACTCACCCTACAAAGACCATCGGAACCGGAGCACGATCTGCCCCCGGCTCACAGCATAATGGCCCTACGACAACCAAAAAGCATGAGGATGATAGCTATAATCCAGACAAGGACAACATACTCCCTCGGCATATGGTTCAAAACACATATGCGCGATTGAAAATGAAATACAGTCGAGACCTGTGTCAGCGATGGGTCGAAAGCACGGAGCCTTCGAAACATGTATTCGAAGATCTGTTAATTACAGCATTCTTAATTGAGCTTTGGCGGAATATGTATGGAGTAGCCCCGAGGGCTGAAAGAGAAACAGCAAAGAGCCAGGAACAGGGTGAAGGTGAAGGCGAACACGAAATCCTGGACAAATCCTTGTTCCCTGGTTTCGTTGATATAGCCTGCGGTAATGGCGTGCTTGTCTATGTGCTTTTGATGGAAGGATACCAAGGTTGGGGGTTTGATGCGCGTCAACGAAAGACATGGTCGATATTTCCGGACTGGATTCAATCCAATCTGAAAGAGTCATTATACATCCCCAAACCATTTCTTGCTGCTGTTAAGGAGGGAAATGATAATCCCCTGGATCAACTTACGGATCACAATGGAACTACTGCTTCTATTCAGTATAACACAGCAGACTTTCCACAGCAGACCTTTGTTATATCAAATCATGCAGATGAGTTGACGGTCTGGACGCCGTTATTGGCTGCTCTCGCATGCCCCGAAAACCCGCTTCCTTTCCTCTCGATTCCATGTTGTTCGCATTCCTTGTCCGGGGCAAGATTTCGATACCCACCGCCGAAGAAAAATAGCAACAGCAAAAGCGAAAAAAGCACAGAAACGAGCGACAATACTGCTGAAGAGATATCTAGTAGCAGCAACAACAAAACAGGCGACCTCAAGGCTCTCCGCGCCGAGAAACAAGCAGCTAGCACCTCCCATTCAGGAACAAACCCTAATTCCACAGCCGTCCTTAACTCGATGTACGGCTCATTAACGGCCAAAACAATGAGTATAGCGGAAGAAATCGGATACGGGGTCGAAAAGACCATGCTTCGTATCCCGAGTACCAGAAACATGGGTGTGATTGGTGGTCGGATTGATGTCAGTCGTAAATGGCAGGGAAATATTATCAATTATGATAATGACCAGACACTGTCAACAGACTCAGATAATGTTCTGGATAGAGTAAATGAGGTTGTTGAGAGGGAATGCGCGAGGGAAGGAGGTGTTTATGCAGCGGCTAAGATATGGATTGAGAGGGCTGTGAAGTTGCAAAAAAAGAATTCATAACACTATATTACCAAAAAGAAATCTAACTCATTGTGATCAATTGAATCTGACATTTGTGGTAGAGTTCAAAATACCTACCACAAGTCACGACGTGTATGTTTTAAGATTCTATTAGACATATATATATATAGATGCGACAACTGACTTGGGTATAATTCATATTTACATCTAGGGAAAAACACTTATCCACCCATTTCTTGAACAGAATGAAAAGAAACCGCGCGCCAATGAGAAACTAGAGCACTGCTTTAAGCTGGTAAGAATATCGACCATTTCAGGTCTTAGCCGTAGATGGGGGTAGTGGAATTATTGATCCCACCATTGTGGTTGATACCCCTTCCCTGGCGTGTATCTCCTGCAATACCGCTGCGTATTGCACGTGGCGCTCTGCCAGTTATGTTATCCATGATTTGAACGGCATGGCGGAAATCAGTCATGTGGAAGTCCGAAGGTACATGTTCACCGCTGGCAATGCATTGCACTCTAATGCCGTTACTGTAGTACAAACCGCTGAGTACTTTTGGCGTGATGAGGAAATATTGACTGCCTCCTCCTCCAGAGAGACCATCAGCAGTGGGTGAAGGGTTTCGTGGTGCGCATGCAATGTCAACCATGCGCTCATGGACCATTCTTTCATTTCTCGGGTCCATACCCTGATTGATCTCGTCGACTACACGGAACGGCGACGCGGAAAGAGATTGAAGCGCCATTAGGTAGAAGATTGTACTGACAGCGCGCTCACCACCAGACTGCCGATGAGAGTCTAGCACTGAGAGATTTTCCGTTTCACGGAACTTGACCTGAATCTGGATTGACCATTGGTCAAAATCGCTTCCACCGGGTTCACCGTTTGGTCCCGGCTCGTCTTCAACCTTGTCAATAGTCACCTGCCCAGCACAGCCGATTCGAGCAAACGAGTCAGAAAACGCATCTGAAATCGTCTTCACGAGAGCATCAAGCCGCGGTTCCCACTGGCTGCGAATTTCCCGGATGCCGATTTCATGATCGGCAAGCTTTTCTTGATAGCTAGACAGCTTGTCTTGAAGTTTGTCAATTGCCTTTTGACGGTCTTCAAACTCCTTAACGATGCTTTCGCTGCCTTCATGAGTTAGTTCTAGGCTCGCTTTAGCCGAGTCAATATTTGCTTCAAGTTGATCGGCAGATATGTTGCGATATTCATCAGAACCAAACAGTTCGACCATATCGGGTTGAGTTTGAAGAGTTGTCATGGTTGCGCTGGCTTTATTTCGTGCTTCCCCTGCCCGCCTAGACACCTCTTCAACCTCTGCGATGGCGTTTTCAAGGTCCTTACGCTTAGCATTCAGGGTTTGTTCGATTTCCTGGTTCCGATCTTTCAAATTCTCAAAATCAGATAATGCTTCAATGCTTCTGATATGAGCTTGCACTAAATCTTCGTGGGTCTGTCGTAAGATCTCCACTGCCTCCTATAACCCCAGTTAGTAGATAGGTAGATAGTTGATGCCATTTGATAGAACCTACAGCATATTCAATAGCCGTTTCCGCTTTTTCAATCGCAATTTGATCTTGTTTCCCGCGAATTGACCTAACCCTTGCACGCAGTGTCTCAAAACTCTTGTCTAAATCTCGCTTTTTCGCCTCTTGGTTGTCTGGATAGGCACCTGTTAGAATTATCCAACGACCTAGCTATGTGCATATGCGTTTTCATACTTAGCTTTTCGGGAAGTGCCCGGAAATTGAGCAGAGCTGTCTGTTTCTCTGACTTCTGGCGCTCCAATTCGGTCTATATCAACAAGAACAAAAATTTTAGCAGATGCGTCTCACTGTGTGAAATTAGCGCTGCATACCTTTTCAGTTTTCTTTTGCGTATTCTCTTCGCCAATGCGAGCGAGTTCTGCTTTTGCGGCGTCGATTTCCTTCTGAATTTCCACGATATCGTTCTTATTCTGCTCTATCGAATCCAGCAAGTCTTGCTTCATTGAGACATCCAATGGCTGGTTTGTCCAGAATCTTGCAGGACGCACTTGTCTAACCTGTGTCGACGTTGCGCCAGGACCGTACTCTTTCCTTCGGTTGACCTTGTATGTTTGTTTGCCAGCAACCCAACTGTTAATTGCATTGTGGCTCTCCATTCGAGCATATTCTTGATCACTGATTTCTCGAAGAACAATTGGTGTTCTAAAAAGGTATTGTTCATTACAGAGCATCGCTAGGACAGGATCCGGACCGACGAGGAAGTCTTTAGCCCAGCCGTCGAAACCGAGACTGCGTAGTTCCTCATCCGAGATCTGAGGTTTGAAATCACTCAACTTTGTTGAACAATTCCTAATGCTGACATCATGTAACTTCAGTTCCACGTTCAAGGCCCTCTGTAAGGTCCTGAAATCGCGAAGACTCTGCGTTGTAAACGCCGTGAAATCATTCTTTTGTAGAAGAGATTCAATTGCATCGGCATAATTTGTATCTTTCACAGAACATGTGATGAGAGCTGGACCAAAAACCTCATGCTCGAATTTATCCGCATTCTCCAAAACCCATCGATGGGCCTGGTATGTGTCGGGGGACAGCTTTTTAAGCAAAGCTTCTCGCTGACCGCTTTTCGAATTCAAATTGTTTATTTCTCTTTCAGCGTCGTGAATCTGACCCCTTTTTTCGTGCAGTCTCTCGTAGATAGGCTGGCGACCAGCTCTGATTTCCCTGGCTCGGCTTTCGATATCTCTCATCTCTCTTTGCAGAGTCCGCTAGTAGCGAGGGTAAGCTGTAGTGGACATAAAAGTTCTTTTGATGCTACTTACAATTCTATCATTGTAGGAGTCAATGTCAAATTCCTCGGGTTTTTCCTCCATTTGCCGGGTGATTCTGTTGATTGCTTGTTGGATTTTGTTCATGTCCTGTTTGTAAATTTTGCCAGTTTTCTTTTCTGCTTCAATCTGACTGGTTAGGTTCTTGAGCGACTCCTCATGCGTGTCCATCCGCCTTGCAACCTCCTTAGCAGCACTTTCTGCCTCGGCGAATTTCTGACGCTTGTACTCGACAAGACTGTCTGTTCGGGTCAAATAATCCCGTTTCTCGTTGACTGCCTGCAAGGCCGGGGCCAATTCATCTTCCAATTGTTTGTATGCCCCCTCGATTTCACGCTTTTTAGCTTTAGTTTCTGTGAGCCTTTTACGGTAATCCAAATAGGCAGCAACAGGTCGGTAAAATTCGAGCATCTCTATGAGTCGCTTGATCTTCGCTCTCTCCTGTATTCGCTCTACATCCGCTCTTTGCAATTCCTGTCGATTTTCCAAGTTAGTGAGCAGATCTCGGTCGCTTTTGTTGTCCGCGAGCAGCTTCTTTTGCCCGGCCCTTAAACGGATGAGATCATTGTGCCATTCAAGCATCTGCGGTCCAGCTGCAGCTCTTTGAGTAGACGCGAGCAGCTCAACAGGCGTAAGTGCTGCAAATTCGCTAACCTTATCCTGCGGAAGGAATTGACAGAGGTTGTCGATCTGAATGGAAAACTTTTGAGCGAATTTCATAACTTTGTTCCTGGTTACGTCTACTCCATCAATAGTAAACGTGCTTTTGTTGCCTTCAACTTTGATAACTCGACGAATCACAGGATTTTTTCCATAATTGGGACCACCGGCAAGTTCTATCTCAATTACTGCTTCTTTGCATCCATGCTTGACGAATTCAGATGCCTCTTTCGCACGTCCGAGATGCTGATAGTACAAAGAAAATGTTAGACTCCAAACGTAGGAACGGTCGAAGGTACACTCACTTGGGGTCCCCAGCCCAAACCTAGGCATATCGCACACACCAATGTGCTCTTTCCGGTACCGTTTGGGCCGATAATCATGTTCAGCATTGGGCCGAAGTAATACTCGACCTTAGTGTAGGTGACGAAATCTTTCAATTTCATCCGCACAATTGCGCCAGGTTGAAAGGTGCCTTGGCTTCTAGAACCTGCGGGGAGGACTTTGACGAGGTTTTGACCTTCACCATTACGATCGTTTTCGACGTCCTCGCTCTCATCCTCATCCTCGTCGCCGCTTCTATCAACAGGCCCATCGAGTCGAGCGCGCTTGCTGCCGTTGGATGATTGCGAAAGCGGGGTTGTTGCCCTGGTCGATGTTTCTTCGTCGTCTTCATCGTCGACGCGTCTGCGGCGACGGTGGTTAACGGGCACTTGTAGTAATTCCATCGCCTATGAAAGCCTCGCGGGTAGCGCACAGAGACGAAAGTGTTTTGCGCTTATATGGCGTGCATATTCGAGGAATAAAACTGAGTTGGTTCCAAAATCCAGCTCAGCCTGGCTATCTAAATCCCACGCGGCCACGACGCGACAACGCGGTGTAATATAGACCTTAAACGGAAGGCGGTGAGGATCGGCACAATATACTTCCTGATGACCTTAGCTACATCACCGACAACAGTTCACTCGTGGATGCCGCGAACGAAGTTGGAATTCGTTGTTCTCTGAAGTTAAAAATGAAGAAACCGATGGCTGCACCCAATCGACGGGTGCTAATGTACTTTTACACTGCCGCTGCGGTGACTATCACGATTGGTGGCTCTCTTTATGGAGCAGAATTGAAGACGAAACAAGACAAACAAAAGGTACAATTCTCGCCTGACGCAATTGATTAGCACGATACCCAGTGGAAACTAATAATAATTTTTGATCTATAGACCGCCAAGAAAGATCACGAAGCAACCTTTGACGAGAAAATCCAGTCCCTCAAGAGTGCAAGAGAAATTCTGGTATCGAAGAAGCACAACGTCGAGAGACAACTACAAGAACTTGAGGAGAGGATGGCGGAAAAGGCGCGGAAAGGAATTTCTTCAGCCCCAAACGAATCACAACATGAGCGATCATCAAAATGAAAGCACTACCGTCGTTTCGACTTTGAAGGCATCTCTCCCGACGATTCCGAGGCACACAGATATGAGCCCATAAGTGAGACGACATGCGAAATTTTTGGATGATCACTCCGACCTCAGTTAAGCGTCATTTTGTCGTCTTCGGGAAGACGCTCTATGCCAAATCGTACTTGAGAATTATCTGCACCTCAAGTCAAGTTGGATCTGAAAGGCCGCACGTTCGATCTACTTTCGGCAAAACCGCTGACGACTGAGGGCCAATAATAAATTGTATGTTGGCGGGGGCTTCATATCATATCAGAACCCAATTTGTCGGATTGTGCGCGGACACAACAACGCACGTCCTAACAACTCATTCACGCTGCGACAAAAGCACAGATTATGAAATGGCGAGCTGGCAGCATTCTCGCTATGAGCCGGCCAAATATGTTCTTGCCCCAGCTATGCGCTTGTATAATAAGACACATTGAACAATCTCGATTTATCAAAGGCCAGGTGCCCTTTTCCATTTCAATCTTGTCTCTGCAACCATGTATCGTCATACCCAGGGATCAATACTCTTAAAGAATTGACGGATACAATTATCCTGCCCAACGCCCAACGCCCGACGGACAGGCACGTAATTTCCTAAATATTGATGTGAATATCATGTTCACAAAGGGGTCAGAAGAAAGCAACGTCGACTCATATTCTACCTACATTTGCTACACTCGATATATCTCATAAGGAAACACCAAAGCTCAAGAGAGATCAGACTCATCTGATAGCCACAAAAAGATTGTTAAAAAAAAAAAACAAAAAAAAAAAACCATCAGTTACAAGTACTGATGCTAAAAACAGTCCAAACGTTCCCAAGCATCTGTTTAACGCGCATATTCAGCTGGCCTCTTCTAATCGTTCCGCCAACCAACCGGAAATCAGCAATATCTGCATTGGGCTTAACCTGCGGTGCCTGAATTATGTGTTTCGGTGCTGGAGATTTGCAAAAGGCACTTTTACCAGATCGCAGTCCAGTTGATCTGCCGCATTGGTATGGCACTTCCTGGTACACGTGGTTGCAGACACTTGAATAGTAGATATACCAACCGCAAGCGCAATTGTCTGGGTTGCGGAGGCTGTTCACGAGGTGATTCTGAACGTCGAGGCCGATTTCTTCTGGAGGATGGGGTCGGCCATATTATCGAATGAAGAACTGGAGACAAATATAGCTTGTGTAAAGGTCAAAAGTTGAACTTGTCGACACTAGGCGTTGTATGCTTTATTTGGTCGAGGTAAGGCGCAGCCTTAGGAAGTTAGGCGAGTCTAGGAAATAAAACACGTGCTAAAACTTCATATACTAGGGCTAGTCCGGTGTGCTTAGCGCTGAGAAAAAGTAGATCATTTACCTATAGGTCGACCGTCTAAATACCCTGCGCCCCGAAAGAAAACCACCGATAGCTAGCTCCGGACCTTTCCCCTCTATTCATGCTACTTTTGTATAGGCATGGTTGCATACGCTCAAGTAGTAGATATGCCAGCCACAGGCGCAGTATTCTGGGTTGTTGGAGTTGTTGACTAGGCGGTTTAGGACATCATGTCCCAGTTGCTCCGGTGCAATTTGCGCGGCCATATTGAATGGAGGACTTGGTGACAAAGACGATAGGTATGGTATGGCAGTGGAAGCTTGACACTGATAAGACCCAATTAGGAATGCCAATGGAAGGAGGATGTCTGTGAAGTTGATGGACGAGAATATGGGTTGCAATGCCTATACTTATAGTAATCCTTTGGACATGCTGATGCCACTTTTGGGGCCCGGGAAATTGAAAGCGTGATATTGAGGTCAAACACTGAATAGCCAGGCTGAAGCCAAACAAGTGGAAAATTCTCGGGATGCCAGCGATGACTTTTCATCGCTCGAACACCGCAAGTCAAAAGCAGCACAAACACAGCCAAATTTCGAAACCTGACGTTCGTCCACATCACAATAGCCCCTCTTGGGCTTTCATTTTGCCATGATCAAAGCTAAAGAAAGATTCGTCTCCGGCGGCCAGACTTCGGTTCGAGTGAAGATCCTACCACTGAAACCCATTGCAATGTCTGGGATTGGGATCAGCTGCAGATGGTCAAGATCAAAGGCACTGCCAAACTTCTTCCACCTGACGAGGACATAGAAGTTCTGATTACGTCTCAATTCGCTGACTACCTGTCACCGGAAGTTCGCGCAGTTACCGTTGACGACGATGGACTTCTCACTGGAATCTCTACCGATCCAAAAGAATATGATGCCATGTTTCTTCCATATCTTCCCTTCTCGGCCGTTGAATCACTTGCTCACTCGCCAGTTGCCGTGTAATACAGTACTCCAAACTTCGAGAACTGGATCGGCTTGGACCAGGCGTTGACCTCTCATCATACAAAGACGAATCGGGGGTTCTGCAAAAAGTTGCTTTTAAGTTCAACCCCATTGCAAAGGTTCGGAGACTGCGAATGGCCTGGGATGAAATAAATCTCCTCAAAAGCCTGCCTCCACATCCAAATATCGTACCGTTTGATCGGGTCGTCCTTGAAGACGTGGAGTCTCGAGTCATTGGGTTCACAACGAAGTACATTCCTGGCGGAACCCTCGAAAATACCGAGGTGCCTTTACAATTTGAGTGGATGAAACAACTCACTGAACTGGTGGATTTCCTAAACCTGGAACTGGGCATCATGCATCAGAACATTGCACCCCGAAATCTGCTTATTGATCCCGACACGAACAAGCTCTCTCTCTTCGACTTTAATTGGGCTGCATGCGGAAAGAAATGCTTGATGGATGGTCGAGACGACGTGACTGGGTCGTTTTTATCACTATACGAGCTCATCACGAACGATACACATTTCACGCGCATCCCTCACTGGGAACGCAATATGGACATGGTGCAGGGTATCCCAGAATGGCCTTGTAATCGTGAACTGGACTCTGATGTATCGACATTCCGGAATTTTGTGAACGAATGGGTAGCAACACGAAAATCCAGTGGGGATATGGAACGATACCTCAATGCACCCAGCCAACTTACTTGGCCGAACCAGCCAACCCCGCCTGACTACAGTATGCCCATTGAGTACGGCAAGACTTTGGATGGAGAGACAGTCTGCAAAACTGGCCTGCGGTCGAAATTAACTGCAGTGGAGAAGGGCCAGTATGTTTTTCACTGGGAGAGGGAGGCCACCCCAGAGCAGGTTATTGAAGAAGGCTGAAAAGAGTATACCGTAGCTGATGTACAAAAACCCACCTTCAATCACATCGAATCAAGCTCGGCTTTACTAAGGTATGACGTTTTGTTCTTTTCATAATGTATCCTTTGAATGAAAACTGCATATTGTCTGCATTCTTCTAGCTCTAGAAACTTGTCGTCTATACCGTACAATCACTACCACTCAGAGTTTGGCGTCTCGGCTTTGAGATTAGGGTGAGTAAGGTAAGATTGTGAGTAAGAGAAGCCGTTGCATTCGGATGTATGGCCTGTGGAATACTCTCCAAACTCCAGGTGAATAACCAGCGGCTCCTTTCGGGAGTTGACGATGGGCCGAGTTTATAACTTCCAGAGTGATCGTAGCGATTCCTTTAGAAAGGTTATCCTCATTTGTGGTACCTAGACTCTGGGATCCTACAACACTTGGCCTTCAACATAATGTTTCCAGCACTTTTTGCAGCCTGTCATGAGGCCGAAGTACCTTCTCGGATTCTCAGCGGATTGTCCTTTATATAGCCTCGGATATACAGGGTCGCTTTGCCTTCCTTGCCCAAAGAAGGGTAGCTATGGTCGCCGAAGATGGCCAAGCTTTCTTCCTCAGACATGTCATTACACTCCGCGCCGCGCGACCGTGCAACAAATGATTCCCAGTTCGCCTTGTAGCGAGTTAGGTCAAGCACTTCAGCCCAGGTACTGCTCAGTAACAAGACATCATCCAGACCAATGTCAAGAGGCCCGTTAAGGCCTTCAAAGAATGTTTTCAGTTCGCTCAGATGAATAGGGAAGCTTGTCAGACACAGAATCCTCAGGTCTGGACAATGTCGTGACACGAGAAGAGGACCCATGCTAACAGGTGGTAGAGGGGCAAAGTCATCGAGGGCAAAGCTCAGGTCTACTTCGAGTCGCGTAAGAGATTTCCCTCCCATGGATGCTAAAATCAATGAGCCAAAGCTGGCGATTTGCTCCGTGTCATGGTCAACTATCATTCCTCTCATTGTTCCCGAAGCAGACCCTTGGAAGTCGAACACACGCAGGTGTTCCATCCCTGCTGCTAGCTGCTCAGCAGTACACCCAAAAACTCCGCCCATTCTTCTTTGATCAGTTCAGCCTTCTCGATGGCCGGTCCTAGTTTCTCGCGCGGTACGCCGAGGATTTGCTCGTCTGAATCACGCTGAAGAAAGAATCTGGAAGTACGCAGTGTTTCTTCTAAGTCTGTAATAGCAAACGTGGTGAAATGCATATATCCGCCGCTAGGTCAGCACTAAAGTAGTTGAGGTGGACTCGAACCGCCTGGATATCTTTGCTGAGAAGTGGATGATGTGCTACTTCTTCCAGGTGGGCAAGGGAGGACGGACGCATGGAAACATCGATGTGGCGAGGAAGAAGATGGGAACTTGCATTGCAGAACCGCCGACAAGTCAGTCGGATGTTTTTGATGTCCTTGATTCCGTTCTGATTCATAACGTCGGGGATATAGAAGTAATCTTTATCTGGCAACCCAATAGTTCCTAGAATGTTCGAAGAACATCCTCAATAACTCGCCAGGCAGGTCCAGATGTTGAGGGAACGGATCCGGGAGCGCGAAGACGCATTGGCAGCCTCGCGCATAGAAGCGTGCCAACTCGCCACTTGATGCCTGGCCTGCTCCAGTTCGTGGACAAATTTCTGGAAAGAGTCGCCGGGCCAATCATCGCTTTCTGCTTCCCTAGTCGATCCCACATACTTGGCCTTTATCGATTGCGCTCTGATGGAGTCTATCTGGCCTCTGAGGGTTCTCTCGATAGAGTCTAGCTCCATGAGCAGGTGATAAATGACGCCTAGTTCGAGATGCGCTCCCGCTGTACCATCGCATGCTTCCATGGTTGCAGCCACGCAGTCGTGAGAAATCCCAAACTCAAGATGAAGGGACGTCGGAGTCAGAAGATGAGCTCATGCGCCTTCCCGACCCTCACAAAGGAATGTATGACCGGAATCGGAAAATCTTAGAGGACCGGCAAAGCGGCGTAAAAAGAGGATTTTATATAAAAATAACAAGTATTCATGTTAGGGCTATCAATTAATCTTCTCACTGCTAGTTAAGTATAGTTGTGACAGCGGATTATGACTGCTATTCCGAATACAGCATGTAATCCACCACCACCACCGTATTTCTCAGGGGTGCACCTAATTGGCCGGAATAGGCATCAGATACGTGTCCTAATAGACCCCTATTCTGATTCTAAAGATGGCCTCAGATGAACCCCTAAACATTCTCTTTAGTTAGATATGCAGATTATAACTATAGTATTCTCAATACTAGCTTATACAGCGTTCCGAATCCGTTGTCAAGTTGATATGGTCCTTGCTTGCCAACTTACTTACAGGATTTCCCCGCATTCTAATTTAAAACACACTAGAATTCTCCGAAAAGCCGCTCCGCTAATTTATTGACTGTGAAGTTTTGCCTATATATGTAAATTGACCATATTTTATCGATATCCCTAACATATGCGACAGCCAAGCGCTTCGAAACGTTCCGAGTGGGCAGGAAGCGGCGGGCGCCAACTAGGGCATTGATCGGATTAGCCCTACCATGGAATGCTCCTCATGAGTACTGATATTCCTTCGCCATGCTCAGCATAATACCTATTGTGACGGCTCCTAGAGTACATAGTAATGTAGGTTGGGATGAAATCACTAAATCTTTTTGACATACTAACATCTTCCTGGTATCTTTCCTACCTGTGGTTTCCTTCGATCTATTACATGTCTGATCTACAACTCCTGATAATCGAAATATAGAGAAACAATGTGCATAAAGTAAAACAGAAGAAGAAGGTTGAAGAAATTAGTCAATAATTCCTCGAGATAAAGCCGCCAGACTCGCCTCGTAGCGTACCGGATTGTGATCCCCGAGCATACCAGAACTGAATTTCATTTCGCCAAAATACGATTCGACATTGCGAATGAATTTAAGCTGAACCCTTGTCGCAGGCCTGCCCAATTGAGGGCGATGGTCGTGGTCAGGATTGAAATAGTTCAATGCTCCAGTTCCAGCTGCAGCTGTCGAGGACGTGAATGCATTGCGTTGCAAGACACGCATAGTATCGACTACAAAGACTTCACCTGGCGGGAGAAGTTTTGGAGCTATCATTTCCTCGCGCAAGCTTTGAAGGGTAGACCACGCCCAGGTGTCCTCGCCAAGACCCTCGCCAGCATCCATTGGTATTGGAGGCTGGTTCACGTAGAATTTGTTCAAGATGCTCTGTCTCAGACTCTCCCAGACACGGGAACGAATGTGTGTCTTTGAGTCCGTCGTGTCCCTTTTGAATGATAGAGCCACAGCCCGAAGGTCGTGGAGGGTTCCTAGAGATAAACTTGGAACAACGTCTTCCCCATTAACCACTGTAGTGACAAGACCCCGTGTAGCTCGTCGAAGAAACGGTGACATACATGCCGCCGGACCAAATGCGTATACATGAATAGGTCTGTTAGTCGGTAACGTAAAAGTCCTTGCGGCTTCCTGCTGATGACTTGCTGTCAGTAGAAGCGGTCGTGTTGCTTGAAGGGCTGATGCCGTCACGAAAGAAGGTCCTAAGGTATCAGCATTTGGCTGCGATATCATTGTTGCAAGAAGAGCAGCCACACCACCGCCAAGTGAGTGGCCACAGAATATTACACCATAGTCCGGGAATTCTTCGAGAGCTGCTTTGATTGTCGCCATGACTCTTCCACCACCGCCCTCTAGAAGCCGTTTTGCTGACGCCTGCATGCCTTTATGCACTTTCCAGTTTTTCCCTTGCCATTCAAGATCGTCGTAGTCGCATGTCATGTCTGTTAAGATATCCTCGAATCCCCATGTTCCACGCAGGGCAAGCACCACTGCTTTTGACTCGTGATCGAGGAAGAGGTAATGCACAAGAGGGAATCCGCTATCGAGCTCTCCAGCGGAGTTGGTGCCGCCGGCAGGGTCCACGTAAGATGACAGAAGAATGGTGGATTGCGGGAGCCCAGTCATGTTGGAAAAAGAACTGTGCTCATGGTTTTCTGGATCATGATATGAAATTGTCTTCTGTTCGTGTGGTACTCCCATGGCTTTCAGTGCATTCGAGCCATACGATGCAGATGAGAAACGGCAAAAGCGACGGATATTCTTAACTAAATGATTGTGCGGGAAGATTCCTGGCACCAGACCGTTGCGGTTGAGGCCGACAATTGTGGATTGATCCTCATAGACACTTTTCCTAGGCCGAGGAGCAAGTATAAGAGATGTCTCGGAGCTAGTGGCCATAGAGTAAATGCTAGGTACGAATGACCGTGACCGCCGATGAGATTGAGCAGATCCCGGTGGCGCGTCAGGAGTCAAAGATTTCTTAATATCATCTGAAGGAGTCCGGGAAAGTGAGCTGCTACTTCGATAATGAGTTCGAGAATAAGAAGCAGACCCAGGGCGGCTTTCAAAAGAATGAATTGAGTAAGAGTCAGTGTGGGCTACAAAGGAACCAGTGTCTTCATCAGGGATAGGAACAGGCAATCGGCTTGTCCCGGAAGAAGGTCGGTTTAGCTGGGAAATTCTACCCTTTGTCGGTGAAGGTGTTGAACGATATCTAGAATGCTCATTTGCCGGAAGTGGTGGAAGCGATCGGTTAATACTTGCCATTGTAGGCGCATACAAACGATTTTTGTTCGAGCGTGAATTCCGATTGTCTGATGTGATACTTGCATCCCTTTTCCGATCTTCGTTATCTTGGTTTTTAATAATCTTAGGCAATGTTGAGGAACCAGTGCCATTGAATTTTCCCGGTGCTCTTTTGGCCACATTCTTACTCTTAGGTGCTGACTTCTCACTTGGACCAGCCTTCACTTTCTGTGTAATCTTTGAGAGTGACGCCTTCCCAAACGAGCTGCGAGGAGCATCGGAACCACTCAGTGATGATGAACTCGTGACACGGCGCGGTCTTTTACGTCCTTCGTTCGCAATATTTTCAGCCGTGGTACCTGATGGTGATACTTTGTGTTTTGTTACGTCTCTTTTCAACTCAATATCCTTTTGAATCTTGCCCGTAGTGGCATCAATAGTAGTGTCATTGGAAACATGTGTAGCTTCTCTATGATCGTGAGACTCCAAGAGCGAGGTCGGTTGGCTTTCAAATTTTTCTGCTCGCAAATCCGTGCTTTGCGACTCATTGAAGGCAGTTCTAAACACGACAGTATGCCTGGGGAGGCGTTTAGTATCCGGTGAGGCTTGGCCATGGTGGAACCTTTCCTCAACCATTATTGTCCCTGGAGGAGCAGCAAGCTCTGCAGTGTCATCGTCAAATATATCCACCGTGAGAGTACGTGCTGTAACCAAGTCCGTTCTGATCGAAGCACGACTGCCATTAGGTATCTGTCGCATGATATAATGCTTGAGGTCTTCATCCGATAATTGATTGTGGATGTCAGCAGGTGCTATATTCCATGAATGTGAGGGTTGTTCGTCTTGATTGTAAGCATGTTCCAATGCACCAAATGCACTCTGTTCTCCAGTGTGATCCAAGATTGACGCCGGTCGAGATGAACCGTCGATATCGTCCGACATATCTTGCGCATATTCAGTGGTCTGGGTTCCAATGACGTCTGCTCTCATGCCATTATCCAGAATGACAACATCCCATATTGTAACCTCGCCTTCTGACTGACGCAGGTGTTTCTCTGTATTCAGTTGACCCCAGCGTTGCAACAAAGCGAATCCTATCGATCCTACGAGCAAATCCCCAACGCCGACTACATCGCTATCCTCCTCCTTATCCTTCTTAGAGAATTCTCTTCGAATAAGAGTGACAATCGCTGCAATAGCCCGTGACGATTCTGTCGAGCCTAGTATTGCATCCAGGGTGTATAGAAGATTCTGAGACAAGTTGGATAGTGAAAAAAGTGCGACTTTAGACAAGTGGAAACCTGCGGATGCAAAAAAGGAAGTAGACGTCACAGTTGAATGCAAAGCTGCCAACTAGGTGTCACAAAATATCAGATATTGAGTTTCTTACTCTAAGAAGAAGTGGGTTAACTCACGCTACGCTCGAGCATGGTCTCGGCTTCTATCCTGCCATACTCTCCATGGCTGTGGTCAGCAACATCATGACCAGCCCGCGTTAATATAGCTTCCACCACAACCCTGCTCAGTTCCAAGCCTGTCAGGGTGGTCACTCTAGCGCCACCGAGCGCAGCACCGCCAAGGTAAGTCCCAATGCGTAGAGAAAGAGAAGTTGAGTGCGCGAAAAGAGAAACGACTGAGGCAATGGACTGCGGAAGTAGAGTAGTCGCAGTTTTGGCGGCGGCGGTAATCAAAGAGCCGCGAGAATGTCCATTGACGCTTCCATCCTCTCGTGCTGTTCTTTCATCGTCGGGGGGTTCAGTCATTATTACTCTTCATCGCGATACTCGTCCACGCTATTGTCGCAAGATTGTGTAGAAGGGTTGTAACGGGATAGCCAGGATGGAAGGACTAGCAAGGGGTATTGGCATCTTCAAAGAGAGCGATTAAGATCCTGGATGCTCTGGATGTGTAGATCCGTGGTTGATGAGTTGTTGCTGTGACATGTGATCGGCCCGCTCTATCAGCGCCAGCCAATCTTTTTTCTATCTCCAACTTTCTTATCGGCACCCTTGAATTGATGCAGACTACAAAAACCGTGACGCTCTAATTACAATGAAGTCTTGAGATCGCCATATTACACTTTCCTAAGCACCTCGCGGTGGCAATCGCCAATCGATGGGATTCCAGCGATGGCCATGCTCAGATGGAAATCCGCGAGCAGGCCTTGCATTACTTCCTTTGCCCCCTGTTTTCCGTTGATGGCATAACCGAACATTACTGGTCTGTCAACTAATACAGCCTTAGCCCCGAGAGAAATGGCCTTGACAATGTCAGAGCCTGTGCGGATGCCCGAGTCGAACAAAACAGTCATGTCTTTTCCAACCGCATCGACAATTTCCGGCAGGACCTCGAGAGAGCCAATTGCACCGTCGAGCTGGCGGCCTGAGTTGGACTTTCTGTTAATGAACTACACCAGAAGTGCGATCGTTTCAAAGGTCTGCAGCAGCTTACCTCCGTGATTTGAGACCACAATGCCGTCACATCCATGTTTCAACGCTGCTTTGGCATCTTCCACATGTTGAATGCCTTTGAGAATAAGTGGACCGTTCCAGTTCTTCCTCAAAAATCCAAGATCGTCCCATGTGCGATTGGCACCAAAAATGCCTTGTATCCATTCTCTCGAGGCTTCGAGCCGAGCGTCTTCGACCTTTGAACCAGAGCGGTCCTCAAACTTGGCGCGGAATACAGGATCTGATAGACCAAATTCCGTTCCAACGCCAGCAATGAAAGGTAGATATCCAGTATCAAGATCTGCAGGGCGCCTGTGTTGGTGAGCTTAGCAGGGATATCTTGATCAATGTCATTAGCTTACCATGCCAATGTCCATGTATCCAAAGTCACTACAAGCGCATCAAACCCGTTCTTCTTCGCCCTTTTTAACAGGGATAGGGTAATGTCGTTGTCTTTTGGCCAGTACAGCTGGTACCACTTTTTGCCGTCTCCGCAACTGGCAGCTACATCTTCGAATGATGACCCTGATGCTGTGCTCAAGATATATGGAACATCGACTTCAGCGCAAGCCTCGGCGAGCCCCGTTTCTTTGTCGTCATGAGCGATAGATTGCACCCCAATGGGTGCCATCAGAAGAGGATTTGGGTATTTCTGCCCAAAGAGCTCGACTGAGGTATCAACCTCCGACTGGAGGAGAAAGGAGGTTGGCCTTCTCCGATAAACATGAAAGCCGGGGATGCTAAGCACTGACCATTTTCAACATTCTTGGTATTCTGCGATGTTTGTAAGCAAAACAATAATAAGGGAACTAAAGCACTAGAGAATAAGCACTCGCAGTTGGGTAGATTGCTTACTTCTCCACTGGCGGAAAGCTAAACGATTGCTATCCATTGTTGCATGCTCTCCAGCTCCACCGGCAATGTAATTGAATGCGCGTAAGCCCAGTGCCCGTCGGGCTTGTTCTTCGAGTTGGCGAGGGCTCAAACTTATAGCAGGAAATGCAAGCAGCCTATTACCAAATTCGGCTTTATGTAGCGATACGACCGACACAGTGTAGTGCCTTGCTCCCCAGGCGCCCCCAAAAGTAAGCTACGGTTGAGGACTCGGCCGTAAGCCCACATCTACGTGACTATTCAGGAAAAATCGTAGAAATTGCTCCGGCTTCGATATAAAGATCCGTTCCTTGCCATTCTGCTGCAAGGGACATATATACAACAAAATGGCGGCCCGCTCCGTTCTCCTTACCGGGGCAAACGGCTCCCTGGCCATCCCAGCCATTCATCGCCTCCTCTCTACCCAGCCTACCATAACCGCCATCTTGACGGTGCGCAATCCTGCCTCCGACGACCCCAACACCCGCCGCCTGCGAGAGACCATCGCCCCGTTCAAGGACCGCGTGTCGCTGAGATCTCTCGACCTCGCTGATCTGTCTGCCGTCCACAGCTTTGCCCGTTCTCTGGCCGCGGAGATTGGCTCAGGCGACATCCCTCGACTAGCCAGCATCATCTGCAACGCCTGTTACTGGAATCTCACCGGTCCGCCTGAACTAACCAGCGATGGATTCGAGAAAACCTTCCAGATCAACCATCTTGCACATGCAGCCCTCGTCCTACGCCTGCTAGGCTCTTGTACTACGAATGCCCGCATCGTACTTTTCGGCAGCGACGCTCATTTCCCCGGCAAGAACTCCCTGGAAAAGTACCCTCCTTCTCTACCGGAGGTGCAAGAACAGGCCGAGGAGTACGATTCTCTAGTCCATCCCGACGTGAATGGGAAGGATGACCCTCTCGGTCACGGATTCCAGCGCTACGCAAACTCCAAACTTGCCGTTATTGCCTGGATGTATGCACTCAATCGTCGTCTGCCGGATGGCGTTACCGCCATCGCGGTTAATCCGGGCAATCTGAGTGACTCACGCGCATTGCGCGTCAACACGCCCACTAGCATTCAGGTGATGTCGCGGGCGGTTATTCGGCCTTTGCGTCCGTTGTTGCGGGCGCTGGTGGACCCGACTATGCGGACGGCGGGTGATGCGGGGAAGGATGTGATTGAGTTGGCGATTGGGGATAATTATCTGAATGCAGAAGGATACTTTACGATGCGGAAGAAGGATGAGAGCTCGGCAGAGAGTCGCGATGAGAAGAAGCAGGAGGCTTTGTGGAGGAAGACGGTGGAGTGGACGGGGATCAAGGCCGAGGATACTGTTCTTACTCTTTGATTATCGTTTTCTTCTCTTTTATTTCATTTTATTTTATTTTTTTTTTATTTTCTTTTCTTTTTACATTTTTTCTCATCTTGTCTTTTATATAGATACCTAGGTACTTAAGTAAAGCGTGCATGTGAATTGGTCGAATAGACGGATAATTGAAGTTGACAGTGGACACCACTCTTTGGTAAGTAGATGAAATGAAGTGAGAATCAAAACTAGAGACTGATCAAGATAATCAAATAGCTGGAAAATCCTCAATGCGTTGGTAAATGCATACAGACAAAAAGCCCTAAAAGCCATATTCGTTGGTCCGACCAATCAGGAAACGCAGAGCCGCACTTGGAAAAATTTCCTAATACGGCAGTTCTGTGAAATATTCAACTTTTCTCCCTCCATGTCGCTAGTCCTATAGCAAATTGTCCATACCTAAGCTCTTGCCTATATCTAGGGAGCATTTTTGTGGGCCTGGCAATACTAGTTTGCTCACAGTCTTGCACACGAGAATGTTGGCCTCGCTTTAACGCCGACATCTCAGCGCAGTCAAATTGCTTCACTTTTGGAAAGTTTCTGGATCTAATCTTGGACCATAAGGTTACGATATTTCTTAAAGTGTAGTCAATGCTAGTATTTGCTACTTGTAGTTCCCTTAATGGGGCTTCCGATAATGCTGGTATTACCGTTTACACGGAGTTGCCACGGTTCATCCGGAGTAAAATCGTAGTTACGATGAGCCTCTCCAATCATTATACAGGCCAGTTAAGAGGAGCCTGATGGGTTCTGGTAAGCATCAAGATGACTGTTAGGATCTACCTTTCCGAAACGTATGTTGGACTAACCATATGTATATATGTGTGTGTATATATATATATATATATATATAGATGAGCCAGGATATAACGCAGCATCGGTCTCGAGCTTTAATTTAGCTCAAGAAAGCTCTTGTTGGACGCTAGCTAGGTGAGCGAAGCTGCGTGCGTTTACACACATAAAAGGTGCAGGGCGGTGTCACCACGCTGGCCCAAGCGAGAGATATGAATGCCGGGGGCTCCATGAAGATATAACATGAATGATTAAAAATAGGTAAAACCTTCATGCCGTCGTTATCGAGGACTTCCCGGCAGCATCAGTGTCGACTTGGTGAAAGCCAAGTACAGTTTCTCTGGCTACTGTGGAGTTGTCTAATTGCAACTCGTGAGACTTTTGAGGGATGTCCCTGATGATCTCGCATGGAGACTGGGTTGTCATGGGGATGGATGAACCAGGTAGCTGTACGAGCAAGAGAGCCAGGAAGCAAAATTATAACATAGGACCAGGAGGGAAGAAGTTTTCAAGGTCGTCACATGGCGCGATTCACGTGACAGGCAAACGAAAATAATGAAGATGACTGCCTGTTCTTTGTACTTTCATATGATGAATCACGGAGAGGACTTTGTTTGCAGCCCTTGATGTCCGACACGCGGCGCTTCCGTAGCCAAGCAGAAGCCGTAAGACCGAAGGACAGTATCATAGGGGCAAAAAAGTTTAACGTCAAACGCTGCAACGCGCCTTTCATTCTTTACAAGCATGTAAACTAGGAAGAGTCCTCTGTCCATAGTCAATGATGACAATGTCACCTGACTTTCACGACGGCCCAGGGTGGAAGAGCCCGAGGACGAAGAGAAGAGCCCAAGGGAGGCAAGCCACGAGAGCAACGAGCGCGCTGCGTTTCTAAGGCAGCAACTTGACTATCATGTATGTTCGCTGGCAGGGTTATGTCGGCGTCCACGTAACAAGGTTTTGAATTATAAGGCTATACCTACCTACCTAGGTAACGTACGATCGTGTACTAGGAAGCTTGAAGTGGAATATCTCTCAGTTGCCCGGAAAGTCCCCGTGAATCTGGGATCTAGGTATCTTGCATGAAAATTGAGTCTGTCCGTCGCCTTTTGCCTGACTTCGAGAAGATATGTAACCGGCAGACAGACATTTGCCAGCAAAAAGAGTTATATTCCTATTATTGCTCGGCAAAAATCCCAAAGTGCAAAACTGAAAGAACACTACAACTCCTTGATAGCTTAAAAGTATGAAACGTACCCAGATATAGTCAAAGAACACAAAGCAATTGTAAGCAAGCACAAGGAATGCAGAAACTAGCTGTGAAAGTCGAAGAAGAAAGAAAAGCGCAAGTTGGCGGACTCTCCCTACTGAAAGAGCATGGACCGACAATTACCCAAATAGGCGAAAATTGAACGGCGAGTTGTTGTAAAAACCACCCAAATTTCGAGGTTCTGGGCACTTTAATCTGCTATGCTTTCCCCTTCTAGCTGCAGGGTCATTTAATTTGAACCATCTAGTCATAACTTACACCATATACAGACACATACCCTCCCTCTTTATTCCCTCCTTAGTATCAAGTACTTGATTGCTGTACAACAAGCTTTGGCAACTGAAGTCGATTACAGCCCAAGAAGGAAAGCCAAAGACACACTTAAGCACATACGAGAAGGAACCCCCAGCACAGCGTTTCTGAAAGCTACTTTCAACATGGCCGCTGAAGGTTTTACGCTCGACGCGTATTTTGACGCGGGATTTCTCGAAAGTATGTCATGTCATATCTCGATTCGGTTGTCTGATATCTAGGATGACGTCCCAACTTGGGTTGTGGAGGGTATACAAATTATATTGAAAGTACAGAGCGTTCTAACATGGTGGTTCAACACCCAGAGCAAGCTATCCCAGACTTTGACGACGTGTTTGAAGGCTTCAACCACGTGTATGAAGAATTCGACGACATCGCATACGATTACGAGTCCCCACGCGATGAGCTCCAAAGAGAACAGACGAGCAGCAAAGACCTACCTGTGTATTTGAGTGATCCTTTCTCAGATGCAGCCTTGCCTGGACCCTTTGCAGGTAGTCATGCTGAATACGCCGGATTTCTCGAGGACATTATCCGTGAGAGTATATACGCTGTCGAGTGGTTGATTCACCTAGGTGGCAAGCATACGCAGCAATTGCAAGCAGAGCTGCAGAAATTGAAGGATGAGATACGTCAGTTGAATCAAGACTGGCAATTACTGTGCCTATACCCGGACCTCACGAAAGAAAGCTTTGAATTGTTGCCCGTGAATCACCAGAATGGTGAAGACAAGGTCGAAGAAGCAGACAGTATCGGGGTGATCCTCGGTGATACAAGCGTAACGAAGTCGGAAATTGAAGACAACGACGAGGAAAGTAGTGATAACAGCTGCGATTTCGAGTGGGTGGATGCCCTAGATTCTTCGAACAGTCACCACAAAAGCGGACAGGCAGACAGCAGCGGGAAAATCGACAGTGCTCTTATCCCTCGGGCTGAAGTTCTGACTATCAAGCATAACTTAGAGCATTCGCTTCTCATCTCTGATTACGAGCGCCCGTTTTATTTTCCAGCCATACTCGCGAGTCCACAGATTCCGAGTCCGCAAACACTGGTGGCCTCGATTGAAGATTTCGATGCCATGGATACTACGGAGGACCCTGTTGTAATGCAGCCACTCCAAACGCAAGAGCCTGGGGAATCATCGGCGGCCTTCAACTATTTCGTGCAGGATCTCAAAGCAGCCATCATCGAAGTTGAAGAAGAGTGCCGCTACAATGATTCCGCTAAAGTCGTCAAAGCCACCCTAGGCGAGATTGAGCAGGACGTAGAAACGGATGGATGCTTTGTATCATTTGCTACAGACATGATGAAAGCCATTCAGGCTGTGGAACAACAATTGAGAGCTCCTGACGCCGAAGCTTATGGCACTGATCCTCTGAGTGCCAAAAGTTTTGGCGACGGGGATTTTGATAACGAAGCTCTTGACACTGATGGCCGGATGGAATTGTGCGAGCCAGAGACAGATTGTTTTGATGGAACTGACAAAATGGATATTGACAATGACAGCCCGACAGCCCGGCAGCATAAGTCTAAATATGTCAGTACTGTGGAAAAGGCGCTGGACCGAATCAGCGCGTACACGATGGTGATGGTGCAGGTCAACAGGTAAGTGCAGTTGGTGCCTGATTTCTGGGGCGCAGATGATGAGTCAGCAGCCCGCCAATGAAAAGCGGCGACTAACCACCGGCGGTTTCCACAGCAATCCAAATCGTCACGCAGCAGTCAAGCAAAAACACAAAACCATCAAACGTCAAAAAAGGACCAGCCACCGTTGGATCCCTTATTACAAAGACTTTGCTGCGGTTCCGTCGATATCATATTTCTCACATTCATTGCATTCGGCTCTTGTGTGCTACTGAGGCGTTGTTTTATCCCACTGCAAGCTAAGTCATAGCTTCTTCCTTCTCTCAGCATAATTTCTCCTACGCGACTAGCCACGCCGTTGATCGTCTCTTTTACTCTTCTCTTACTTTTTACTCTTATTATCTCCTCTGCTTCACTCCACAATGGAATACCATTTTGTTCCCCAAGAAGAGCGGGCGCGTGACGATAAAGGCAATCTCTTACCATGGGGTTATGTTTACAAGGAGTAAGTCTTTACTGCCTCGCCCTTCTACTTATCCGTTCTACGAATGTGTCAGTCTGGTGGAGCTAAAGCTAATGTGCTTTATCAGTGAGAGCCGCAACCCACGACGCCCTCCTGAAGAATCTGGACCGTTTGGACGTCGACGAAATGCTCGCTACGACAGTGCCAGATCTCGCACTCGCACTGGGACGCCTGCGAAGAAAGAGAATCCCAGTGTGGCTGAGTTCAGCAGATTATTTTCTCAGCAACAAGAAGAAGAACGTACGAGTAACGCTCTCCCCAAGTCGTCGTCTTCTTCCACACTCGAAGGATCGAGGAAGGGCGGCGTAGAAAAGGTGGCAACTGAGTGCATACTCTATGGGTACAAGAACAAGGACACAGAGTGGAAGGTTATTGATAAATACGAACGCATTTCACAGGGCATGATTTGCGAAGATTACCCTCGAAATGACCCCGCCGTATCCAACAAGTACTCTCAACTGCTCAGTGGTGGCGATGTCGTGATACGAGCCAACCTCTCCGCGGACGCAAATCGCAAATCAAAACGATATGCCGGTGGCCACCACTGGATTAAAGTCACGTTTGACTCCACGACGGCAGCTGACCGTGCTTGCTTTTTCTCTCCACAGGAGATCGACGGTCACTCAGTTTATTGCGAGCCGTACCATGGACAAGGGCCCGCTGCTGGCGACGTTCCCATACCTAAAGGGTCCGATGAGGCTAGTCGCACGCGTCCGACGGTGCACCACACCCTCACGTCATCCCACTCTGCGGCATTTCTAGGAAACATGGAGCCTGAAAGGTCGACACTGCCTCGGTCGTTTGGAATGGGCAATCTGGCGGCAATTGGAGACCTCGATGAAGGCGATTCCCAGTTCTCGACCGCCACTGCCAGTTCGGCTACTGCAACTGCGACCGCAGTAGAGCAGAGCTCCTCTCTTCGTCAACGAGTTGCGCAGGAACCCAAGTTGGAGCCGAAGCCGGAATCCGAGTTTATGACACATATTCCTACGGTTCGTCGAGCTGTCCTTCGTCCGATTAGCGAAGCCCTTCCTCCTCAGCCGACAGTAACAGAGCGCGTTTTACGATCTATCCCGATCCTCAGCTGGTTCACTGGAGATATTGTAGGTGATGGTCCTCAGTTTGGTGAAGACGGAAAGTTCGACTCTCAGAAATCAACCTTGTATTGGCGTTTCTGGTACATGATCGACCAGGTTCTGGGTACCGACATTTGTGGTCTAAAGGAAGACTCTTGAAATCGCGGCAAGAATGCAAGCGAGGTTTTTTTGGGGTGTGCAGCCCAGAACTGGCTGTTGCTGAACGCCACGATTGACGAATACCCTGCCCGTCAGGACGTTATCTCGAAATGCCTGCTCAATTGGCTTGTAAGCCCATCTGTCTCCTTCACGGCTCGTCAGGACTCGTGTTAGGTGGGAAAAGGTCGGGTATACGCTTGCGAGTGGATTGGCAGTACACCTTCCATCATTTCCTTCGGTGCGGTATCGCCTGTGCATGAAGATATCCTGTGGTGTGCATTCCATGGATATGGATACTGGTAGCAGGCAGCTTTACTTTCGGGTCATGACTCGACATTTGCATTTGTATGGAGTCATACACATTCTACATCATTGCTCGGGGACGTCTGGGGAATTAATTGTACACCACGGATCCAAGAATGGAATGTATATTTTTAATTCATGATACGAGCGGGCTATGATTGGATTTTGTCCCTTTGCATGTATATTAGCGCCAGTGTTCTTTTCTCAAGTTTTCAGACTGTAAATGACTCGAGCGATTAACTAATGCATACAGAATAGACCTATCGATTTAAGTCTTTCTTCTGTTCTTCACACTCAGTACATCGTGTCAGCTATGCCTACTAGGCTGTTAGGGTTTAGGCGAGAAGAGCCGCCGCCCGACCAACGCCAATCCACCACGAACACGATGACTCGATGCGGCAAATAGCTTCTTGTGAGAAGATGGCAGATATATCCATATAAATAGACATATCAGATATAAGTAGCCTTTAATACACCGCATCCTTAGTGTCCTCCGTACACAAAAATGTATACATAAAAGCGGCTTCGTCTCGGCTCGGCTTTTTTTTTCGCACTCCACACAAACTGCTGATTGGCCGCACCAATAATATTCGCAATTCGGCGCCAAGCTTGAATTCAACCAAACTGCGACTTCAACCACCACCACCACCTTCAACGAACCCGACCTTGATCCCCGACAAAAAAAAGCCCCCCCAACTTTGACGACGAGCAGTAACCCAAACGGTCGATAATTTTCCTTTTTCTCCGGGGTTGCAAGAGGAGAACCGTCGCAATTCTTTTTTTGGGAGTTACAAACAACCACTCGAGTCATAACGACGAGCAGCCCCTCTTCATTGACATCAAAGAAAAGAGACCAACGACCGTTGCGGTAGCTGTTCTTTTTTCTTTTCTTCTCTCTCTTACCTCCGCTTATAACCTTTTACCATTCGTCATCAAGCAAACATGGATCAAGCCAAGTTGGCCAAGCTCCAGCAGAGCGTGCGCATTGGTATGTTGGATTCCTTTTTCCTTTCCTTTCTTTTGCGATTATGCTGTGCTTTTCCCGGGGGGTTGAGTGGCGGAGAGAAAGAGAGAGAGAGAGAGAGAGAGAGAGAGAGAGAGAGAGGAGAGGACGTCACATTACGGACAGTTGAGAATTGTTGAGGCGATGGCATGGAGAGAATGGGACTGCATGGATGTGTTTATGAAATTGGGCGAAGAAGTTCGTTGCTAACCTTCACTTTTGTTCTATAGGGTATGTCATGTCCATATCACACCTATTTGGAGTCGATAATCGATTGAATACATCGGCCATACGAATTCAAACCAACCACTAATGAATAAACAGAGGCAAGGGTACCCCCCGTCGCAAGACCAAGCGTGTTCACAAGACATCGACCACGGACGACAAGAAGCTCCAAGCCACACTCAAGAAGATGAACGTGCAACCCATCCAGGCCATTGAGGAAGTCAACATGTTCAAGGAGGACGGCAACGTCATCCACTTCTCCAACCCCAAGGGTTTGTCTACTATTATCAATTTTTGCTTCTTTCCGATCGTTAGATATGCTAAGAAAGCTCTAGTACACGCCGCCGTCCCCTCCAACACCTTCGCCATCTACGGCAACGGCGAAGAAAAGGAACTCACCGAACTTGTCCCCGGTATCCTGAACCAGCTTGGCCCCGACAGCTTGGCCTCTCTGCGCAAGCTTGCCGAGAGCTACCAGAGTCTGCAGAAGAAGGAGGCTGGTGAGAAGAAGGACGACGAGGATGAAGATGATATTCCCGATTTGGTTGAGGGCGAGAACTTTGAGGGCACCGTTGAGTAGAGAAGAAGAAATTTAATTATTTGTTCTGAATATCTTTCTTCTCTTTGTTGTATTTTCTTAAAGGCATAAGAAAAGAAAAGGAAAAAAAAATAGGGAGCAAAAAGAGGGAAGGCACTAAAAGAAACAAATGTGTGTGCATGGATTTTGGTGCATGCAGATGTTTATCATCTATCTACCTAGCGAATGATATACAAGACATACCATTTCAGCTGCCATTATCATTACTTCCGAGTTCTGATAATATACAGAAATAAGATACTAAGCATTCGTCACCTCATCCGTCCACTCCCACAACCTCCTCGCCAACCTCTCATCCACCACAAATCTATTCGCCTCATTCCGATACCCAACAGGCGTATAATACGCCCCATTCACAATCTGCTCCTTGCGCGCCCCAGCCGCAGCCCACAATTGATTCAGCGTGCCCGAGCGCACAGATCGGAAAACGACTTTCATGGACAGCGGCAGCACATAACTGGCGAGTTTGTTGGTTGCCTGCGTCGGATTGTACAGGTCACTTGCTACAAGGCCCGGATGCACGGAGACAGATGTTAGGGATGGATGGCGGCGTGCAAGTTCAGTGGCGAAGAGGATGTTGGCGGCTTTGCTGATTGCGTAGCGTTGCCAGGTTGTTAGGGAGAGGAGGCGCGGGGTGGATGAGATTGTGGTTATGAAGTCGGCTTCCTCTTCTTGTTCGTTGTTCGTTGGTGATGAGGATGAGGATGAAGATAGTGATGATGGAGTGAGTCCGCTTGCTAAACTGGTCAAGGTGATTACGCGCACATCTGCCGTCTCTTCTTCGTCTTGGTTCGCTGTCTTCTCCAGCACCGGAAGCAGCAACTTCGTAAGCAGGAAATGGCCAATATGGTTCGTGCCGAGTTGGATCTCATGGCCCTGCGGCGTTGTCACTGCTGCCTCAGCTAGTATGCCAGCATTGAGTATGAGGATGTCCAGTCTCGAGTTGTCCTGTGTGAATTGCGCAGCTGCCTGCCTGATAGATGAGAAATCGGCCAGATCTAAGCGGGTGTATTGTATGTCCACTGTAGTTGCTGTTGACGATGATGGAGAAAGCTCCTCTCGAATAGACCGAATAGCCTCTACGGCCTTCGCCTCGTTCCTAGCAGCAAGATAGATCCGTGCTGGATTGTGTCGAGCCAGTTGGAGGACTGTCTCTTTTCCGAGGCCGGTGTTTCCTACGAATCCCTAATCAGCCTGGCTCCCCCCCAAGTTCAATCAGGTCGATCTGAATAGCGACGCACCACCCGTGATGAAAACAGTCTTCCCCGATAAATCAGCAATGTCTCGCTCCGGGCGGAATGATTGACCCAACAAACCACCCGTCAACTCGCTGAGAGTTGGCCCCGTGGAAGTCCATAGTTCCGCTGGATTGCACAATCCATAGAATGCTACGCCGAAGATGGCGTGGAGATCCTGGCTGACAGTTGAGCGAGGACTGTCGCTTGCATTATTTGATGTCATTATGTTTTACTGCTGCGATGTCAGCCAGCATTTGCACATGCTGTTCTGTGTTTTCCGGTAGTGTGTTACTTACCTATTTTGATGGTAACATAGTGGCAAAAGAATTATATATCTTATACTTGTATTCAAAATCGTGTACCTAGGCAGTCAAGGGTTAAAAATTTGGAACTTGAAAAGTTATGCGGCATTAATGTGATCTTCTACCGCGGCTAAGTAATGTAATATGCATAATTTCAATGCATCATCGATGCAGCAACTACTACTAGCTTCGTCGCGATACTACAAAATTAGACAAAAAAAAATATACATGGTATGCGTCTGAAGTAGTTAGCTGGCCATCGATTTACTAAACATAGCTGTTATAGAAAGCAGGAAATTCTTTGTAGAAATGTACATCGCGACATTGAGCACCTCGCTGTGTCCCGCCCGGCTTAGTCAATTTTCGAATACTTTGTGCTTCTGAAGTTCTGCAAGAGCCATGATGCTAGGAGTACGAGCAAGCTGATGAGCGCTATTACCGACGCTATTGTTACTGGGGTCAAGGTGGAGGCAGGGGTAGAGGGAACGTCCAATGTCCCATCCAGTCATAGACCAGCCGCGTCGCCAGTCGAAGTAGGTGGAAGGACTTTGGCGATGAACTTTTCGAGATCTTCAAGCTCATCTGGATCGGCGGAATGGCCCAGCCCGCTGTCATATAACTTGTTTAGTAACATCTGGGAATATATGGAAGAAAGTTGACTGATGGGGAATGGACACACCGATAACCGCGAAAATCAACATTAAGCCCAAAATCCTTGAGAAGTTTTTGCGTCATATCACCAAATTCGTACAGAACAACAGGGTCATCCCGACCATGCGCAAGGAAAAATGGAGTGTTCTGATTTGGCAATTCACCCTCTGGCGAAAATTCCTTGATCTTGGTGGAGAGTAGAAGGTAGCACGACAAGCCAAAGATGCCCCCCAATTTATGTGAACTTGTGATACCCGTGAAAAGTGACATGGCACCACCTTGAGAAAAGCCGCCTAGGACAATGCGTGAGGGGTCAATTCCCTTCTCGATCTCGGCCTTGATTAAATTTTCGAAGTAGTCGCGCGATTTGAGGATGCCGGGTTCGTCTTGGTTGCGTTGGGCTTCTTCGAAATCCAGCTTGATTTTGGATGCGGGGTTAGAGCGTTTGAAATATGTCAGAGTGAGAGGGGGAAACAAGTACTTACATCGCGCCCTAAGTGAGGAATGTCATACCAACCCGGCATCGACATGCCCATGTTCTGTTGTACCGTCAGTTTCGAATCACATCAAAATCGGTCAAACGAGGCACTCGGCACATACAACAGTAATCGGAATACTAGGCGCATTGGGAAAGATGAACGAGACCTCTTCGAATTTGTTCCGGCGACGCCAGTTCTGTGCAAGACCGGCCCTGCGATTTTACCGTCAACATCAATCAATCAATCATTGTCATTCGAAGGACAACGAGCCGGGTTGATTGCATACCAGCCAGCTCCACTAGATAGCTTCAAAATCAGCATTCAATTATACAGCATCATAGAAAAGGAGAGGGCGGACAGACCTATCACCCAACCCATGAGCCATGATAACTGTTGCCGTGTGCTTCTTCAGAGCAGGGACGACGAGGGGAGCTCGGTACGACATTTTGCCGATGCTGATCAAGGCCGGGAACCTGTTCAGTGTAACGGGACAAGGAAACGACACAACGCGCGATACAATTTTATTATTTCAACAAAGGAGGGAAAAGAAAGAAAGATCGTAAACAGCACCGAACGAGTTCCCCGCCCGCCGCTTGGTCTGCATGTGATTGGGCAATTAGGAAGGGATCTGCCTGACGAATCAGGCGGCATATTACTGATTACTTAAGCAGCCGGCTTAGTCAACTATCTCCGCATTCGTTTTGGGTTGGTTTGATGACTCGCGATATTTCAATTCTAGAAGTTATTTTATTCTTATTCACCTTACTAACTAATATCGCATGTCACCAACCAACTCCGGACATATTCGGTTATATCTGGCTAACGATCAGAGAACTGCAAGGCAGCTAAGAAAGACAGCACCGAAAATGCCCCAGCTAGCAGTTTGCATGGAAACATCAGCGCCACTGGTCGGGCTGCTAGTCGAGGAGCTTGCCGTCGAGCTTGAGGCCGAGCTCGATGACGTGCTCGAGGCCGCTGCACCGTCTGCTTCGGACAAGTTTGCAATGCGTGTAGCGGCTGCTCCAGAGAAAGGCGTTACAGTAAGACCGGTGTTATTTGCACATTGACTGGGATTGTTTGTGCTGGTACTCGAGGAGAAGGTGATATCGGCGCACTGTGAGCGCTGGTCAATACAGGGCGAATTAAGTGAAAGATGAGAAGAAGGGAAGAAAAAGAGAAATTCTTACAGCGAATAGACCGCCACCGGTGTCACCGTCAGTGACTACCTGCAAAGTCGCATCCAGGCCATCAGTCAAATTCACACCAAGGATGGCCGAGTCAAGCGTAATGTTTGGCAGGCAGAACTCTCCAAGACCCGTGGCACCCAGCGTCGGACCTAGGGTGATATTGTAGTTGGTGCTGGGGTCGGAGCCCAAGGCCAGGAGGTAGGAGACGGCAGTTTTGGTGTGATGAAATGTGATATCGATGGCTAGAGAGTCTGCGTCGAGAGCGATCACGGTGCGGTTGGATGAAGGGGTGTTGAAGCCGCCGCAGGGGAAGTTTGGCATGTTATCCTCATTGGCACCGCGTGCAACAGGCCAGTTGAGAGTGAAATGGGCCGACGCGACGGACGCCAGGGAAACGAGACTTAGGAAGAAGGCACGCATGTTGATGCTGATGTATGATGATGCTGATGCTGATGATGCAAAGAGGCACGACAAGACACGCGATACAACTGGATGAAGGTCTGTGGAAAGTGCATGGGGGGAGAGTTTTGGCTTATGAGAGATCTTGTATCTTGGGTGCTTGGCAACCAAGTAGCCTTCGATGGGCTCTTTCCAGGTCGATTCAATTTGCTACGACGATGAATCAGGCAGGTGCTAGAGCCCGGACTCTGGGCATAATCATATGTTGGAGGACGGCCCATGTTCCGCCGTAGTAGATTGCTCTACAACAGGCCATAGTAAGGGAATACACATGTCTGAAGGCTTTACGTCCATGGCGAGTTGCGACAATTTTCAGCGGCGATGGAAATCTGCTCATTCATGCGCACGCTAAACCCAACTCGGCAGGGCTACCCGTGGGACTAGGCCGAAAGCGGCTTAGAAAGGGCATGGCGGGTGAGCTTAAAATGAACGCATCGGAAGAGGAAAGAGCCGCCGCATGCATTGCCGACTATGTATGGAGTAACAAGTTATGTACAAGACTGACTGCTGCTAATGCTCGTTCCAGTGCACAATGTGTCGGCCCACGGCCAACTCTCCGAGAAATACGCCTGCCAGCACAGACATGAAATAGCCCACGTTCATCGTCATGACCGCCAGCATGCTGTGGATCTTCAATTAGCCCTGGGACGGGAAGAAAGAGGAGGGGCATGCAGTAGTCCTTGGGGAGAGGGTGGGCATACAGCAGATAGCTTACTCCAGTGACAACAAATGCCAGACACGCTCGAGGGAAGTCAACGCTAAGCCGCCATGGCTGCGTTTCTGTCGCGACTTGGCGCACAACTCGGACCGTCTCATCGACACCTTGACATGTGAGGACTCCGGTCTTGACATTGTCATTGTTGTTGTTGTTTTCTGGATCCATATTGCCAAGGCCGGATTCAGGCTTTTGGCCCGCGACAATCACATATCGCCGGTCAAGGGCGATAGCTAGCCACCTTCGCTCCATGCTAGCTTTGAACGCCATCAGGCATCGGCCGATAATGCCAAGGACAATCAGGAAAATACATGTGCCCGCATACTGGCCGGAGGTGCTTGGCGTCCACGAGGATGAGAATAGAGGGGTGGTGTGGCTGTTGGTAAAGACCATCTCCATAGTCATCATGCTCATGCTGGTGGATGTGCTCGCGCTGGCTGAGGTCGAGCTCGAGGACATGCCTGACATGTCCATTTTGTAGTATCGACGATGAGTATTAAAATCGAGTATCAGGGGAATCGAAGTTGTAGTAGTAGCGATGACCGCGAGGACGTGAAGGCAAGCAGGGTACAGTATATACGGCCGATAAAAAGCCCGTGGAATAGTGAGAAAAAGAATAAAATAGAAGGGAGAAGGGAAAAAAAAAATTAATTGAATACGTGTACCGCCGTAAGCAGAATATAAGGTCTGGACTGTTGTTTTAGTGGACAAAAATAAACTTGCATCGCATTCGGAGTGCGCAAGTTTTTAGTCAGCAGCGTCGAGGGAAAGAACGTCCGACGGATCTGTCCGCCTCAGGCCATGATGCCGTCTGCTCTTTTCTTCTGTTGTTCTGTGTTTGCAGAATTCTCTCCTTTTAATTGATATGGTCTGAATCGCCCAGCATGGACATGTCGGAGATGGACATGGGCAGTATGTCCACTGGCGTGGGCATACCGACCTTTTTCCAGTTTCAGAAGTACTACTGGGCTGTCGTTGGAACAGTCATTGCCATTGCAACAGTGGCCAACGTGCTGAATCGACTTCTTGCTCAACAACGGTGAGTCTGACCAAGAGTTTAATTCCGTGAGAGGTTGTGCAGTATGCTGACGGTAGAATAGACTCCACGACAAATCAGATACGCCATCCAAGCCAAAATCCATATTTTTCCAAACATATGCAACGATTACTGCGACCACCAGGGAACTTGGCAATGCGGCCTTGCAGCCCATCAATCTAAAAGGCCATACGCTGCGTCTAGCTCCTCTCGGCCCTGTGTCTCTGATGTTAGCCAACTTGGTGACCATCATTGTTATGATGTTCTACGGCTTTGATACCGAGAACTGGCTGAACTGGGAAGATATTGGATATAGAGCAGGGTTCATGTCCATTTGCCAGCTACCTCTGGTCATTCTACTGGCTGGGAAGCAAAACATCATCGGTTTATTGACCGGAACTAGCTATGACTACCTAAACTGGTACCATCGTTGGGTTTCTCGGACCCTGTGGCTCTCAGCTACGATTCACATGGGCTTCTGGTTTCGAGACTACGGCAAATACGACTATATCGTAACCATGATCAAAACAGATTACTTCACACAACATGGCTTTGCTGCATGGTGCGTTCTAACATTCATTTTCCTCACCTCGTTTGCCCCCGTGCGCAGGTGGAATTATGAGTTCTTCGTTATTCAGCATATTGTGACCATGGCCGGTTTCTTGGCTGCCGTATATCTGCATGCTCCGGGTGAAGTCAGATTTTGGGTTTGGATTCCGATTGGCTTTGTGTGCTTTGACCGCTTCGTGCGAATACTGGTGCTGGCATTTGCCAATCTCTCTATTGTCCACTTTTGGTCGAACCAGCAAAGACCGTTGTTTGCCAACAAGGCCACATTTACTCCTCTCCCTGGCAATGTCACCCGCATCACTATACCAAATCCCCTCATCAACTGGAACCCTGGACAGCATGTGTTTTTGGGCTGTCACTCGATAGCGCCTCTTCAAAGCCATCCTTTCACCATCATGTCGATTCCATCGGATAATAAGCTTGAGTTTCTTGTGCGCGCCGAAAAGGGTGGCACCCGTCGGTTTTTCCGATCTGCGACTAAACACAACGCCTTGCTTGGAGAAACGCAGTCTACAGAGAAGGTCAAACGCACAGTGTTTATAGAAGGCCCTTATGGAGCTGTACGGTCCTTACGTCAATTCGACAGTGTTGTCCTCTTGGCCGGGGGCATGGGCTGTACCTATACCCTGCCTCTGATGCGAGATATTGTGCATGCCTGGAAGCTGGAATCCCAGAGTGCAGGTACACTCGGTTCAAAAATATCGTCCATGGCGCCAGAGCGATTGGCCACAACAAAAAGAATTCGCTTCGTCTGGGTGATCAAGTCACGCAGTCAGCTTAGCTGGTTGGAGACAGAATTGCAGTCGGTGCTACAAGATTTGCAGAATTTCCGACAACAATACCGTGAAACGGACAAGGAGATTGAAATCAGCATCTACTTGACCTGTGATGAAAGCCTGGAGAGGCCCATGGTTGTACAGCATCCTTTTACCATGGCAACACATGAAGACAATTCGCGAGATATAGAAAAGGGAGGCAGTCCTGATGAAAAAGTCGTCCAAGCCGAGAACGTCGTAGTAAGATCTGGCTCTCCATCATCCGGATCAACAGATGCAATCCAGGACACAGGCTGCGGTGTCAAGAAGACATGTTGCTGCAGCACGGTAATTGAGGACGAGGATGACATCTCATCCATGCCACAATGCACATGTTCCGGTCCAGCGGCGTCAAATACAGTGGCTGGGGCAGAAAAGCAAAAGGAAACTGCCTTATCATCGTCATCGACCTCTTCACTAACAGACCTGAAAGGGTTTAAAACATTGGCTGGTCGACCACACCCACGATCTATCATCGGTAACGTTCTCGAGCGGGCCCAAGGGGAGAGTGCAGTGGTGGTATGCGGACCACGCGGGTTTGCTGCAGATGTGCGACATAGTGTGGTGTCTTTGAGCGATGAGCGAGCAGTGCATAAGGGTACAGGGGCGCAAGGGATATATCTCCATATCGAAAATTTTGGGTGGTGAATAATAGCATTCGTCGTTGAATTGTATATAGTTCATATTTATCCCAGAATCGACGAGCCATAGATAAATACATAAAGCCATATGTTGCCCTGGCAGCCGGCGCTAGCTCACGTGATTACTCTGCTCCACCATGACGTACCCATTCTTCTTCATGCATCCTCATGCAACGACTTTGACTCACCAACAATTAATTTATCTATCTCACGTTTAACATTTCCCACAGAAAATATTCAAATCCAAAAAGAAAAGAAAAGAAAAAAAGCTAAACAAAATGTTCCGAATTGTACGTCTCATCCTTTAGACCCCCGGAAAGAAGCCAATGACTCTTCAAAAGCCGACGTAATCCAATACATTTATTCATTGATTGCTAACACAACACCAAAAAAAACCAGCACAAAACCCTCGACATAATAACCCTCTTCCACAAACCCACCGTCCAAAGCTCAACACGCGTCCTCAACCTCCTCCGCACCGCATCCGCACATGCCTCGGAAGTCGCAAATGCCACACTAGACCAAGCCAGCGACGTTTCTTCTACTTCTTCTTCGACAGCGTCATCATCAAAAAAGCAAATCCCGCTGCGCGACGATTTCGAAATCGAGGTTACAGAGTCGTTGCCTACGCCGGATCAGCTTAGTACTATTATTGATTATTTGGGTAGTAAGGGGGTGCGGGCTTCGGCTGTGGTGGAGGGGGCGGCGAGTAAGGAAGATGCGTTGAAGAAGTTGAGTGAGAGTGGGTTTGTGAGGCCGATTGTATGTGTTGATTGATTTCCCCTATTCATTTTCTTTTCTTTTCTTCCTCCCCCCCCCCAAGTGTATAAGGTTGACATGTGGTTTAACTGACTGGTTCGTGTTTATAGGTCGTTGACTGGAATAATGGCCGTGCTGTGGTTGGCGAGAATCAGTCCGAGATATTACGATTGTTGAGGAAGGAGGATGACTCGATATGAGGAACGAGCTGAATCATATCTTTTCTGCCACTTTGTACCTTTTGTCTTGATCATGAGCACGAGCATGTGGAAATCTGAAAACTCGCCACTCCAATTTCCAAACTAAATTAGTCACCACCATCTTCTTTCTTATTTTATTTCTTTCGTGTGTCAATCCCGAGGAGTATTGTAGCATAGCATAGATGTTAATACACAGAGCGATCAAGTCAGAAGAAATCATGCTATTACCTTCCAATCTGGCCGAGTACAAGTCCATGACCAAGACCCAGAAACCTAGGGAGGCTCGTTTCTGGACGGAGATAATCTTGATATCTGAGTAACCCTTATATCCGATGCGATATTGCCTTGTCACTATTCGTCTACGTAATGTCTTGGTCAGTCTGATCTAAGGTAATCCGCTGAAATACGAATCTGATCTTTAATCCTATAGACTTATACAGTTTATCTCTCTGTCTCGGGCTGAGCTGAAGCCGCGGTATTATTAGGTGTATAGGTATATAAGGAGTAAGGATGTCAGTCTTTAGATAAGACAGACGCCCTCCTTTTCTCTTTCAAGTCGAAAACTACTACATATACTACAGAATGGAAATCCCAGACCGTCCCGTGAGCTTCGTGCCCGCCAAAGCAGGCGATGTGCTCACCCTAGGAACGATGACACTACGGGTGATGGAAGATGGATCGAACACGGGTAAATCTTCATCCGGGGGTCCCCTATATACATATATATATATATATATATCCAATCTATACACATCAGCATCCATGTGGTGTACCTAGGTACTATCATCAGAAAAACCAGCTGACTAGTCCGCAGACATGCGCCTCAGCAGCGTCGAACTCATTGTGCCCCCAAACACGCGCGGACCACCACCACACTGGCACGAAATGCACGACGAAACCTTCCTAATCACCAAGGGCACAATACGCTTCCACATACCTCCAGCTGGGCCAGACGGAAAACGAAAACCGGCCGAAATCATAGACGCACAAGCTGGCGATTATGTGGTTGTGCCGACTAGAAGTCCGCATACATTCTCGAATCCGACGGATGCTGAGGCACGGTTTTTCAACACTTTTACGCCCGCCTTCTATATCAATTACTTCAAGTTATTGGCGGAGTTGAGTGACGAAGCGAGGCCGCTTACAAAGGAGGCAAATCAGCGGGCTATGGCTTACTATGCTACGTTGCCGGTGCCCGAGATGTGATTATTCCCAGCTTTCTGCTTCGATATCCGGAATGTATTGAAGGGAAGAGGAGCATATTGCGGGGGGAAAAATGATATGGAGTAAAACATTGATGAAATAATCTCTAAAGAATCATACTCATACATGCATACATACATACTGAGAAGAAACAGAACAAGACGGGCATCTGACAAATGCTTCGCAGAGATAAAAAGAAAACAAACCGGGGTAGTCCCTTGTACCAACAAGTCAAAAACCTGTATGTGTCGGTGTCGGTGATAGGTTATTAATGTATGTATGCAATGGCTTGAAAGAAAACAGAAAGGAGAACCGCAGTGTCGGATATACTCATAGCGCAATAAACATCGAGTAATTAAGAATTGCTTCGAAACCAGAAAAAGAAAATAACAACGACTGGGTAACATTGAGCCTGCTCTATATTGAACCCCCTAACAGAGAAGAAACAGAAAGAAAAAAAAGGAGGTTAAAAAATCGTGCCGAATGTGCCATCCGTGAGAATGGATTTTCTGGGACTGCCTTTGCCATCTTCCACAGCTGGTTTGCGATGTCTGTTCAAGTTAGTTGCTCGTTTATCGAAATTCGTAGGGTATGTAAGGATAAAATACCTAAAAGTAAATCCAACAAACAATCCCTTGCCCATCTGGTCCTCCCGCTCGGCCATTTCTTCTAATTGCCGTTGCTTGTCGTGCACCTCTTTATATTTGGCCATGTCTGCTTCATTGGTGAAATCATCAAAATAGCCTGCATCAGTTTCCGAGTCCAGCTCCGGAACGAACGGCGCCATGCGCTCTCGTAGTTTACTGAAGTCTACTTCGGCAAAGTACTCATGCTCATGAATTTGTTGGATGTTTTTGAATCGTGTCTCCTTGGCCGCCACCAGGCGTGTAATCAAATCCCAGGTTCGGCGAGACAGAAAATAGTTAGGATCCTCATATTGAGGCTTCCGCAGTACCTTTTGCCAACGCTTCAGGTTCTGCCATGTCTCGTCGACAGTAGCACCCGAAAACGGAGGGTACCCGGCCAGTGCTTCGAACAGCATGCAGCCCAAACTCCAGTAGTCCACAGTGAAGTCATAATCCTGGCCTTTCAAAACTTCTGGTGCCATGTAGTCAGGCGATCCTACTATAGAGTTGGCATAGTTGACGTCGCGTTCTCTCAATGACCGGTAGCCTTCACGTCGTTCGGCCGCTGTGCGCTGTTCGGTCGGTCGTCCAAACGGAACTGGCGTGTTGCCTACTTCTTCCAGCTTAATGCGCATCGATTCTATCTTTACGGGGTTTAGCATGCCTGCAGCCAAGCCGAAGTCAGTCAACTTGACGTGCCCAGTGCCATCGATCAAAAAGTTCTCTGGCTTTAGATCCCGGTGGATGTATCCTAGATTGTGCAAGGCATCCACACAACTAAACATCTCGGCAATATAGAAACGCGCATGGCGATTATGTAGGACACCCGTGTTGTTAAGTAGCGTTCGAAAGTCACCACCAGGAACATACTCCATCGCAAGGTAGATCTGTTGCTCGTCTTGAAAGGCGTACAGGAGCTTGACCAGCCAGTCACTCTTGGCAGCAGTCAAAATGTCGCGCTCAGTCAAGATATGGCGAATCTCATCGAGTTTGAAAAGCAGCTTTTTGCTCATGACTTTCAATGCACAAACCTCGCGTGTGTCTTTTTTCTGTGCTAGATAGACTTGTCCATACCCGCCTTGGCCGACTTGAGTAAGGATGTGAAAGTCACCTTGGCGCAGGCGAGTTCGTCGTCTGCGAAGGTTAGCACGTTCACGACCGAGATATCTCTGAAGCTCATGCTCATATTCTTCAACGGGTGTATGTGGAGGCGCGGGGTGGGCGGCCTTGAATGCGTTATATCGAGTTTGGCGGTGGTGTACATAGCTGAGGATGTCGAAGTAGTGATCAAGGAAGTCTGTACCAACATTAGAAGACAGGTTTCTCTAGAAGACAACAATGACATTGACAATGGCCAACCAACTTACATAATTGCGTCACGTTGGCCAGTCGCTTGACCTTGGGCATTTGAAGCTTTTCAAGGTCTTCCGGAGTCAACCCACGAAGCGTCTGATTCTGGGCCCTCCGCACACTTTCCATGTCCCGTTGTTGATATTGCTCGAGTCGAGACACGGCAGCGGAATTAGCATTCAGCCCTAGGTCTTTGCCCAGGCGTGGTATATTGGGCGGGTTGTTTTCCTTGTTCGATCGGCGCGTCGGGCTACCAGGGGCCGATGAATAGACATCCTGGTGGATCACGCTGCGATTGAAATCTTCCAACACCGACAGCCCCTTGCCAGGAGAGCCTGCCGTTCCAAAAGCCGACTTGGTGGGGGAAGACGGCGCCAGCTTCATCGCCTTGTCAAAGACACCAGGCAGATTCAGAGCCCCAGGGGGCAGTTTGTTCTTGCTAGGACTGCCAACGGGGGTCTGCATGGGGCTCGTGAACTCATTAGGATTGTGGGTGGGCGTTGAGGGACGGTCGTAGTTCTCCTGGCTGGCGCGCGTATGGAGGAGCGGGGGCGGATTGGGCAGTTGGAGGGCGCCCAACTTTGAAGGCGATTCCGCGATGAATTCGCCGCCAGCAGCCATGATGATATTGAAGTCGCGGTTATCGACACGGCTATGCTATGTTGTGAGTTGTTATTAGCTTTGGCCGCGCAACAGGGCGGCGGTAGGAGAGCAGCTGGTTGAGTGGCGGGGCGAGGAGCATATGCCGATTGATCAACAATAGACAGACAGACAGACAGACAGACAGAACAGTCAACGCTGGGAGAATTGAGAGATGGCAAAGGCAGCGAGCACAAAAACGAGAGGGAGCATTTGAAGCAAGCAGGTGTTTGCAGGAGGCAAGCAAGGAAAGAGTAGCAGACAGCGAGAAGAAGGCAGGAAGGGAGCTCTGCAGAGTGTGCTCCATCGGGCAAGTACCGACGCACTGACGCCGCGGCAGTGCCTGAGGCGCCCCGGGATCACCTGGTTGCCCCGGAAACCTGAGATTTCAGGCCCTTCAGCCAGCCAGCCAGCCTTGTGGATGCTCAGCGCCCCTTGCTGAGCCACATTAATCTATCGACTCGATTCGATTTCTTGTTTTTATTATGGACTATGACGAGCAGGCTGCGATCGCTCTAATTTACCGAGATCGTCATCGCCAGCATATCCACACGCGGAAACTAGCGTCCATACATTGTGTCAACAATCCCAAAACAAAGAATCAAGCTTATTTTACACAATGAATAAAGCATTCTGAAGAACCAGCTACCTACTACAGTGTGTGTAAATGCTTTGAACAGACTGCTGGGGTCAGCATGTATGTATGTTAGGTCTACTGTTGACTCGGAAGAATCCGAAGTATATAATTATTGGGGTAGTCTAGCAAATATTCAACTAGTGCCAACTAATAATTGTGTAATATCCTAAATATGCATTATAAATCTTCAACATTAAATCCCAAACACTCAAGCAGCACCCTCCTTACGCTGGCCGGTCTATAGAAGAAAAGCAGTCAGCACATCTTTATATCTTGAAAGATAATGATATAACTCGATCCGGACAACACATACGTAGAAAGCCAAGCCATAGGACGGCGTGGTGAAAGTAATCTTTGAGCCCTTGGGGAAATAAAAGACATCGCCAGGCTTAGCGGTGACTTTCTGGCCTGTCTCGTCCGAGATCTCAAATTCGCCTTCTAGGATAATCTTCATTTCGTGGTAGGTGTACTCGTAGACGAGCGGAGTGCCTTTCTCGAGGCGGTAGAGGCCGCATGAAACAGGTTTTTCGGGGTCATTACGTTCGCTGTGAACAGAGTTTAGCTTATCAACTTTTGAATAGAACTGTTCTTCTTTCTTTCAATTGGCAACGAATAGATTTTCAATTGAATGAATTCCGGACTAGAGACGCTGTGTTGATGTTCATACCTGGTAGCAATATCACCCAAAAAGGCATTCTCATTCGCAATCAGTGGCGGCTTGAAAGTGCTCTGAGCCTGGCCAAAGTAATTCATCGCAATGGGACCCATCTTGGCTTCTGTAGTAGCTGTGGTGTTGTTGTTGGATACGCGACTCAAAATACTACCCATGATTCGTGAATTGAGGATCTATATATACACCCGTGGACGTATGGAGTAATTAAGAGAGACACGAAAGATGAGATAATGGAGATAGATACAAAGTCTAAGTCGTCATAAATTAAAAAATTTTTCAGAAGGGAAACTTGTTCCTCTTTATGTATGATAAATGATTGCTAGCTGGTCATATAGAAGCTGCCTACATAGGCAATTGAACAGCTACTTGTAAGAGGGTATGAAACCCGGAATGACGGTACGTACATATGGACGAGGGTCCGTTTACTTCAAGCGCGTAGCGTTTGGAGTAATCAAGAGCTCTATCTATAGAGTGAGCCAGTTACCTGATCTAGACTGGTAGATAAGGAAAGATACAGCAGTAGGTTCTGGATTGATCTACTCCAATTCCGTAGTTACATAGGTAGGTAGTGCGGAGGTATAGATCCATGAGGAGAATTATTGTACTATTTGTACGGTCTATCAATCTGCTACCTGTCTCATGACTTCCCCCCTCCCCCAATTAAATCAAGTATCTACCTATATCCGTTTATATCCATGGAAGTTGATTGAAAAAATAACTTCAATACCTATAGCCTTCGCGAATGCTTTTTACACACGGCGATTTACAGACACAGTTTCCCCTCACGGAAAACCAACAAATAAGCAATACGTATACATATACACTAACTAAAATTTATGGGCCAAATTATATAAGCTCTTACCATTCAAGTCAAGGATCCATAAAAACGAATACAAACGAGCAATGGATCTTTTTTCCTATTTTGGAAAGCAAACCTCGCCGCGAACCGTGTCCCGATGCGGTTTAGTGGCATGCAGTTGCCCTAATTCCTCCTCTGTATCGGTTTTTCTACATACGTACACCCCCTCCTCTACGTGACAATAGGTACACCACCCCCCCTTTTTTTTTTTTTTTTTTTTTTTTGTAGAGCTCACACAGCTTTCCGTGATGATAGTTAGTACGTACACAGCGAAGTTGACACCCTTCATGAGGATTTCTATATTTGCGAGGTAGATTCCTATATGAGTTACTTCAAGGTCCTCTCTCTATACATCAATAACCTCGCTATATACCCGGATAAAAACAAACTTTCCTAGGTGTGTCGCTGGAAGATGTCTACGCCTTTTTACCCAATATCGCACTGTATTCCACGCATACTGCCTTGCTCTGCATCTATGTTTGTATTCTTTTTCCCTCGCTGGATCAAACAAGCTAGTCAGTTTCCTTGCACCTTGTGTATATACCTTAGCCATTCAATTTCCCTAGGAATTACTCATCTCCCCTCATCTGGGGGGCGTATCTCCCTCTATCCCTTTCTTACCTAGGGCAAATTAGAATAAGCTAGGCAACTAAGTCCCAACTCGCTTCAAGAACAAACAGCTACTAGCTAGGCAACTTTAACTAGAACTGGTGCCTCTTCATACTACCAGCATACTAATCTAGTCTGTTCATTTTAAATTTCCCGTTTAGCGCGGCTAGAGGTTTTGCGTGAGTATGTGTGGATAGTGGCATGATCAGAAAATCGATTGGTGAGTAGTGCTTAGTCTCTTTTAGATCACTGGACTGTTTCCTTTTCTCTCTCTCTCTCTCTTTTTTTTCTATTTTGGAGACCTACTTACTTTTTCTACTAATGTTCTCACATATTTTCCCTTAGGATTAAGGAGGCTTGCGTGATTGTCATTTATAATCTCGTCTTCAGCGGCAGTCCTTTCTACCCCCTCTGTTTGAGCCTATTCTTCTATATAGGTATGTAGACTGGATCTATAATACTTCTACAATCTCCCTCCTTTCCCCCCGCCCTTCTCTCTCTTTCTTCTCTAATTCCACTTTACTGACCCTTTCTTACAAACAGCCAAAGCCGAAAGCAGATATAAACAGGTACCTACTTTCGTCCGTTATTTCCTTACTTCCCCGCCTTCTGCGCTCACAACGATATGAAAGAACCCAAAAAAAACTCATATTTCCTAAATTCCAGAGCTACTTTTCTTTTCTTTGAAATTTAAAGAAAACCATCAACCGAAAATCCAAGAGGAAACAGGAAGCACGCCCAATGCAGAAAACCATCACTAGAACAATCGTCCCCGTCCCTTTCCCAGCTGAACGACCAAGGAACTTCCAAGGTGGCACCGGAATCATCTTGACAACACCATTCATTTGAGTGAATAGAAGACCGAGGAATGTGCTCCGTATAAGGAAAAAAAAAGAACAGATCCGAAAGTTTGAGAGGGTTCAATTTCGACAAGTAAAAAGAATTCCTTCATTCATTCATCTTTTTGTGTGTCCAGTCCAGTTCGTCCAGTCCACAGCAGGTCAATATAGATCAATCAACAAGCCCAACGCGATTGCGATCTGTCGGTTCAATTTTAGTAGGCTTGCCCGCCTCTTCCCATTGCGCACAAAAAAAAAAAAAAAAAAAAAAAAACCAAAAAGGAGTAAACCAAGGACAGGACCAAATCGAGGCAAAAAGCGAACGCTAAAAAAACACGACGCCTTTGCTATAAGCAATTCCCACAAAACCACAAATCTTAATACTCGCTCTTGCGTTGCATGACATTCGTAATATAACGGGATCGCTCAAAAGAAAAACAAAAGACCGAAAGCGCCAGAGAACCAGGAAGAATATATCGTTCCCAACCGAAAGAAAAAGTTACCCAACATACAAGAGCAGGAAAATTATTGCGATAGCGACAACCGCATAGAAGATAAAGGAAAGTGAAAATGCCAACCGTCACCATGACAAGAGAGCTCGAGAATTATGTCGATTCGTTACGCTCATTTCTCGACCGGAATTCCAATGTTAAAATATCGCCAGCCAGTCCCAAGAGCGACCACCATCCGATGGAATTGTGTCGAACCGACTCCGCCGGGTCAGGAAGTGCGCAGGATCGAGAGAGGAAGACAACCCCCGAGACGGCTGTTGGAAGAAATGAGAATTACCGGCGGATACAATCGAAAGCCCTACCATCAGCCCAGAAGAACTATGAAGCTCTGCGTTAGTGCCTGCGAATGAGAAGCCTCTTTGTGACCAAAATGATGACGCCTTTTCACTTACCTTCCCATCCCCAATCTTTCATTACTCCAACCCAATGATGGCTACCTCGTACCGTTTGTTCAAAGTCTAGTTCTTCTACAATTGGAACCATAAACCCATGTCTTGCATTCGTAGGACTCATAGAGTATAAACCTCCCGACGTGTGGTTATTATCAATCGAACTTCCGTAAATACTGTCTGCTTTCGACAGATGAACTGCCGGTAACGCAATAGATCCCTTGCGACTCTCAGAAAGTGAATGTGATCGCAGTCGCAACCTATCTGCCTTTGCTGCGTCCCTCCGTCTCCAGACTTCGCGAATAACTTCCACACAGCGGTCGATATTGCCTATTCTCAGCCGGTTCTGCATCGCAACCCAGCGCTGTAAAATCCACTCGCGGTCTTCCTCATCCTCAAACTCGCAACTCGCGACAAACAGAGGGAAAATGTGTAGAATGTTGGTCCTCGAAGATAGAGGCACAGTTGCCAACAATTTCAAGGTGTTGTTCGCGAGGACTGAAGATGATGGTGAAGGGATTTCGGGAACAGCTTGGTGAAGGTACAAAAGAACCGCCCATCTGTACGCATAAGCCGTCTGAATACTATCTTGAAGTTCAGATTGAGGATCTTCCGGTGGGTTGAAATGGTTGGGGAGGACCCAACGGTCAATCGTATTTTTCAGCTCCCGGGCTTGAGAAATGATAGAAAAAGTGTTCCTGTCGCTTTTTCGTATTCGCTGCACAAGACTGGCTACATGACCGATGAGCGGAAATAACGTAGCTGCACAACCCAGCAGTGGATCAACGTCATGAACTCCATCTTGTGGCATTACCAAACGTGAATCACCCAGTCCCTCTGTATCAGCCTCATCCATGGACGTGATCCGGGCTATTACGTCCATATAAAGCCAAGTATTGTATAAGAAGCGAACCCTCCCTAGTTCTTCTGATGCCGTCTGGCGCCGAATCCTATTTTTCAGAGTCTGGCGCATGAGAGCTCTTGCCCCTTTGAGGTGCTGAATGCCCGTAGAAGTCTGCTGATCCCACGTTTCAGCAAAGGCCAAAGATAAAGTTGTAGCCAAGGCTGCGTCTGTTTCCATTTGTTCCATTCCCTGGACCATGAAGTTGATACTTTGACGCATGTGCTCCATACCAAAGACTCGCAGAGATGGATTCTCGTTGGAGGAATGAAATGCAGCCATTGAAATAACGGCATGATACAAAGCAGGTGATTCTCTTGCCATGGGCCAGATATGAGTTCGCCATGGGTTCTCCGTTATCCCATCCTTCACCGACAGAATACCACAAGTCAACCGGTCGAATCGAACAATTAGTGACTCTTCGCTACCGACAGTTGGTTCGGGTTCCTGCAAAAGCATGTTCGTCATAGACAGATCGGGTAACAAATCGCTTTGCGTGGTGGGTGGAGGGCTCTCCTTCACCGGCCATAGCTGGAAGCCGGGTTCTGATTGTCTAATTATGTTCTCTACATCATCGGCGTTCTCTTCTAACATCGATAAGAAGCTTGGTTGACTACTCGGCATGTTGAAAGCCGCCTGGTCGAGATCCGTAGGCAAGGAATGAGATATTGAATCTAGGTCAGTGTTCGAAAAGAGGAACCCAGTCAGCTCTGTCCCCGGGGTATCCAAAACGGTTGGCGCATTGAAGTCTTCCAGGACTGGGCCAACCAGGCCAAGTGTATGTGGATGGCCAACGATTGATGTTGAGTCGGCGAACATGGAAGTGCCCGACAGTGATAATTCATCAGGCAGCGAACTACTAATTGGCGAAAGAAGATTCTGCTGTTCGTTTAGACCCAAAATCTGACCTGAGGATGCAGAGCTTCTCCTAGCTACTTTGCTTGGCTGAGAGGAGCCTTCTTCGCCATTTGCTTTTGGCGGAGGTGACGCTGATGCTATAATTAACTAGAGATCGTCTTGCCGGACATGAATCCATTTGGATAATCAACGCACCTTTCTTTTTCGGAGCTGTCTTGGTGATCGCCGGTGTTTCCTCGAAGGGGCGCCATTTGAAGTCCTTCTTGTAGCCTCCACACGTTACGTTGCGTTTATGACATTGCTGGCAGCTACAAAGAGATGACAGAGGGAATCGAACAGAAAGAGCTCAGCAATCTGTTGCCTCGAGAAGAAAAATGGTGACTCCTGATTTTTCTTACCTCGGCTTTGTCTCATCACACTTCAAGCGTTTTGCTTTGCAAGTAATGCAGCCTATGCCGGTCAGTTTAATGTGACACTTCGGTGTGATTTCACCCACACGAGAACAAGATGCTGACTGAGATTAAGAAGCTGAGACTCACCGTTACGGCTTTTGGACTGCTTAGGGCGCTGGTTCCCATTTGTAGGAATTGTAATGGAAGGGGTCTTCTTTTTCGGACTTGTCGCATTTTGTCGAGGTTTTGACACAGGCTTCTTGGGCAAAGGCTGTGGACCTGGGGGATCTAGAATGGCCGAAGGCGAGGGTATTCTTATTGTATCCATACCCGGACGAAGATACGACACATTTGGCTCAGGGAAAACCAAATTTTGGGGAACATAACCAAAGCGAGATAATCAAACGGACGAGAAGAAAAGGCAAATGCGCTGGTGGAGGAATGGAATGACGGTATAGCTTGATAGATAAGAACAGCCACAAGTGGAGTGGACTAAGGGCGCTCCGTCCCAGCTGGTATCTTGTGTGATTGCTGGCGAATGGCGAACAAAACCCTGTGAGGCATGCAAGGTGGGCGGGTTTCTATAGGATTAATACAAGGCCCTGGATTGTTACAAAAAATGTTTTAATGTATGTTGAAGACGACGGCGGGGATATCAGTGTGAACGTGGGCGTCAGTGTGTCTAAGTAGATGAATGGTTTGTCGGCGGCTTATCTATGGCAGATGGAGAATGCCTGCCGTCTTAGTTGGTCAGTCAGGATCCAGATGGTGTGCGGAGATCCAAAAGAAGAGCAGCATTATTGGAAGATAAGGCCGGTTGTAGATTGAATCAACCCCTGTGCGGGGAGCTCACCGCGAATCACCACAGGAACAGTTGGGCCCAGCCTGAGCGGGTAAGCATTGGGCATTGGCCATGGCAGCGATCAGCCGACAGGAGGAGGATATCCTTACTGACTGTACGATACTGATACGAGCGGCCGTTGATACCACTTGAGCGCTTCTGGAGCCTTTGCTCCGGAAATTCAACGAAAAAACGAGGGCGCTGCACAGATTCCGAGATGTCCGGGAGCGTTCAGTCGAGTTGAATTGGATTGAGTTATCTAATGGGCTCGTATATGAAGACCGAGCCCATATCAAAGTCAAGTCAGTAGACTCACATGTGGGGTAGAAAGATCAAGAAACGAAGGACACTGCGAATAAAATACTTGCGTCTACTTACTGGCCTTTGGGCCATGCTCCCTGCGCAGAGGCGAGGACTAGGCACGTTTGGAGACAGACCAGCGCTAGAGACAAGGCCGCTGACGTGGATGATCGCTTGCAAATGGCGGCTTCTCCGTGGATGCGGCGGCATAAAGATAAACGATGGTGATGGCTCGTCAAGGACTTCAGGGGTTGTCGAGAGAGAGACTCCAAAATGGCAAAGACGAGGGACGACTTTCTTTCTTTCCCAGAGGAAGGTGTGCTGCCTCGGCCCTCACATGACGTCGTCGCCTTAAGGAATCCATCCCGGTTCTCAACCTGGAAGGAACGCGGAGACTTCATCCGCCGTTACACAAAGTGTTTACAAGCCACAGACAGCAGCATGGTCGGGAAGATACGGCTGGAAAGAGTCATTTACAGATATGCATGCCATTCATTATACTTTTCAGAAGACTAGAGACTATCCATAGGGAAAACACGGCTTCAACAGACGGTCTTGTGCACCCCCTCGCCCATCTTCGACATCCAAGTAGGGGGCTGATCGTGGGCCTGCTGGCCGTGCTCCTTGGATCGATGCTGTCTGCGTTCGATACGGGTTTGGTGAGGATGAGTCTGCAACCTGGAAAGGTCGACGGGGTCTGAGTCCACCAAGCTATCGGTGACGGCCACAATGTCGGCAATCAAGCGTTCAAGTAAATCAGCGCTCATGCTTTCCCGGACAACCACTCGCAAGATCTCAGTTTTGTTGGCCGTTGGGGGCAGGGGATAATCTAGGATCGATGTTAGCGGAGTTGAATCTAAGTGTCAAAAGAGACACAGGAAGTAAGAATTCTTACTGGGGATAATGTACTGCTTGGCTCGTAGCAGAATGCTGACACTCTCCTGCTTCACGTGAGGATAGTTTTTCTGGAACGCGTCTGAGAATCGGAATGCCACCACTGGCAGTCCTGCTACGTAGTCGGCAGAGGTCTCGTTCGCTGCACTACCAAGCACCGTGTCCTTGGCCGTCTTCAAACTTTTCTTGTGGTGAATGGTGCTGACACACTTGAACCAACCGGTCTTTTCCAGTGCTTTGCTCAGCAGCCGTGCGTTTGCTAGACAATTCTCCATGATATCGCGGTATCCGTTGAAGCCGAGATGGATGAGATTGTAGTACTGTGCAATCACCTGCCCGCCCGGTCGTGAGAAATTGAGGGTATAGGATTCCTCGGTACCTCCCAAGTAATGCAGCTGGAAAATAAGGTCTTTGGGGAGGTATGATTGGTCTCTCCAGATAATCCATCCGAGTCCGGCATATACAAGTCCAAACTTGTGGCCAGAAGTGTTGATGGACTTGACTCTGGGAAGTTCAAAGTTCCTAAGAAAACCAATAAATATATGATAACTTTTGACGTTTGGTTGGCAAAGCAAGAGAGATTTACCATTTCTGACCGCCACCGGCATGGGTAAAAGGGGCAATGAAACCACCACTGGCTCCGTCGACATGGATTGGAATATCATGGCCGGTCTCTGCCTGATACTCATCTAAGATCTTTGAAACCTCTTCTACAGGCTCATAATGACCGGTATAAGTCGAGCCCAAGATAACAAAGACACCGATGGTATTCTCATCGACATTCTTGCGAACGAGCTCTGGATCCAGAGCAAAGTTGCTCTTTTCTGAGACATCCAGGATACGCGCCTCCACGTCAAAGTACCGAGCAAACTTTTCCAGCGCTACCTGTGCGTTGGCGCCCATAAGGATGTTCGGTCGAGAAATATCCTTTCCAGCTGCTTTCCGTTTCTCCTGCCACCGACGCTGCATCGCCTTGCCGCCAAGCATGATTGCTTCGGAGGATCCGACAGTTGCAGATCCGATTGCTTTCTCGTTAGATCGGGCGCCCCATAAGTTAGCGATGATGGAGACGCATCGGGCATGCATGGCCATCAGAGCGGGATATTCATCCGCGTCAGCCAGATTCTTCGCCATGTTCTCGGCCATTAAAGCATTTGCGTCTCGTTCCATATACGTTCCGACAAAACTGAAAAGGGGTCAGTATGTGACTTTCTAGTTTTCTTTCTCACAAGCATACCTAGCCAAATTCAAATTCGGCCTCCCATCAAGATCCAACTCGTCCCTCAGAAGCTGCGCGGCTACATCTGACGGCGCGCCGTTCTGTGGAATCCGGAATTTCGGAATAGCCTCCTTGCTGGAGTAGCGAGTCGAATACGGGGTTGAGCTTGCAACGGCATTTTCGGTGTGAATGTTGGATTTGAGAGTACTCTCCGAATCGGTTCGGAGAGCGTTGATGAGCTCATCGGGGTCGACCTAATTATTTTTCCCCCCCCTCTATTTTCAGTTTTGCTGGTTCCTGGCTCGAACGGGGAGGAGTAAGTAAGACTTACGTGTCGGGAGAGAGTCATAGTGAATATGAATGAAATCAATTGATTTAATGAAATTTTAGGAATAGTTGAAATCTTTCGTCTCGTGAAAGGAAGGAAAAAGTTCACAGAGAATAATAAACGACCTATATAAATAACCCAGAACCAAGCTTTTGCTTGCATATGACATCGACCACTAACCTACCTACCCAATTACCATGTCAACTTACCCCAATTTCATACGATTGACGCAACTCCCCACCCGACATCTGACTACGACCTGGGCATAGGTACATTCATGTGGTCGAGACGATTCTCCTTCCGACTCCCCCGCCTCTTTAGTTTATGGCAAGTCTCTGAAATGGGTTTTGTGATTCGTGTACTTATAACGCAGTTCCCCGATGACGTTCCTCGAAGCTGGGCCATGGATACATAGATGACGTCAACAGATGTTGTTCTCCGCACTAGGAAATCTCTCAACAACGATATCCTACGCTACCTATGCTTCCTCGATAATCAACAAGAAAAAAAGAAGAGAAAAGAAAAAAGGAAATATCCAATTTCCTCACAATACTCAATGATAGCAACTATTTTCGTTTTTTCTATGTCGTTGTGATTGAAGGCGTCATGCGTCATCACTCAATCAGAAGAAATGGGGAATTGATCTTCTCGTTCTATCCCGATGCGGAAGTGATAGGCATTCTTAGGGCACAGGGCTAGGGCTGGAGGATATAAACAATGTTACTGTCTGTTTTCTTTCACCTGATTTCTATACTAATATCTACCTTGATGCGTGGAGGGTATGATGAATGCTCTGAGTGTATGATTAGGTATATTTATATTCCATTCAAATACCCATCCCGTATTCTCCTGCCAATGACTTGAAAATGACTAGTAATCCAACCGATCATGACAACTGGCAATGTGGGCACACAACGAAACAAAAAAAAAGAGTAAAAATGAAAAGTGAAAAAAACACAATGCGTACTGGTACTGGAAAGAGACAAGTCGTAAGCCATACAGGAATCAGCCTTGGCTATCTTGAATACATGGAGTAGGGTAACACAAGGAAAAAAAAAGATGCGCCCAAAGTTCAGCAGAAATATCCCTCCCGACACCTTGCTCAAAAATGATAACATTGAATGCTGATGCGCGTTCAATAAGAAATGAGAAAACCGACAAAAAATAAGGCTGGAAAAAAGGTTTACAGGTATGTACGGAATTCCTTAAATACCATTCGAAAGGGGACTCGCTTTGTCACTATGTGAATCGAATTTGGAGACACTTTCGTCGTCTTTGGCTCCGGAATTGGAGCTGTTATCCGTGTTTTTGCCGCATCCCTTGACAAGAAGATGTCGCTATAAATAGTCCAAATTAGCCATTTTTCTCCCAAAAAAAGAAAAAAATAAAAAATAAAAAAAAAGGAATGGCATAAAGAGAGAAAATACCTTCAACGCATCTTTTCGTGAAAAACTCTTTTCACAGTGGGTGCAGGGAAACGGCTTGACGGATAAGTGTATACGCTTATGTCGTTTAAGGTCGTGATTTCGGTTAAAGGACTGCGGGCACTGGTCGCATTTGAAAGGCCGATCGTTCGACGCGGCAGACGATCCATGACCTTGGTGGTGGGAAGGATGGCTGCCATACATATGCTGCATACTCGCTAAATGGCCGCTTGTGAAGCCCGGCATCATGGTGGAGGTCATATTACCCATCAGTGACATTTGCCCGTTAGGGTTGTGCACATTCGTCATGATTGGCCCCGCCATGGCAGGCAGTGAGTACGATGGCCATGGCGGTCGGCTATAGCCCAACTGCGGCGGTTGCATGGGCGGAGATTGAGTTGGCCCAGACGGAAGTCGCGAAGTGTGAATGCCCAATCCGCTCTGACCTACAGCGGACGGCCCTCCATAGGATGGAGCGTACGTGCCGGGGTGTGGCGCCCCGGCGGTAGGGGAGGTATTATATAAGGGGCTGACCAGCGGCCTCGACCCGTAGAGATCAACAGTAGCCATATGATGTGACGGCGCAGCGGTAGTTGTTGGAATGCCATGAAGCCCTGTGTGTGCCATCGGCTGGGATTGCGGATGCGGATGCTGCGCATGTGGTAGTAGAGTGGTAGCAGATGCAGGAGACGATGTAGGTATAGACTGTTGTTGGAAAGGTGGGAGATGATGGTTCAGGTCATATGGTTGAGCCATTCCTTCGTTTGTCGTCGGCGGCAGACTGCCGCTGGTTCGACTAATTGTGACTGACGGTGGAGAGAGCACGCTTCGCGGTTGAAAGACTCCAGTGGCGGAACTTGCGCCCCAGGATGGCTGGGAGGGCGAGCCGTAGGTATACGAATTCTGATTTTGCCACGAGGGGGGATAGGAGGACACCTCTTGTGCCGCAGATATTGCAGTTGAGATGTTTGGCCCCGGATGTAATGTATTGGTCGTACCTTCGCCAGAATGATTTGAAGGTGGGGTGAGCAGATTACTGACGTTGGATGGGGAGGGAAACTTGGTAGAAGTATTAACCAAGCCAAAATTGGCCGGCGGAGGAAGCTCGAATACAGGCAGATTCGAGGCCGCTGGCCGGCGCGCTGTCAGCGGCTGAGGTGCTGGGTTCAGCGCATCAAGCGCCGTACCCATTCCGGGCGGAGGAACTGCTAGAGCCGCCAGGTTGGTGGTTTGTTGACGGTTGAATTCTTGAGCAGAACGAAAATAGCTAGGATCGATGGTAGGAGGAGTTGATAGGGATGCGGCTGAAGAGACGGTGCCTTCGAGATTAACGATGGGGTTCACCGTACCCGTTCCTACGGACCAGTAGCGGCCACCGAAGCCGTCTGAAGGATCCAGGAGGGATGGCTTTGATCAGGGATGAGATCTTCCCTGTTGGATGAAAGTGTACACGAAGGAGCCGTCGATGGTATCTTCCAACGCGGAAGTGTTTCGATACCACGAAAAATAACGCGCGCGCGGAGAAGGTTCAAGTAGAAAAGTTTAAAGAATCAAAACCAAAAAATAAAATAAAAAACAAAGACCGTGGGTCCAGTCGGGAGTTTAAACAGCGTAGCGTGCACCAGATTGCATGGTAAAGAGAGTTCTTCCCGGCGGGTTCAACAAGAAAAGAGTATTTTTTTTTTCTTCCCACGTTCTCGGAGCTCGCGCGATTGCGACGGAAAAGTCTTGACCAGTCGAGGGTTGGGACGGGCTGGGAGGCAGACCCGGGGCTAGCGATGGGCGGCCGTCAAACGTCGCATCACCAGTTGGGTGTAGAAGGAGGGCTGGAGGCAGTTCGCAATTGCGATGTGCAGCAGTTGTAAGTTGTATTTATGTATGTGCACAGCAGGCGGGATTTCGAGTACGCGATAAGCGACAGGCTCTATTTCCTGGATGTCTGTGCACGGAGAACAGACTCAAACCAGACGGACGGAGAGGGGCAGTGGAGCAGAAAGCAGGACAGGACAGAGGGCGAACCGGGCAGAGCAGAACAGAGCAGAGAGAGCATCCACGAACGATCAACAGTGGTGGATGGGAGGAGAGAAGAGCGAGAAGAGGAAGAGGAAGAGGAGGAGGAGGAAGAGCGAAGATTAGACGCTGCAGACAAGAGGAAGGCGCCGTGAATTCAGAAGGAGAAGGAGGTATCCGGCGAGGCGGGCGAGAGGCTCCACAGTTGGCCGGTCGGCTTGCAGAACTAACTGAAGTCGGGTCTGGACCACGGCGCCAGCGCGGGGAATCTGGATGAATGTCCTTTATAGATATGTGTATTTACGAGTGTGTATATATTTATGTTTTTGGCTAGAGTCAACCACATGCCAGACAGGATGCTGCACAGAGATACATTCACACAGACACACACACACACAGCGGCTACGGAAATGGCCGGAGTGCGTGCTGACTTGCACAGTGGAATCGAAGGTAGATAGATATTGAGAGACTAAAGATTAGTAGAGCAGAAGACAATAATACGGCTAGCCCGAATTACGGATACCGATGCTGGTGGACCAAACGTGGATGGAATGCGTGAACTTATTCTTAAGAATAAGGGGTAGTTAGTTTGTTGATATCTACAGGATATACCATGCAGACGCACGGGCTGAGAAAAAGAAAAGAGAACAATATAGAAACAAAATAAACAAACAATTCGAAGAAAAAGGAAAAAAAAGAAAAAGTAATGCACACAAGAGAAAGGGGTCCGTACTCGGAACGGTATCTTACGTGCTTTGTGTAGCGCGTACGGTACGATCCATTCGATATATTGAATTGATACGAGAAGGGGCCAATGGCATCCCAGTTCTTGATGACATTATTACGGGTGGTACTAGAGGTATGTAATATAATACCACGCTCGTACTGCATCCTAGCCGCCTGGGCGGTAAAATAAATGTACGATTACCAAGGATGTATAATTAGGTACTGTAGCTTTACTCTGTATAGACCAACTATGCACTTGAACCTGAGGACAGGTTATTGCTATTCACGGTGAGCCCAGAGGGCGGCTGCTGAATGTATAAGCTGACCGAAAAGCTCTACTAACTATGGATCAGATCAGCAGCAACGTGGTTGACAGGGCTGGGGGCGGGCGCCGCAGCCAATGTCAGCAAGATCCGGTTCTTACTATAGTTACTGCTATATTATTATAACCTTCTACCGTTTTCTGTACAGTATGACTTAGACATTCTTACGGAGTGAATCATTCGTTACACGTCCTCCCATATCATGTACGTAAGAGCAAGTAAATGTGGCTGCGGCTGTGGCAGTACCGAGTACAAGGAACAGAGGAGCCCTACGGATCCCGGGAGAAGGGCATGGGCAATGGCAGCAGGCTGAATTCGTCAAAGATTGACGCTGTGGAGAACAACGATCAGCGGCGCAGTTGGGAGATCAACATCGTGTGTAGCTTATATTTAAGCTCAAGATCTAGACTTGTCTGGTATACAGATGTACTTTTTGTAGTACTGTTTCTTCTGTTCCTGTGCACTTTTTGTTCCCATAAACCGCTGTCCTCTGTCTAGCATACACAGGCAGTGAATAAGAAGATCAATACCACGCAAACGTAACGTACCGTACGTATCGGTAACAGTCGTAACCGTATCGTACGTAGAGTACAAACTACCTGACTAAGTAGTCAGTACCATCGTATAATAAATAGTATGGATACATCGCGTGGTCGCGGTGATTCGTCCAACCATGACTCCTTGCATCCGGGGAATCGCTTGATGTCCTCCGCAGCACGAACGCTAGTCGCACCATGGACCAGAATGAACTAGAATATAGACAGAGGTCAGCTGACTTGGTTTGGCCACAGCACAGAACAAGACTCAAGACTCAAGTACAAAGAAGAGGGTACGGAACTCTGGTTCTTGGGTAACATTCAGGCTGAATGAATACCTATCGAGTTAGGGAATAGCTCCACTCGTGAAATGTCACATGGTTTACAAATTAGAAAAGAACAAGAGGGTACTGCTCTTACCGCTAGCTAATCCAGGCCTAGCCTCGGCACCGAAAGCTCGATTGAGAGGAATGGGCTAGAACGGCCCACTTTGTCAGTTCTGACTGTGCAGTGACTGTGCAGTGACTGTGCAGTGTAATGTACAATGATTTTCTCGGTAGGAATATCGTTACATTTGTTATTTAGCAGAGTGATAGTCGCTCGCGAAAAAAACAGGATTACGAGTAAGGACGTCGCAGTACTTAAATTAGTTTAATAAATGTCCGATTCAGCACTAACTCTAGCATTGCCCAAACCGGTTTAGTCGCCAAGAAACTAGTCCTGTTTGGGTCCGCGGTAACTGGTTTTGCCCTAACTGGATGTAATTGTCTTTTGATGTCTGGATGACAGAGTGTCCAGTTCGTAGATTAAATAACGAACATATTGACCCTGAGAGGTCCACTCAGGAGATATCTACAGAAGTATAAATAATAATAGTGCTGGACGGAGTTGCATTCTCGCAAAGATCAGACCCCTCTGTCCCTATTTTAGCCTCATACATACATACATACACACACTAGTCAGCCAACTATTGTTTTTTTTTAAAAAAAAACTCTCTGCTAGAATATGCCCGGAGTACGGAGTAAGACGGCTGCTTCTTTGCATCCACCGTACTAATATTTAGCCTTTACTACTCTAATAGCTCAAGCTGGGAGTAACTTGTAAGCACCTGTATCCAATGGTAATGTCGAATACCTAAATTCTTATATCTAGCATGTCGGTAACACCCGCAAGCCAAGTCTAGCATATGGTCATGTGAGCAAACGCTGCATGTATGGCAGTATGTACGCAGTATGTAATGTACCATGTATGCAGCATGTGTTGTTCATCAGAGACGAGCAGGGGCTAGATCAAAGGCTGTGTCTTATATCTGTCTACTATCTAGCCTATAGCGAACTACCAACTGGCTACTTCTACCGGACAGGCTATACAGGATCAATGACATACATGTATCTAAGTCTTTATTTCCTTTGACCTTTTCTATTTTAGTGCTCATCCCTCACCACTTTCTCTCGCAAGTTTGCGCTGGAATGTACACCAAATCTTCTACTATTATATCTCGATCGAAAGTATGAACTACACCATTTGCAATTAGACAACATGGTTAGTAATACCTAGGTATATGCACGACCGGCATGGATGATGGCTGGAAAGCTGAAAACTGCCACGATGAAATTATAGCTTGTTGAATGATAATCTGATCATCAATGCCTTGGTAACTTGTCTGTCTGTGCTCTATGTGTATAGTCACTTGCTCTACGAGTCTACACTATCCTTGTTCCTGGTAACTCATAAACCTTAACCAACTAATCGAGGAATATTAGCTTGGAGCTTAAATTCAAATCAATTAGTGAGCCAGTACCTGATCAAGTAGAGTTTCTTTTTCATCTGTCGAGTTGTAGAACATTGAATAGGTAATTTCCGACAGGGTTGATCTTACTATATTTGTTGTAGGTTTTGCTGATAGTGTTGTCGGGTGTACGAAGTAATAGAAGTAGAATCGAGATTATAAATATAAGATGTTAATGATTGACGATACCGTGCTCTTATCTATGTATATAATATTTACCCGTCAAGCTAACTTCTGAGTCTCAATACGACGTTTTACTATTTGATTGCAGAGCTCTTGGATAATGGGACAGACAATACTTCTCTGCCAGCTTTAGTCTCTGCCAGCTTTAGTCTCTGCCATCAAAAGCAACTACACCCGATATTAGTAGTCTATTTGAAAATTCATCAGTCAAAAAGACGCATCAATAAGGCGACAAGAGCGGCAATATTAAGAAATGCCTGCTTATGATCCGGTAGGTGAGTTCTGGCTGTGAGGTAAGGAGTGATTAGAAAGGATACAATCCTGTCTTTATTCTAATACTGTTACAAAGACGATCGAGGATCCCGATGATACGGGGGAACCTTGAACAGGAGAGTCCTTTGGTACATCATTTGCTGGACGTCAGGCACAGTGTAGGGCACTAATCTCTCCAGATCCATCGACTCGGAAACCAGACCCTTGGCTCGGATTATGCTCGCGCTCGAGGCGGGCTTTAGACCCTGCGATAACTGCAGTATCGCTCGCACCCAGTCACCCATCAGCTTCTTGGTTTGCGGGGCCTGTCGGTAGATGAAAAAGAACGTGTGCGGCATGGCCTCATACTCCTGTATTGTGACTGAGACTCCCTGGGAATGGGCGGTCTGTGCAATTAGTCGGTAGGCGTCCACAGTTTGTTCCTGGCCTGATGCAAACCAGAGGGGACACGATCCAGACCAGTCATTCGAGGCGGCCGGACTGGCGAGAGGATGGGCAAGCATGCCGCCCTCGCAGTAAAGGTCAGCACGCGGGGGACGAGTAGGCCAGATGGCACAGGATGGGAAAGTTTCTTCAAGATAAGGCATATTTTCCATCTCGGGGAACATGTCCCATTTAGCATTACGTTGGTAGGAAGGAAGACAGTTGGTCAGTTCACTAATCGGGCTGACCAACGTCATTCCGGCGGGCACTGCTGGTGGGATGCTCTGTCCATGGAAATTAATCACGGCGCCTTTGCGCTTCAGACGTAGTATAATCTGCAATAACCCCAGAGCCAGGCAAGAGCCAGAGCTATCAGCAGCTACAACAATGGAGGATGGCGGAATTGGTTGGTGTGGCGATCCAGGAGGAGGTAACAACAGGCTCAGATAAGCCTGGAATACATCCAGCAAAGCAGCAGGGAAAGGGTTTTGCGGCGCCAGGCGCTGGTGAACCATAAGGACTTTGGAGCCGGTTGACTGAGCTAGGAAACCGCTTGTCTTCCGGTAAGCGGATGGGGTGTTCAACCTGTTGCCAGTCAGAGGAAGATAGACGGCATCAGATTGATTAGAATAAAACAGACACAAAGGTTCCCCCGTATATATAGAGTATAGCCAACGGGCTTTTAGTCTCTTCACTCAGCCTTTGGAACTTCTCGACTTCTGACAGCGAGGGCTCTGGTGTATCTCTATTAACGTGGCCGCGAAACCCGACCCATTCGAAGCGGAGACTTTGAGACTCGGGGCGATCATAGGGAACATGCTTGATATTAAGCTCGTCAACCAGGTCTAGAAGAAGGGTGCGAGAGGTGTCCTCGGTCGGCGCAGACGTTGAGAACTTGCTGACCCAGACAGGGCCTTTGACCGCGTCATCCCGCAGCGTTGACGCCTGCGACACCGAGATGGGCGTTGTTCGGGCATAATTAATATAGTCTGCTCGAATTTTCTGGGCGCTAGCTAGCAGGTGCTTGGTGTTTTGGAAATCCATCTTGTTTAAATTATATCTATATCATTTCGAGCCAGCCCGAAGGTGCAAAGGATGAAGTTGGAAGTTGAGGTTGGACAAAGCGCTTGGCAAGGGGGGAGGTGGCCTCAGGCATTCCTTCGAGGGCACGCCCAATTCGTGCAGCATTCTGCATAACATTCGCCCTCGATGCAGGGGCCAAATTTCACAGAAGCTGATTATTTGTGTTACGACTCTCTGCGAGTTGTCGATCGGTAGATAAAAGTAAAAATATTCAATCCCATCCGTGCCTCATCTTGCTTGCTGACATGTCTGTCCTCGCGCTGACATACGCGATACTAACTAATGTCTGAGAATAATCTGATAATCCAACTCGACCCAGCCTACCACCTGGGCCTTGACCAGGTCGGCTACGCGACATTCGTCGTCGGCATATTCTTTGTCCTGCTCGCAATTCTCGCAGTAGGCCTGCGACTGTATACAAGGAGGCTGCTCCGCAACAAAATCGGCATAGACGACTGGCTTATCATCGCAGCCCTAGTCGTCTTTTTCGGATTCACGGCCAATGCGCTCATCTGCGTCTTCACCTACGGCGGCGGACAGCAGTATGAGGATGAAGCTGAGGCGCTGACAAAGTACGTACAGTATATGAAGGCCGAATATATCGTTTCGCCGCTGTACGCAACCAACGTCACCCTCATCAAGATGTCTATCTTGGTGTATTATCGTCGCTTATTTCCCGTGGAAACCTTCCAGCGAGTCAATACCGGGGTCATGGTTTTCTGCATGCTTTGGTTCATCGCTGGCTTCATTACCGACTTGCTGTACTGCAGGCCGATTCGGCACTTCTGGGATACTGCCTCGGAGGGCTCTTGTTACCACTACCCGACATATTTTCTCGCCATGGAAATCATAGACTTGCTACTTGATTTGGTTATCATCAGCCTGCCGACAAAGACGATTCTGGGACTGCATCTTTCCCTGCGGAAGCGAATGGCATTGCTGGGGATTTTCCTCTGCTGTTTCTTGTACATCACTCTCTGTTTCCTGTCAACTTGGAGATTCTCCTACTAATTGTATTTTCTCCGCCCCCGAAAAGAGTGATCATTACAGGGACTGTTCGAATCTTCTACATCTACGTGCCCGGCAATGAGAACGGTATATCTTCCTTCCCCGTAGTCGTTGGACCTAACTGATTTAATGCAACAGTGGACCTAAACAAAGCCGGACTCTGGTCTGTTATCAACATGGGCGTGTCCATCCTCTGTGCCTGCCTTCCTACCTATCGCCCGTTGCTGTCAAAACTTAGTCCCGGCCCTATCTGGAAATCGCTGTGTAGCTACAGGAGTAGGAAAAGCGGCACAGATTCCTCCACAGCCAACCTCACTTCTAATAATTCTAAAGGCAATAATCGCTCAAACAAAAAACGACATTCAAATTACTACAGAATGGACGGCCTGACGGTCGATTGCCTTCCGCTGGCAGAGGTAGTCGCCGAGGAGAGAAGGCTGGAGGCGATGGAGGGGAGCAACGGTATTCGAGTGCAGCGAGATTTCGAGGTTGTTTGAAAGAAAAAAAAAAAAAGCTATACGTTGAAGCCTCGTATCCTACTGTGTTTCCAGCTAGAAATGCAATAATCTACATGTCAGCAGGTGCCGGGGGGCTGCATAACAGTTCGAACTAAGTGGTATTGATTGACAGCATCAGTGAATCAGCTGCCATGGGGCGTCAAAGTGATGGACTTCTTGGCTGCCTTTTGTTGAGGCGCCGATCTTTTTTTCGGCCCCTTGCTGTGCATCTCCTTGCTCTATAGACGTCCCCATTCCTGTTCGCTGTGCATCGTGTAACTAAACTGATATGCCCAGTGCTGCGCATTTCACAAGCCTGTGGCCAATCAGCATCGGATAGTCACCGAGGCATTTTTCGTCCTTGGGATTGACAAAAAAGATTATAAAAAAAAAGGGGAAAAAGGAAAATACGCGTGCGTGTCTCAGCCCAGAAAGATGGACGGCGATCGACTAGTGCTGTCCATTTGTCAAATTATATACTTGATCGGCCGCTGTCTGTCTGGACTTACATTCTCCTGCAGCGCAACATCATGAAAAGCGAGAAGGCCCCTACGATCACGTCGAGACCAGCTGAGGCGCAGCGTGATGCTGGCCGTCTCTCGGCATGGCGGTTGACACTTCATGTGTGATAGATCAAACGAGTCAACTGTTGACTGATCCAATAAGTCTCTTGTCTCTGTGTCTTCTTGTCCGATCTCGACATCACCATTGTTAGCACGTCTCTCACCGCAATCGCCAATGATCTGGACGCATATCAACAAAGCAGCTGGGTTGTCTCCAGCTATCTGACTACGTACTTCAGTGAGATGAAACCGCCCTGAACGTGGGATCTATCGTCGCTAAGTGCTTATAACCAGGCTCCTTGATATTATGATGCAAGCTAAGCGATTTTCTCGGGCGCAAGCTCATGCTCATCGCCTCCTTCACTCTCTTTCTCGCTTTCTCATTCGGATGCGGGGGATCTCAAACGATCTTGCAGCTGTACAGCGTTCTCCTCCCTTCCAAGTAGCGGCTTTCTAGCCTAACACAACGTCAGGATTATTCTGTGAGCTTTTCAAGGTATCGGAGGAGCCGGTATCTTTGGCATGACACCGATCATCGTGGCGGAGATGGTTTAAACCTGTAAAGTACGCTGCATACAACGGCCTCATCGCTCTAGGAATCGCCATGAGCTTCTTGCTGGGTCCTATATTCGGTGGTGCAATTGCCGATGGAACCAATTGAAGACGGATTTTCTTTAACAACCTCCCCGTCGGGTTGGTTGGCATCGTTTTCAACTTGATGACCATGCTAGCCGCATTTCCGGATATTCCACAGCCTCATTTGTATGCTCTTATATCTCGAGGACAGTTGAACTAAAAAGGCAAGATCGACTATCCGGGCTTCATTTTCGTTCTCGCCGCTTCCGTGCTTTTTATTGTTGCTATAGAAGAAGCTGACACCATGTTCGCGTGGGACTCACTCCTGGTCGTAACCCTTCTTATCCTGGGTGGTATTCTGTTTTGTGTTTTCCTCGCGTGGCAGTGGAATCTCCCTCTCTATCGAAGAAATTCAACCAGAGAATCGGTGTTTCCGAGGGACTTTTCTAAGCATCACGTGCTGATGGTATTTTATCTGTACGGGCGTTCACATTGTTGTTTTGCTTATCCTAGAGAAAAGGGAGGCTCCGCTGACACCATCATTAGTAGATATGGCTGCTCACCGGTGTGTTCATGATGATGCTTGTGCTAGAGCTACCTAGTCGATTTCGAATCATCAACGGAAGCACTGGCTTGGATGCTGGGGTTCGCGTTTTGCCCTTGACTCTGAAGATCGCGTTTGGCTCCGGCTTGACTGGAGGATTGACAGTACGTAGGCGAGTGCCTCCCGTTGTTATTCTTATACTCGCGACTATCTTTCAAGTCGTGGGTAATGTCTTGATATACACCATCAGGCCCGGCACAAGTTACCCAGGCGCACTCTACGGGGTCCAGATCTTGGCTGGAATGGGCATCGGGCTAGGTCTCACTACCCTACTCGCCGTTATCCCCTCGGTAGTCGATGGAACGAGGAGTCCAGTGTTGACCGTTGCTCCAGGTGTGGTCACATAATCACGGATATTGGGCGGGGCATTAGGTGTCTCTATGGCTACAAACTTGTTGTTGAATCATACGCTCCGGAGCAGACTACCGAATGATTTGTCGACTGCCGTTTTATAAAATGCCAGCTGAATTTGGAGCTTGGATCTGGAAGACGACCCAGGCCGCATTTGCAATACACGATGGTCTCAGGGTTTTGTGCTGCCCAGCTTATTGCCCTAGCACTGATTTGGAAGAAGAAGTTGAGACGACTTGTCTGAATCTTTCTTTTTCCTTGACCATGGTAACGCGTAGCAAGGCATCTAGACCTGTAAGAATTGATATTTCCTCCACACTACTACGGAATCCGTAATTGATTCTATAGACACCTCCAAAGTACGTAGAAGCCAATACTTTGGAAAACTTCGTACCAGAAAACGTACAATAGCTCGGAGAGAATAAAATAGGGAGATTAAAATATATTACTAATTTTCCGCCCCCTATCTCATGCATATGCTACCTAGCAAGACGAATCACCTGGGTAGTTAACCTGGAATGCATTGGGGGCCAGCTCCTTGCCTGACCTCAGCTAAAGCTGAATATGCAGCTGTAGAGACGTACTTGAATAGGTATATAATACATGGCGTCGAACCGCGTAGACACCTCGACAAGTGCCATGCTATAAGAAAACCCCCTGTTATCTGTCATTCATTCCTGATGCCGTTTTCAATCCTGCCAAATGACCCAGGGACATCCTGGGAGGGAGCTGGTACTGAGAAAGGCGCTCGCGTGAATGGACATGCCTTGAACGGTATTTCGACGAAATCGCAAACTGACAATATTCCTATTGTCGTTGTTGGACTGTCCTTTAAACTCCCACAAGGAATCGAGTCTGTCGACGCTTTTTGGGAAGCCTTGAAAGAAGCGAGGTCTGCTTGGTCTAGCTACCCTGCAAGTCGGCTCAATTTCGAGGGAATCTATGACCCAGATGAGGAGAGAGTCAATGGGGTGAGCATGTATTTTATATCAAGAAATATGCGCATGGAATCTTACATTTGTAGTTTCCTCTCAAAGGAGCGCACTTCGTGGATGGCGATGTTGCTGCGTTCGACGCACCGTTCTTCACCATCAGTCCCGCCGAAGCGGCGGAGATTGATCCCCAATCGCGCATTCTGCTAGAGACTACATATAAAGCATTGGAAAATGGTATGTATATTTCTTGTCTTGATCTTGAAATACATGAACTACAAGCTAACAGCACGACCAGCCGGAATCCCCATGGAAAGGATAGCCAACTCCAGAACCTCCGTCCACACAGGCAGTTTTGGCGACGATTACAAGGGCTTTCACATCAAAGATCCCCTGTTTGGCGGTCCCTATTCAGCAAGCTCAGTCTCGGCAAGCATGCTGGCAAACCGAATCAGCTGGTTCTTCAATCTGCGCGGAGAATCTATCAACATGGACACCGCTTGCTCCAGCACCTTGGTTGCGTTTCATACTGCATGCCAAGGGTTGCGTAGCGGTGATGCTGATACCGTATGTTGTTGAAAGTAATCCTCCTGTTTATTCGTTTATATCTAAATATTGGTCATAGGCCATCGTTGCAGGTGCCAACTTGATCTTGGGCCCAGACACGGCCATGTCACTGAATAACCAAGGCTTTCTGTCACCGGATGGCAGATGCTGGAGTTTTGACGAAAAAGCCAACGGGTATGGCCGTGGCGAAGGATTTGCCGCTTTGATTTTGAAGAGATTCGACGATGCGCTCGCGAGCAACAGTTCAATCCGCGCTGTGATTCGTGCCACGGGAACAAACCAGGACGGTCGAACGCCGGGCATTGTGCAGCCGAGCCAGGTGGCTCAGGCAGAGCTTATTAGGGAGACGTATTGCAAAGCAGGGTTGGATATGAGTCTGACGCGCTATGTTGAGGCTCATGGTACGGGGACACCGGTTGGGGGTATGTGGAACGGAATAATGTTCCCTTTTTCTTTTCTTTTCTTCTATCTCTTTTTTTCCTCTTTTTTTTTTTTTTTTGGCTGCGCAGCAAATGGCGATAATGATAATGATGTGATGAGCAGATCCTATTGAGGCCGGTGCTATTTCCGACGCCTTTGCCGATGTCATAACCCCCGAGAGGCCGCTTTACGTTGGATCTGTAAAATCCAACATTGGACATTTGGAGGGAACGAGTGGTATGGCGGCACTAATAAAGAGCATTTTGATGCTGGAGCAGGGCATGATTCCTGCTATTGCAGGATTGGAACATGTGAACAGTTCTATTTCAGAGAGATATCCATGTTTGAAGGTATAACAAACGAATCTGAACCATTTACAGGCATGATTTGCTGAAGCTGAGCTTGTCCTAGTTTCCTAGTACTCTCTGCCCTTGGCCATCTAAAGGGCTCCGCCGAGTCTCGATCAACTCGTTCGGGTTCGGGGGTACAAACGCCCATGTTATCATGGAGGATGCAGAGAACCATCTGCGGCTGGCTGGTTATGCCAGAAGAAGCCCGAATCCGTCCTTTGCATCTACTGATGGCTCTAAGCTACTCGTATTCTCGGCTCGGGATGAAAAGGGGATTAATCGCATTCAAGCAGTTTATAATGATCACTTGGCGCGCATTAAAGAAGACAGAACCGGCTATCTAGATAGTCTCTCATACACACTTACCCAGAGGCGGAGTTCGTTTCTTTGGAGGGCATTTACAGTTTGCAGAGGTGAGCATGCGTTGAGAGGAGGCATCAAGCTTACACGACCGGTCAAGGCTTTGTCCACGGCCCGCCTGGCTCTGTGTTTCACTGGACAAGGGGCACAGTGGTATGCAATGGGTCGTGAGCTGAATGAATGCGACCTCTACACACAAAGTATTGCTCAAAGTGCGGCTGTGTTGAAGTCATTGGGCTGTGCTTGGAATCTCAAAGGTATGATCCGTATTCTCCCTGTCTCTCATACCTTCTCTCTCTTTCTAACTGTGATATAGAGGAGCTCTCCCGAGAAAAAGAAGAATCAAGAGTGAACGAGCCTGAGTTCAGTCAAACTCTTTGTACAGCAGTGCAAATCGCGCTTGTAGACGTGCTCGAAGCCGTTGGTACACAACCAACGGTGGTATTCGGACATTCGTCTGGGGAGATTGCAGCTGCGTGAGTCGTGTTTTTTTTTTTTTCTTTTTTTCTTTTTTTTTTCCCACAGTTCCACTATTCCTTCATAGAGCTAAACAAAAGTCAGGTATGCCATTGGAGGACTGGACAGAAACTCTGCAATTCGAGCGGCTTATTACCGCGGCTATCTCTCTTCTCGACTCGCCGCCAATCATAAGGAGTCTGCTGGTAGGATGCTTTCAGTCGCTGTTGCAGAGACAGATATCCTGCCATATTTTGAAGCTGTAAAGGCTAGGTTCGGCAAACTTGATATCACAGTTGGCTGCGTCAATAGTCCCAGTAATGTCACTATTACTGGAAATGCACTGCAAATTGATTATTTGAAGGAGCTTTGCCATGACAATCGTGTGTTTGCTCGAAAGCTTGCTGTGACTGTTGCATATCACTCTTCCCGGATGGAGGCAATTGCAAGAGAATATGCAAAACTGCTGGGTAGCTTCTCTCCTCGGAAACACACGGCGTGGTCATCTGCAAAAATGCTCTCGTCCGTCACGGGCGAAATGGTTAGTCGAAGGCAGGTGGCACAGGCGGAATACTGGGTAAAAAACATGGTTTCTCCGGTCAGGTTTGTAGAAGCCTTGTCTGGTGCAGCATTGCCCCGTCATGATGGCCAGTTCGTGCCGGATAAAACGAAGCTGCAATTCGAGGATGTGCTTGAAATAGGACCTCACTCTGCCCTTCAACGACCTGTCAAGGATACCCTCAAGTCACTAAGTAAGGGCAGTGAAGTCGGCTATGTCTCTGCATTAGTGCGAGGCGTTGACGCTGTCGAGAGCCTTTTTAATGCGTTTGGATATCTTCATTGCCGGGGCCATGTTGTCAGTTTGCAGGCCATCAATCAACTTACCTCTTCCGGCAACACTCCAACTACACCACCATTACTACTTACTGATCTTCCAGAATACCCATTCGATCATTCTCTATCGTATTGGCGGGAGTCCAGACTGAGCAAGGGCCATCGGCTCCGCGAAGCTCCACGTAACGATTTTCTAGGAACACGAGTTCCCGATTGGAATCCGTGGGAGGCCAAGTGGAGGAGACGTATCAAGTTGTCCGAAGACCCCTGGCTCGAGGACCACAAAATCGCCAGTGTGAACATTTTGCCAGGGGCAGCCATGCTTGTCATGGCAGTGGAAGCATCCAAGAGTGTCGCCAAATCCCGGTTCAAGGATCGGGTAATTTCTGGATATACCATTAAAGACGTCTCGTTCACAAGAGCACTTGCGATATCTCCGGATATCGATGGCACTGAGGTAGAGTTCTATCTGAAATCCGGTGACGAATCTGATGACGGCAATAGTCGTCGTGGCGCCTGGTCCGAGTTTCGACTGTTCTGCATTGACAATGAGGTCTGGGTGAAGGTCTGCCAGGGTCACATACAGATCTCCTTTGTCGAGGAGTCTGGGGCCGTCGACCAGGGCCTGGAAGCTCAATTGGAAAGCAAACTGCACTCAGAAGAATTGGAAAGACTACGATCTACCTGCTATCGCCCAGTAGAGATGCAAAACGTCTACGCGGCTATGGCAGAGAGAGGTCTTGATTTCGGCCCGGCACATCAAGTGATCAAGAGCTGCTCCTATACTGATGAGTTTGAAGTTGTCGCGGACATGAATCCAAATCAGTGGCGCATCAAAAGCCGAAGATATCACCAGACAGAAAATATTACTGTGCACCCGACATTCCTAGATGGCCTCTTTCAAATGAACCTCGTGGCCATGACAGAGGGTGGCAGGAATGTGGCCCCCAGTGTTGTGGTTGGCATTCGCAAAATCTGGATCGCTGAGAGCAGCTTTTCTTCTACCAAGTGTGACAGTATAGCAGTTCCAGCGTGGAGTAAATCTGCGCACCTTGGCCACGGAAATACTACGTCTGATGTGGTTTGTTTAGATCCATTAGGGCAAACATCAATTATTGTCATCGATGGTCTGCAGGGGAGATTTTTGAAGGAAAATGGGCAGGCTGAAACGGCGAAGCGGATGTTATGGAACTTCGATTATCGTCCTGATATTGAGCTATTGAATCATGAAGACCTTCTCAAGCAAGTCACATCTACTTTCACTCTGCAACCCTCTCCATTTGATCTGGACAGGGACATCAAACTGCTTCTTTATCTGTGTATTCTGCGGACACTGAAGCAACTCACTTCTGAAGATGCCAAAAACTTGGCACCCCATCATCAGAAATATTTCGCATGGATGCAGCGTGAGAAGGAGAAACTATACGCTGGCGAGTGTATTATCACTCCCGTTCCCGACTTCAGGCCCTATATTGATAACGACGAATTCTACAACAATCTACTCGACCGCATCGAAAGTGAAAATAAAAGAGGCAAGTTTTTTGCTACATTGGCACGGAATCTGTATGCCATCTTAAAGAAAGAGCAGGACGCACTCGAACTCATGTTCCAAACACCCCTAGCTAAGGATTACTACCGGGAGCTATACAAGGCGACAAATGGCTTGTCGAAAGCGCTTTCATTCATCGACCTCTACGCCCATAAGCATCCTGATATGAAGGTCCTCGAAATTGGAGCAGGCACTGGCGGAATGACCAAATATGTCCTTGAAACTCTTACTCAGAATGGATCCGGAGTCGCGAATGTTGGGAACCCTCGTTTTAGTCATTACACATATACTGACATATCAGCTGGGTTCTTCTCTGACGCCGCTTCGTTGTTCGATAATATACCCAATAGAGTCACCTTTTCTGTTCTAGATATTGAGAAGGATCCCAGCAGTCAGGGGTTCACGGAGGGAACGTTTGACCTGGTAATCGCAGATAACGTGCTTCACGCGACGCAAAGCCTGGATACTACAGTTATGCATGTGAGAAAGCTGTTGAAGCAGGGCGGTAAACTTGTTTTGTTTGAGTTAACGGATCCGGAAGTTGTGCGAACAAATTTTGCCTTTGGTTTACTTCCAGGCTGGTGGAGGGCTAATGACACCTATCGAAGTTTCAGTGCCGGTGTAGCAGACTCTGTTTGGGATTCTGTTTTGAAGAAATATGGCTTCTCTGGTATCGATCTAAATCTCACGGACTATGATGACCCTGTGTGTCATGAGCACAGCGCGTTAATATCGACTGCGGTTTCTTCTGACGTTAAGAGCAACAGCAATACTCTACCGAGGACATTGATTATCTTTGACAATGCTTGCGTATTGCAGGCCCAGGTTGCGCAAGGGCTCATGGCAAAATTCAAAAACTCCAGAGCCACAGATGTAGTCAGTTTGTCCCTGGAGGTAGCTGCTCAGAAAAGCGACCTCAATCAATGGTTTTGTGTGATTCTTCTTGAGCTTCGCGACCCTTTCCTTGCAACGATGAATCATGACCAGTGGCGGAATATCCAAGCAGTTCTTAAATCCGATGGAGGCCTGCTCTGGGTATGCCGCGGCGGTGGTGTGAGACCAACGCTTCCTGAACATGCACTGATCCAAGGAATGCTCCGAGGTTTGAGGCAGGAGGAGCGACATGCCAAGTTTATCTCATTGTCTATGGAGCCAACAACGAATGATACAGCACACCTAGTTGACCGTATCGGCGCTGTATTGGAGACTATCACTCAAATTCCAGTTCATAAATGCGAACAGGAATACGTCGAACGGGATGGCCAGATTTGTGTCGACCGCATTGTCGAAGCAGACTATCTGAAGCAAGAACTGGAGAGATCAATACAAGGAACCAAATCTAGCGAGTCGACCTTTGGCGCGCATAACAGCCTATCACTTAGCATCGAAACACCCGGCCTCTTGGACACACTGGAATTCATGGAGGGCGACGATACTATCAAACAGGATCTAGCCCCCGATGACATCGAAATCTTAATTGAAGTAAGCGGCGTTAACTTCCGGGACTGCCTGATCGCATTAGGTCGGCTTGCTGCATCAGAATTCGGCTTCGAGTGCGCAGGAAGAGTTAGTCGCAAGGGAAATGAGGTAGTAGATCTTCAGATTGGTGATCGAGTTTGTGCGAGTGCCGTTGGGACATACCAGACTTATACCCGATGCAAAGCAGCGGATGCTATTCTGATTCCGGCCTCGATGTCCTTTGTTGAAGCAGCTAGTATTCCTGTTGTATTCACTACTGCATTCTATGCTCTTGTCCATGTTGCGCGGATTCGAAAAGAAGAGTCAATTCTCATTCATTCTGCTGGTGGTGGAACAGGCCAGGCCGCGATCCAGATAGCGCAGCTGGTAGGAGCAGAGATATTCGCTACTGTCGGATCTGAGGAAAAAAAATCTCTTCTTATGGGTAGCTACGGAATACCAGCAGATCATATATTTGACAGCCGCAACTCCTCGTTTGCGAAAGGGATTAGACGCATGACGATTGACAGGGGTGGCGTCGACGTTGTCTTGAACTCGCTTAGTGGAGATTTGCTTCTAGATAGCTGGCACTGTGTTGCTCCGTTTGGACGCTTCCTCGAGCTAGGAAAGAAGGATATTCTTGCTAATAGAAACCTCCCTATGCAACCGTTTGCCCGGAATGCATCCTTCCACGCAATCGATCTTGCTGAGGCTCGGAGACATCAACCATCGCTACTGCAGAAGCTTCGTGATGACATCAAGGAACTACTTGCCCGGGGCGCGATATCTCCGCCGCAGCCGTTACATGTTTATGGAATTGGGGAGGTCGAGAAGGCTTTTAGATATCTGCAGAGTGGGAAGAATACGGGGAAAGCTGTCGTAGAACTCAGGCGCGATGATGTTGTCAAAGTATGAACCCCCAAGATATTCTCCTCCTATATTGCTTTTTGACCAACGTCCTTTTAGACACGGCTACGCGTTCAGCACAAATGGCATTTTGATCCAAAATCCACATATGTGATTGCTGGTGGTCTGGGTGGTATTGGTCGTCGAACCGCATGGTGGATGGTGACTCGCGGTGCAAAGAACCTCGTCCTCCTTTCTCGATCCGGCGATGGCCACCCAGAAGTCAAGAAGCTTGTTGACGATATTAGGCAGCTGGGTGCACGCGTGGAAACACCCTTATGTGATATCTCGGATTATGACGCGCTTAAACAAACCCTAGAGACAATTAGCATCTCAATGCCTCCAGTGAAGGGCTGCATTCAATCAGCTATGGTTCTTCGGGTATATACCTATCCAATTTCCCTCACCCATTTGTGTACAAAGCAAAAAACAGCTTACAATTTGTTACAGAACAAAGTTTTTGGAAACATGACCTTCAAAGATTGGAGAGACTGCTTCGAATGCAAAGTTCCCGGTAGCTGGAACCTGCACCGGCTCCTCCCAAAAGGAATGGATTTCTTCATCATGTACTCGTCCCTCGCGGGCGGGCTTGGTGGTACGGCATCTGTTAACTATTCAGCAGCCTGTGTCTACCAGGACGCATTGGCACACTACCGTAACTCCGTGGGCGAAAAGGCAACGACGTTCAACCTGGGCGTGATGGTGGACGACGGTGTGCTCCGAGATAATGTCATTCTGCGAGCTACGCTTGTGAGTACCGGTTTTCTCCTTGGTATATCTCAAAGGGAGATGTTTGCATTACTCGATCATTACTGCGATCCATCTTTAGAGATTCCAGATACGCCGCTCAAGTCCCAGGTTGTGGTTGGTGTCGATGTGCCGCACAATATAAAAAACCGAGGTATCGAGATCCCAGGTTTCATGCACCGCCCGCTGTTCAAAGGGATGTGGAATATTGCAGACAGAAATTCCGCTCCCAATCAAGAAGGTGATCCCTCGATGCATGTAGTCCAGGAGCTGGCCAGCATCAAGTCCCGCGATGAAGCGGCCGAGGTGATTGCCAACGCGCTGATGGTGCGGCTGAGCAAGGCGCTCGGAGTTCCGTTGGGGAATCTGGAAATTTCCCAGTCGATTCATTCGTATGGTGTTGATTCTCTCGTGGCGGTGGAATTGAGAAATTGGTTTAAATCCAAACTACAAGCGGACGTGGCTGTTTTCGAGATGCTGGGGAACTCGACGTCCGAGGATATTGGGCGGTTGGTGGCTGCGAAGAGCCAGTTGGTTGCGAACTTGCTGGCATGATTTATTGTCAATACAGGTAATAGATCTTTAATTAATCTTATCAAACAAAGCCAAGCGAACTGTAACTTCGACTCGTAGAACAAATCAATCGAAGAGACTTGATAGCCATGCAGCTTTATCGCAACCTCACACTCCTCTAATCCATTTCCAATGAAATAAATCAGTGATTGGCCTAACAGAATGTTCATTTTAGTCGCCAACCTGGATGTCGCTGTAGACCATATATGACCGAGGACCTCGTAAACAAGTAACCCTAACTAGCTTGAAGTGCTGTCGTGAGTTTTATTAGCCCTAACCGTGAGACGTTCAATTTTATGTTAGAACCCCAACTGGCATCCTATATTGGAAGGTTAATTACTTTATTCAGTCTACTGCACCTGCAGGTAATGGGGAGATGTTCCTTGAATTTTATGCAGCTCTAAGTTTGGCACGATGACACTCGACATCCCACAACCTCAACAAGCTTCACGCAGCGAGGAATCAGTAAAACTAAAATAAAAGCATAAAAGCATCGAGGGGCTTATACCTCGAGAGGTGAGTATTTACTCCTTGGTAGGCGAAAGAAATGCCACGATAGGATGCCCAGACAGACTCAGGGTGATGTATCTTAGGTTTATTTCTTTCTCTTGATTCAATAACACAACAGAGAAAAAAAGTAAATAAGTCAATAAAAAAAGGTTTCATGTCCCCGGACAATCGAATTTACAGTCCATCTGCCGCGTAGAAACATAATCCTGACCATGAACCACACCTTTCAACCACTGCCCAAAGTTAGCATTATCCCATCCACCCACCGAGCATTGCGGGGACTTTGAATTCCACGCCTGCGAGCCATAGGAAAAATCGACTTTCCCATGCTCGCACAGTTGCGATTGGCACAAATCCACATCACTAACTCCGGCCTCTGCCCTCAGTAAGAATGTCCAGGGCAGTTCACTGTCTGTCACGAGGGTCTGGCCCCAGTCGAGTGACGCGGTTTTGTTGCCGATTAGAGCGCCGTGAGCATCTGTGAGGTTGAGGCCAATGTACACGTCGGGATCATCGTCGTGTCCTCCAAGGCCCTGTATAACGTGCGCGTTGCATTTACCTGTTGCGTATGGTACGTGAGTAGTATGGGTTGATTTTGTCGTGGATGTTTTTGTGTGTATCGCCGGATCGTAGGACTTGGTCGGTAGAGTGGTGTAAGCACAGTTCATGATGCCCGAAGATGTAGGCTCGAGAGTCGGTGCTGCCCTGCCACCACAGTCACAGTACGCCGAGGTCCCGGGGGCTGCAGCAATGGCAGCACAGCCAGGTACGCCATTTACGCCAGGAACATTGGTAGGTTTCACGGTACTGACGGGAATGACCGTTGACTTGCCAACCTCGCATGTGTAAGTTGTGAATTTATCTTTGCCAATAGTCGTACCGATGCCGGCTACCCAGCCGTCATTGCACGTACAATATGGCGTCGGGTTTGCTTTGCCGGTGGTCTTGGAACAAGAGGTGATAGGGGCCGCAGATGTCGTCGTCCTGATGTGTGACTTTGTGGCTGTTGTGCCAGATTTCAATCTTGTTTTCGGGGGCGCCCCTGAGTTGGACGCTGGCGGGCCCAGTTTGGCCTCGAGGACGGATAATGCTGAAAACATGCTACTCATATAGGCACGGTTGCGTCCACTCGCGCGGTAGGGGGTAGGGGTATACAATGATGTGTTCTCATCTGTAGATGTGACGGTAGATGCTGTGTTTGTAACTTCACAGCCCTGTGTTGTTGTGCATTTTCCCTAGGGCGGAAATTAATTTCAAGTTTTTATAAGGATAAGTGGCAGGTGAATACGTACCGTGATGGTCGATGTAGTAGCTAAGCTCGAGCCTGTTGGTGTAAACACTGTGACGGTGACAGAACATGAACTTCCTGTCGTGGTATGCGTACATGAACTCTGACTAGAATGTCTGGAGGTTGGAGTAGAATGGGAGCTAGTTGAACTTGAATGGCCGGAACTTGTTGAAGAATGGCTGGATGTTGAAGTAGTAGAATGCGTGGTTTTTGTCGTTGTTTCTGTCTCTTTTTCTGGTTCGTCTGAGTCTGATGGGTCATCACCACCATGTTCCTGCGGTGCAGGTCCAGGGGATGGGCCACCAGGGAGATTTCCATTGGGAATACTAGGTTCCCAGCCACAGCAAAGACCCCAGCTCAGCCCAATACCACCACCACCACCTTGTCCTCCTCCAGGACCGGAGATCGCGCAAAAGATTGGGATGATGCATCCTCCACCTACATTGCACAAGGAACCCGTACACACCCATGCCGCAGTAGGACCAATACTTCCAGAACTAGTGAGAGTAGAGGTATATATGACGCTGGAAGTCTTGCCCGATTGTGTGACTGGGATTACCTTTACAAGAAACATCGTCAGCTATATATGACATGCCAATGGTATGCAAAGTTGAAAATATGCTCACCGTAGTTGAGGGAGTGACCGTCGATGAACCGGTGGTAGCAGTAATAACAGCTCTGGAACTAGAGCTAGTGACCCCGAAAGCGGACGTTACGGTTGGCTTTACCGATGCTGGCTTTAGTGTTGGTGACGACTTGGAGATGGATGGAGATGGTAATTGACTTGTAGCTGGGTCAACGGTCGGTGTTACCTTAGCATGGGGCGAGCTTATATCTGCTGTTGAGGAAGAATTTCCATTTGGTACCGCTCTTGAGGAGGACGTTTGAGCTTCGGCTGGTGTCGTTGGTGCTGGCTCTGATGGTGGTGAAGGCTTGACTAGACTTGCAGATGAGTAGATAGTGTTTCTCTCGGAAGATGATACCTTCGTGGCTGGTGTTGGGATAGGATGGCTGCTTGGTATCGCTCTTGTAGAGGGACTTTGGCTTCCAGTCGGGCTTGCTGACACTGACTCAGAAGGCTTCAACTGACTTGTAGATGACGATAAGCTCGTTTCTAGCGGTGGTACTGGTATCAATAAGGTTCTTTTGGCTGCCAAGACCAACTCTACGTGTGTCCCTGGCGCTGTGTTAGGAGTGTTTTCCGACAAAGTTCTCGAGGAGGACTTTGGAGCCATAGACTCAGGGCCAGAAGGTCGCATCGCCTCGGAAGAGAATGCCATGGATGAGTTGCTTGCCATGAATTGAGATCTCCGCTGGTTCCACCTATTCTTTATATAATCCAGATGCTCACGGATTTCGAATTTGCCAGCATTTGGGTTTGGGTTTGGCGTTGGCGTTGGCGTTGTGACAGGCTCTGCTTCGGGGTATATGAGCTCCAGTGATCCATCCGCGTTGACGCGCTGGGGGGCCTCAGCTTGAATCAATGCGGAGCCTGCCAGCAAATCATTGCATGTCAGTCTCTTTGGTTATACATCTTTAGAACATATATTGTGCCTTACCTAGGGCAAAAAAGGCATAGTTGTCTGCATTCATTTGGCCCTCGGCATGGATGTTATTCACTGCACCCGGGCCATAGGGAGAAAACTTCTTTACACTTGCCCAACCTATTCAAATTCCAAGCCAGTTTCAGTCCTGTCGTGCTGCTTGCTATCTAGCACGGGAGGCTGCATACCATATGACTCATCATCGTCAACGTCATCAGTTTGTTCTCTGAAGGCGATGTGCGACATCTCGTGGACAAGTGTACATGGCGGAAACAGTCCCGCGAGTTCTATGTCTGAATCATCGGCACCTCCATCCGGTAGAAGGGCCCTAACCCCCTTTGGATCTCTTGCAAGGACAGCATTATTGTTAAAAATATCGTCCTAAAGAAATTCATTGTTAGAAAGGGTCAATTCTTCGTACATCGGAATCCTCCTACCATCTCGTAGTTAGATGAGTATTCTTCCACCAGCATATAATCGCATATCTGGATCGCACTAATTGATAAAGGGTGTCTGTAAGTAGCCCAGGCCTGATCAAAAATGCATGGTTAGCCCTCTTTCCATAAGGAAAAGCAAGAAGGGGTAGAAGTAGAGATTTGAGATTACAAATATAATGTTTTCGTCACTATCCTGACTGTTATCTGTACTCATGCATGTCAAGTAATCGTCATCCAAGTCGAAATCCTCATCAACGTCTGTATCACAGGCTGTGTCTGGGTCTGAATTACCATCGCAGGACACGCCAAGCTCTAAGCGATCGAAGTTGCAGTACATAATGAAGTCGTCGACTGGAAGATCCCCGTCCGGCCGGGGCAAAGGGTGACCGTCGCCCGTCTTGTCGAAAGTTGTGATGTCCTCGAATACGGTCTGAATTTGTTGAAAGATTGAGTAGTCTGGGTTTATCTGACGTCTAGTGGCATCGCCATTATCGAAGCCTGCCGAGAAGATGTATTGGAATAGATCCAAACGTGCCGCATATTCCGGGTCTGATGGATCACCTCCTGCGGCAAGTGCATCGAGGTTATCCAGAGCGGCGTTATTCCATCTGAAGGCTGTTTGCATAATGCCAGTAAGATATTCCGAGTGCTCTATATTTGGCTGATGGTTAGAAAATGATCGTAGGCCTCCGGGTATATGCTCAGAAAGCTCACCATTGCAAGAGTTGTCGAGGATCCATGCTTGTATTTGGGTGACAAATAGAACAGAAATTACCTTGTAGGACAATTTCATGATGTTTGTACAGAAACAATGTACTTTGACTCGATACTTAGTTGGATCTGAATAGAATGAGCGAAAGAACCCTGACTCAACCTTGGTTCTTCCCTCCAAGACTCCAAGATTAAATAGGTATATACGCATTTATCGCGATTCAATATCTATCAGTAAGAGCTGATGCAGAATTTAAGCGACAATTCTATGCCTAGAAGATACCAAGAATAACCTTCTCTTTACGGTATAATGTAATCCAACCTTCTTTATTGTCTATTGCAGACACAGTAGTCCTTAACAATTTCCCTGACAAAGTACAGCACGCTGTGTCGATGTCGAGCTGGGACCCCCATGTTAATTAGTAGTGATGAGTTAGGTTTAGATGACACTCCAAAAATAAATATAAGAATAAAAAGCCCTCCGAGTCATCAGACCATAACGTCATGAACAAAAGCACGTCCAAATTAGGAAATTATCTCTTCTTTGATTTACCAATGTACCCTTTTACTTATACAGTGTCACCTCCCAGGTGTCCCCTGAGAAATTGCTCGTGATAAAGTCTTTTGACAAATACCTACGTTCATGTTGAACCGTTTTGTTCTGCAAGTTCGCTTCCTTCCTCAATGAAGGAACGCAGTGAACCAGCTCAAAAATTCCCCTTTGGGCAATTGTGCCCTAACGCCAAGCGTCCCGCAGGCGTATTCTTTGATGTTTTCGCAGCATTGACTACTTTGCTTGTTCAAATAAGCATTTCTATTTATAATCTCTTTAATGATGGTTAATATTTATCAATTTTTATATATTTAGTATTTGCTACCCACCAAACAGAGCCCTGATTTGCGATTTATGGTAGGCAACACAGCACAAGTCTGGTTATCTAGGTAGACAGCTTTTTTATGAAGGCTCATTAAATGGCATAATCCTGAACTGGTCGTAAGTTGTCCTATCAAAGTATCCAGGAGCTTCCATATGAGCCTTTTGTGTTCACCAGCTTTGTTCCTGCAGCTTCCCAACCTTGAAAATTGGCCCAATTGACAATCCAGGCCACGATAGTATTTAAGCTCCGTTTCAAATAACTTTACTTCCCTTTTTCCTTGGACTCTGTCGTTTATCAAAGATATACTTTTTTTTAAAATTACTGTCATTACTTGAAACATGATGCCAAACGTCCAGAGTCGGGCAACCGCGGGTATGGTCAGGGTTACTAGGGTTATTGTGGCCTGACAGATCGGGCAACGAGCCAGAGAATGCATAGCTGCAAAAAGGTGCGATAGCATATTCGCATATTCTTTATTTCTTATGACTGCTATAATCGATTATTCAATTCTTACTCATAGTCAAACTTAGTTAACTATGCTAGGCTTATATAATATGTATGCCCTCTGACCTCATCAATCCGGGGGGATTACTTAATATTGCCGCGGGGCGCCGAGGGGTCAAGCTTGGAGCTCTCCAATTCCAAGCCATCATCAATTCACCTTCTGTCGTCGTTATACAATCCTTCCCTATGCGGATGACGAGCACCACAACAAGAACAACTAATTCTGCCTTGCCTCGTCTGCTACAGAGATCCTCTTTGCCCGTGCATCGTGCATACCAGCTGAGAGCCCCGTCTTTGACAGCTACCAATACTTCACCCACCGCTATCCTTACCCGACCAATCCATTGCTCTTCTGTCACAATGGCTAGTGTTAGCAAAGCTTGCTGCTCGTAAGTTCCTCTTGACCCGGTTGATACCTCATGATTGACGACTTGCAGCATTCCTCCCGTCATTTCCAAGGGTTACGAGGCAAAGGGCGAGTATAAAACGCTTGGAGGATTGAAAACTTGTTAGTGCTAGGCATTCTTCTATAGTGCATGACAGTTATTGTTGATAAAAATATTTTCTCTAGACGTCACTGGTCCAGCTGACGCTACTCATGCTATTCTGATCGTCTATGGTGAGGAGAATCGGTACACGAGGAGAGAAAAGAAAGAAAGAGCTTACACAGGCAGACATCTTCGGCTTCTTCCCCCAGACTTTACAAGGCGCCGACATTCTCGCCTTCTCCGACAAAGACAAGAAATACCGCGTCTACATGCCTGATTTCTTCGAAGGCGAACCCGCCGACATCTCCTGGTACCCTCCACAGACCGAAGAACACAAACAGAAGCTCGGCAACTTCTTCCAAACCAAGGCTGCCCCTCCAGCGACGCTTTCCAAGATCCCAGGAGTCGTTGGCGATGCAAACAAGGAAGCCAGCAGCGGCGCATTCTCATCCTGGGGTATCCTCGGATTCTGCTGGGGTGCCAAAGTTGCCGTCTTGACCCTTGGAAAGGACACGGCTTTCAAGGCTGGTGCGCAGTGCCATCCAGCTATGCTCGACCCCAAAGACGCTGCGAACGTTACTGTTCCCATTGTCCTGCTCGCGTCTAAGGATGAGGATAAAGAGGCTGTCAAGGGATTCGAGAAGAACCTGAAGGTTGCACACCATGTCGATACTTACCCGACTCAGATCCACGGCTGGATGGCTGCGCGGTCGGACCTGGAGGATCCTGAGGTGAAAAAGGAGTATGAGCGAGGATACAATACTGTTCTGGGCTTTTTCCACGAGCATCTGTGATTGATGGGTCGAGCTATGCCTATGCTGTAAGGATATGTTATTGATTAAGAATTATAGGGAATTGGATGATGCAGTACGCGCAATTGATAATTTACAATAGCTTTATATTCACGCTTGCTCTTATATTTATCGTATAAAATAGCATATTGATGACACCAGCTTATCAATCCCAAACTCCCGCTTGGCACCGCATCTCTCTCGAAAGCCTCTGTCTAGTGCCCCCTCCTCCTTCTCTTCAGTTGCATCCGAAGCTCACTGTAAGACCTCCGAAGAAGGATATGGTTTATTTGAAGATCTTCACAGTATTGGAGACAGGCTCTTTCCCCGGTGCAGTCGGCCTCTCGCCTGACAAGGCGCCAAACACGATCTCTGCCTTGACAGACCACGTAGATGGAATGTCAAATGCAGATCTGATACCGTCCTCTACGCCAGGCACAAAGTGTGAGTGCTGCAGGCTAGCACCAAGACCTTCGAGTTCAAGGGCAGTCCAAAGCGTGATTTGATGCATGGCATTGGAGTGCTCGGCGAAGCCCTCAAAGACGGTGAGGGGGAACTTGGAGAACTTCTCATGCAGTTTCTCGATGGCAGTGTGGTCTTCAAAGACGGAGATCTATCGAACATGATTAGCCTTGAATACGAAGAGGGAAGAATATCCCTGTATTGTGCAGATGGGAAGACACGTACTGTACCGTAGGCAGCGCGGAATGACTGGAAACGGTCCTCGTTGCGCTTCCAATCCTCTTGGCTTTGCTGTTCGAGGATATATGGCTTTGCAGCAGCGATAACGGCGTCCCAGAACTTCTTGTGCTCCTTGCCGAGGGTGACTAGAATGCGGGTGCTCTGCATATTCCATGATGAAGGTAAGGTTTGGATGACTTCATTTACAATCTCGATAATGCGGTCGTCCGAGACTGAGACGTTGTCGGTGACGCCATACACAGTACGACGGTGCTTTACGGCCTCGAGATAGGTAGAACTCTTGACTGGGTTGGGCGATACAGTCATTTCCACAAGATGTTGAAGGCTTCCAAGAAGCTACAAAAAAAAGTAGTATATGCCTCTAGATGAGTTGACTGCAAAAGCAAACAAGCGTTGAGATATATAGCACGAACAACGCTGGTAGGAGGAATCATTTTCATTTATAAGCGGTCTGTTCTACTCTGTGCATTACGAGTACATCCTCTCCAGCAGTATTAGGCTTAATAATCTGGCGACATCGTCAACAGCTCTGCGAAGCTAAAGAGAACAGAGAATATGGAATTTCCAAATCAGGAAACGACCAGGCCGGAAGCGGAAAACCAAAATTTCCTAATGTGGTCATTGGCCTCTCGGAATGCTTCTTGATCAATTAATAATCCCACTTCTCAATGGAAATTTCCAACCCTGTAACCAGACGCTGTTTTGGCTCTGATGAGAAGATATACTATGCCTTCTTGGGAGCGAGAGCTGGACTGTCGATGCCTTTTCCAAAGAATCCAAGTTGTTAGTAGTTAGCAGCAATTTGATAAAGAATTCGGTATTTCAATGTTTTGCTTCAACCTGGGCATCCTGACGACAATGGTTGCCATCGTATACCACCGCTGAGCTGGCTAAAATGAGTACAAGCCAAAACTCATCGGCAAGCCTGCGGATCTAGAAACATCTGGAGAATACGTCGTATGGTTGTAGATGCGGCGCGAGACTTCGGGGCGAGCGTTGCCGTGCCGATATGCCGAGAATAGCTTCTCCACGGCGATCACAGGATGTTGGGTAGCGTGCGTCATTTGATATATTGCCCCATAATCTACTATAAAAACCTCAGTCTGCAGGTTGAGGTCTTTGAATGAATGTGTTGTGATGGAAATTTTGTGTGCGACTCGGTGAATTCTCGATTATCGGCTCGCATTGCGGGGTGAAGTCATAAGTCATACATAGCCGCATTTTCGATCCAGTTGCGGCAAATATTAACTACGACGGTGAGTTAGCATTGAACTGTATGGATATAATGCTGTCCCTGCTAACACGATTATTGAGAGGATCCTGGCATACAAAATGGACACTCAAAATGAACCCAGCCAAAGCAACACTCATGAGCGTGAACATGAATATGACTATGAATATGAGCACGCTTTGGAAAGAACCAGGTCTTTTGACGAGGAGCCAAAGCAGCCCACAAACCTTCCCAACACAATAGAAAACGCCCTCCAAACCGTTGACGACGCAAAATCAGCGGCAGATAAAAAAGCAAAGAGACAACACCACCAAAAGTCTACAGCTTTAACGAGCGATGACGTGAAATATCTCTTTTCTGGCGCGCCGCATTTCATGCTCGAAAAGGGCCACCACAATCATTGGTATCCGCATGTGCTTTTTCCCTGGGATACTAGCCTGCCCATACAGGATCTCTGGGATCGGGAGATGCTGCGCCATGAATCGTTCACGCTGTCCACACTACACGCGCATCTCCCGGTGCCGAAGAACTTGCCGTTCAAAGGCACTTCTGAGAGAGGCAAGGACCAGGCTGCAGAAAATTGGAAGTACGAAGACGGCGTCAAGCGATCCTCGTACGATTTAGGCATCTTTGAAGTTCCAAATATGCTCTCCAGGAATGGCAAGGAGCCGGGCGCAATCGGATTTCGGCATTACCTAGAGCTAGCAACAGCCGATGCCGTGCGTTACAAGCAAGATGTGCCCAGGGGAGAATCTCTCGATCCGCATCTTTTGGCGAACGTGCCTTTGACAGAGGCCTTCGACACGCTGAGCCATCTAAGAGATCCATATTCGCAATGCCATCAAGATATCATCTTCGACCGACACAAGCTGCTGTGCGAGGGTCCTGCGGCATGGAAAAGAATTGGCATTCGTGATGTTCACATTAACGATATTGTGGACAGGTTAGAAAAGCTCTCCAACTTGAGGCTAGAGGCCTTGAAACAGTACTCCGCCGCTTCTACTTCTACTTCTACCGGGGAGGAGAAGCCCGGGCAAAACAAGACAATTACTATCCTAGACAAAGAGTCGACTGAGTTACTGCACAAAGAGCTTTATACCAAATTCCTATTCCCGCCGCCCCGAGGCTGGAGTCATCATGCACATGAAGAACTCAAAAATCAGATTGAAGTGATCACCAGAGTCCTCGCTGTCAAGGGTGCATGGCTCAACCTGAGTCTCCCCGAGTGGCGATTGCGTGTAGGACAAATACTGTGGGAAATGCCTCCGCACGCAGATGGCGATTGTATGGACTGCATCAAACCATTGGGAGAAAAGAAAACTCCAAAACCGTCATCATCAGCATCACCAACAGGTCCATCCAACCTGAATAAAGGACTGGAGAGAAAATGGCTTCTCCTGCAGCTCGTTTTCGCGGGAGAACTGCTAATTCGTTTGGATGCCATTGTCCAATTGGCTGTGTTACAGAATTCTAAAGACATGTCAGTTACAGCGCAGGATATGCGTGAGCTTGATAAGCTGCGGCATGGCAAAGTGAATTGGGATATTCTCTTCTTCCAGCGCTTTTCTGATAATCTGACTATCAAATATCTACCCAAGAGTTCTTTTCATTTGCCTGGACAGTCAGAGCAGCAGCAGCAGAAACAAGAAGGAACACGAAATCCAGCAAAGCAACACGGCCTTCTGTCTAAATTCGGTGGCATTTCGAAACACTTTCATTCCAATTCCAGTCATACACACTCACCACAAGAGTCTTCACTTGCGGAATCGTCCTCATCAGACCCTATCTGGGACTGCATTGCAATTTCCGCTCGTCATCCGGAGCGACAATTAAAAGGGCTTTCTGTGTTTGCCGAAACTCTTGAATGGCCAGGCTACGAGGCACTCGAAGCGCGTATTCGGTCGAACGTGCAACAAAAAGAGGGAGAGACTATGACTACGGAAACAGTCAGTTTGGCGTACAGTGTTCCCGTCAAAAATACCGAAACGTCAAGACTATTCAGCAAGAAGGATACATATACCAGGAATCCGCGTCATCGATATTTAGTACTCCATAGAAACAAATCGGGTGAAAATGATGCTATTCGAGGAGGATGGCTATCTAGAGCGTGGCTTACGGGCCTCGTGATGCCCGGTGAAAATATCAGTCATTTATTGATGGCTACACTCCTAGAAAACGACCCCAATGCCCTTCACACACTGGGCACGGTGGCGAACTTGTATGGCGGGCTGAGTTACGGAGATCAGGGATGCACATGGTGGAGCACGCAATGCGTCGTCGGTAGAGTTCTTGCTGCCCTGGATGGGTCAAGAGTGTGTACGGGGTGGGTGAAGACGAGCATTACGCCTGTACATGACCACGGCGATGAGAAGAAGACGCCGCTGAAACTTACAGACACCTGGTTCTCGATTGAGGGCGTTCAGGAGCCTTTACAAAAGAACACACGTATTCGGCAGGGCACGAGGTTGGCTATTGAATCGAACCCTCTTGGAAGAGGCAGAGTGTCCAATGATACATTTACGATACCGCTTGACGATGACGATAAGGAGAAGAATCGGGATGTTAGTATGAAGCTGAACGGACTCACGTTGTCTCGACCTGAGAATGCAGCAGCCTCCATCAATAATATCTTTGTGGCTGATCGCGCTTCGCTTGCGTTTGAGATCACCACCACTGCTACTACCTCCAGTACTGAATCACGTATTACTGAATCGGTCGTTTTTCCGCTAACATACAACGCCATATTCATCTCGTCATATACCTGCCGGCCACCGAGGGGATCAATTGAACAAGCACACCAAATAATGCACCATGAATCTTTTGATAAACATGATAATAAGCATACACATCTTCCAGGCCACCCACTCCACAAATCATACGCATACAAACACGTTTCACTACAAGACCTGCGTGCATCTACCCGCCCACCAGTCGTCCACTTTACTACCCCTACTCATAACCCAACCCCTACCCCTGCTTCCGAAAAACCACCTACGGAAACAGACGGAGAGGTAGCAGCAGAGGAAGAACCAGTATGGATCTTGGACGCGCGCTGCAGTCGCGACAAGGAAGTCTTTGCGCGGGCGTGGTGTGCTGCTGTCGGAGTCAATGCGCTCATTGGAAGGGTTGGGAGGACGTGTTTGGCGTGCTGTGTGAGGGAGGCGAGGGCTGTAGGAGTTGGGGTAGTTATAAGAGTTGGGTCATCGTCGTCTTTGTCTTAAACTTTCTCTTCTCTTCAAGTTTCTTCGAAATCTGTTGATGATAGTACTACATAGTAATATACGTCAGGACTTAATTTCAGCCTGGATATTCCCAGCATTGCAGAATCTTTCCGTCAGCAGTCTAAGATAAGAATGAACGTGAGTTTCAACCTTAGATGGTGGTGAGTGCACGCCAATCTGATTATGTCAGCACAATTGCGGCATCATCATTGGCCAGTCACATGTTTGCGGTTCTGCTCCGACAACAACAAACACTCAACGTTCCTCTCTGATCTTTCACGGACGGACATACCCTCGACATCTATTCTTCTTCTCAGGCATAGCGTGGATTTATTTGCGATATAGAGATTAACATCCATAATACTATACTAATCGTAATATCGACCCGACAATGGCACAATCACTGGTAAGTCAAAAGTCGGAATCTATCTGCTGGATCGCAGCTAAACGCTTACTCTGTGCCTACGACAGTCTGCTCAAGTCCCCCAACATGTATCGGCATTACTCTCACACCTTACCTCGCGGCCGGGCGTGCAATCGACTCTGATCCTTTCCCGCAAAGATGGCTCAATCATACAAAGCACCGGTCTACTAGCGACGACGTCTACCTCTACATCCACACCACATGGAACCGGCAACACCACGACAACAGCCACAACAAACACAGAAAATGCCTCCAATCCCGGTGGCGGCGGTGGTGGTGGTGGTGGAGGAACTGTCACAGGCTCTTCCGACCCTGCTGCATCCTCACCGGAATCTGTCCCCACCGCATCAGCTCAAAGCCAGAACACAATACTAGCCCAACAACCCTATAAACCCAGCCAAGCGGAGGCCCTTGCCGCCCATATTTTCGCTTTTATGTCTGGCGCCTCTGGCTTGGCGTTGTCATTATCAGGTTCGACGGGCAGCGAAGATATTCCGGGGTTTGAGTCGCGATCGAGAAATGTAAACGGAACAACAGCAGGAGATGGCGCTGAGAAGGCGCTGGACGAAACAGCGACAGCGACAAACATGACGTCAGCAGAGAGGATGTATGACCGCGAAGAAGATGATGAGATTAAGCTCTTGCGACTGCGCACAAAGAAGCATGAGATAGTCGTTGTTCCTGATCGGAAGTATTTACTTTGTGTTGTTCATGATGCTTCTGGGGCTGCTGCCGCTTCTTCCTCTTCTGGGTCTAGATGAGATTATACAATTTTATTCTTTTGGTCGACAGAAGAAAAATGAAGAGGATAGAGGCAGAAAGGACAGTTTTTGTTCCTGTATTGTACATATGACGAGGTGTTTGTTTGACTCGGATTGTTGTTGATATACCATTTTGAGAAAATGTAGTCGAAACGTTTGTTTAAGATGCTTGCCTTCAATTACGCTACGTCTCTTATACTGCGGTAAATATTGAACGATATATATCTACCTCATCGTTGAAGAGCAACTGATGAATGTATAAACACTTGACAATAAGAATATTGACGGCAGAACAAATGGCGGTGTGCGGCATCTCAATCACGTGGCGATAAGGATCTAATCTTGGCATCAAAAAAAGTCCAACTCCAACATTAACATCAACATTAACAGCAATCAAAAGAAACCGCAATTCTACGTCTACAGTTGTATTCTTGTAGATTCATTCGTGGAATAAAAGACATAGTTTTCTGTTTTTACATATTGCCCATTTCTTGATTTGACAAACGCAAGAAGCTTGACGAACAAGACAAAATGGGGTCGAGCCAGAAAAGAAAGAAGGAGAAGCAGAAAGACTTTCAGGTTTGTTTTTCGAACAATATATTGATTCAAAATGGCATAGCTCATAATGACGAAAATATTCCTAGAAAGCGAAACTTAAGGTTGGCAAGGCAAAGCCCAAGCCGGCGAACTTTACAGATACAAGCTTCAGATCGAAAGGTACCTCTCTTTCACTCTTCTAGAGTTATCTTGCTTATTTCCAGTCTAACAAGCACAGCAATCGTGTTAAACCAACAATCACTATCAACCACCGCACCTACATCCTCCTCCCAATTCTCCCATCATCTATCACTACTCTCGTCTAAATCCGACACACAGCGGAAAGAATCGCTCGCCCATCTCACGACCTCGGTGGCATCTCGACCCGTAGACTCAGCCCTACCGCAGCCAGTAAGCGTGATGCTACCCAAACTAGTGCCTCTCCTCCTGGACGCGAGTAACAGCGTGCGCGCACAACTACTCAAATTTCTCAAGACTCTTCCCGCGGCCGATATAGAGACGCACGCCGCTCAATTGCTACCCTATATACGCGCGGGAATGACACATTTAGCAGCGGATATTCGTTCCTCAGCAGTTGAGGTTCTGGGTTGGCTTGTTCAGGCGGCAGGAAGCGAGGTGGTTTCGTGTCCCGGCGGCTGGATCAAGACGTTAAATTGTTTCTTGTCGCTTCTCGGATGGCATACGGAGGAGTCGGCCAAGTGGTCTTCGAATCGGAGCTCGTTTGGCAAGGCCGGAAGTGAAGGTCGGCCCATGGTGAAAGCGCTTCAGGCTCTGGCTGAGTTTCTGCGAGCTGGTATTGGCAGTGACCAGGATGAGGACGAGGATCTCGTAATGCGTGACGAGCGTGCAGCCGACTACGAGGTTGGCGTAGAGTTCTTCCCTATTGATCTCTCGGTGCGGCAGAATATGATCCCGGACAGGTCTGCGCCCTACGCTTACCTCAATTTATTCGGGCAGCCGCGGGATGCAGAGGGCGAGATGTACGAGAGTCGAGAAGATCGCTTGCGCGTGTTTGCTGATATGTTTCGGAAAGCTATTGAACGCGGGGTGGAAAATGCGCGCAAGGAAGGGGGTGAGGTTGGACGGGCTTCAGCAGCAGTCTTCAAGGTGCTTCGGGAGAGTGTCTGAGAGATGCTATGCTTAGGAATCCGCAAGGACATGCCCATGTCAAACTCTCCAGGCATGCTATTATTACTCTTGCCGACAGGATACAGGGGTATAGGCAACGTCATTCTCTGTCTCCGTTGATCCTAAAACACCGTCGGGCATGAAACCGCCATACACTAGGGTCATGCCACGCCGCGCCTACCCTTACAGTCACCAACGCGGTGTCTCATGTTGACCCGGGGTCATCCTAACCTCTTAATCTTGGATGCCTAGAATAGACGGTTGCTGGCCAAGCGTCCATCAATCAATTGGACCCAGATCCTATTTCCGGCAGTAGATTTGTCGACGTGATTATCAGGTTTTTGTTTTGATATAACTATATATATCAAATGCTTTACTCGAGATAGATAGCTTGGTGTCTCAAGTCCATCAGCGTGCCATTTATCTTGGCGGTCGACCTAGGAGTGTTTCATGTATATGTACGTTTATCATAACACATCAATATCCATGGGTCATTTATGATATGTACATGACATTTCGGTCAGGTGCTAGATGCATGTACCTTGGCATGCATCCCAGCAGAATGCTTAACTGAGACCGATATCAATGATGTCACAAACTAGACATGACTATCTATTCAAAACGTACCTAGGGGATATCATGCAGATATTTTATAATGATGCATATATTGCATGGCTATCTATCCATGTATATTTTCATATTTTGTTGTATTAAGTACAACTTGTCTTATCGCCTAGGTGCCTAGGTAGTCAGAGTGGGTGTATACCGCTCCTACAAGACAAATCGCTTGCCTGAATAGCAAAGAAGAAAGCCTGTTTAATTCAGTTAACTGCCCAGTTCCTCAATTCGGAGTGATGCACGGAATACATCGCGCAGGCAATCATTTCCTGATACCCAACCATCTAGTAACCAATACCAATATACGAAGACCTGACTCTATGGCATATTGATACAACCAATCAACACCCCTTGGTTTAGCGGTCAGCAACAAGGCCTAACCCAAGTAAGCAAGTCATTCGCTGTTTCCAAGTTTGGACTAGGACGAACATGAAGCAGTCAAATCATAAGGCAGCGTGCATTGAATATACTTTTGCAATGCATTTGCAAATCTTCTTCGAAAAGTAATCGCCACATATGCATTGCACTCGGAGGGGGAAACTGCGAGCAACCTATACACTTTATCCAATAACTAGGTAACTGTCAGATAAAATAGTTGCCGCAGGGCACATAATAGGTACATGTGACCAGACAACTCTAATCACAACTTATGCTAGGGACGTCAATGACGTGGCCTGTCTTAAATCCTTCAGCCCCTCAGACACACATGTCAAATGATTTTAACGTATAGGCTCGTGTGTATGATGGATGTGCTGCTAAATTACGAATAGTAACGTTGTATCCAGGTACTCCAAGAGCATAAGAGAAATGCCACGAAATGACGTCAAAGCATTTAATTCACAGGGCCTCATCAATTCCTGATCTCAGATTGCCGGCGTTGTCCGTATAACGATGACCATGACCATGACCATGTAACAGTAACCAGTACGGCGTGCTGCAAGTTTCAGCTGTCTCCGAGTCCGGAACAGAGTGCCATCTACGGTTCTAGGGGGTTAGTAACTAATAGTTACTAGTACTCTATATATATATAGTATTACTCAAAACGCACAGAATATTAGAACGAAGGCCCGGAGCAGCTTACTGTTTTGAGAGAAACGGCCTGGTTGAGTAACTTGTCTGCTGCTCATCCCTGGACGCTGAACCAGTTATGGGAATGTGATTGGCTGGACGCTGAGTTAAGGGCACAAAAAAGCAAAAGTAGGAAAGGAGAAAAAGCCCTAAAACACACAAAAGGAGACTAGTGCCGTTTCACCCATCGGGGCTAGCGTGAGAAAACGCCAAGACTTGGGCGTGTTTCAGGATTCTCTCCGTGTGGGTCGGGCGGGCCAATAGGGCTGCGGAAGTGGGGCGGCCGATTGCTGTTTCGGGCGTGTACAAGTCTCATCTAAACGATCTTATACATACACATACAATATAATGTATATACATGTTGCATATACTTCTATATATATCTCTGTGTAGATTGGACGACATGACCATCTTGCATAACTTCGTCTTACATAGCCTGCAATTTCAGCGCCTGAATTGAAGGGCAGCAACAAAGAACGATCGCTCTAGTCCTCTTCTGGAATCAAGTGCCGAAGCATAGTAGATAGTACTATAGTAGATACCATGATTACGAGATTTTTGCTAGAAGTTTCAGAGGCGTAAAAATGTACTAACTCGATTGTGACTGGATTGCCACCATGGTGTCTGATTCATCGGTTATTTTAATTAATAGTTACTAGTCAATTACCTACAGACGACGCTGAGACAGGGCACATGGCTGCCCAATCAATGGGCTATTGTGGTTTATACAAAGCTGCCTGACATCTCGCCTATCGCATGGCATGGAGTATTCCATAGTTATGTGGTATGTTTATTAGCATATGTATTATATCCATTGATGCAAGCAAGCTATGCTCTGATCATGTGCGATGTCTGCGGCTGTAGCTGCAGCTAGACCGTGTAGTTAGTTCTCACGTGCATCCTGAAACTGCAGTTGCAGATCGCCCAAAGAGAAAGAAAAAACCCCGCTAGAAACGAAGCTGGTCAGAAGTCCGGGTTAGACCATGGTGAAGCAGGCTAAGGCGCTGACAGGGTGGGTATGCCTTGACCCTTAAATTAAACCTTGTCGGTATATCTATCGTGCCATCACGGTCTTCGTACGTTCTATGCGCGAATGCCGACAGCCTTCGATTCCAGTGAATATAACTTTGGAGTCTATATGATAGAATATATAGTCGACGCTGTATACAGCATGAATCTTGGTAGTACTGTACAGTGTTAAAGTGGAGTCTTGCTGTCTAATCAGATGCCGCTTGCTCCGCATCCCATACCCAGAGTATAGGGCATTTCGGTGCTCAACCAACCCAAACTATGGGGTTTGTAAATTAACTTCGTGGCAGTGCAAAATAAAATGAAGACGAGCACAGAAAGAAGCCAATATAGGAAGGGGTCGGACACTCATTCCTTGGTATGTTCGCTCCGTGGACATGCAAGTCATATCTGGATTATATTCTATAATCAATCCTACTGTAGACGGGAATGACGTCTCCAGTCGACATGTCTAGGTAGTGTCCACTGTCAAAATAGATCATTCTGGCAACAGTATCCTCACTCAATTGACATTTGGCAGACAGGAACTAGGAGATAATAGGTAGCAATGACAGACAGGTATGATGTTACTCCATCTCGGTTTGCTCGGTTCCAAGGGATTTATGTAGATTGCTTAATACTAATCCAGCTAGTCCATGTCTATTAGCCGGCTATCTCATGCAAGTCACAGTCATACTTTTACTTTTACTGGCTAATGACTTAATGAACTAGCGCTAGATGATAGTTCAGCTTGGGCGATAGAACGTTCTGCCCTGGTTTTTCTTTTTCCTTTTCCTTAAAAAAAAAAGGAAACGAAATTAAAGAAAAGGGGCGATGGATAAATCTCGTTTTCTATAGTACGTATCTGCGTAACTACAATTGTGCTATTTATACAAACGATCTGGTTATTCCTTTGATCTGTAGCTAAACATATCATTCATTGATCAACCATGAATGGTCACCGGTAGTAAAGGAATCATTACTTTCGTGTCCTGCCCTCGTCAAGCTTCAAGTCCCCTAACTGCGTAGGACATGCCCAAACAAGTTACATCTACGATTCCTGTCATGACTCCATCCATCGCCAGAATGCCGTCATTGAAAGAACTTATCAGCCAAGTGCCAACGACACTACTGTTTGACCCACCAGAAGAACTCCGTAAGCGTCCCCTCCGGCCAAAGATTCCATCCATGCTACGTACGGCGAAGATATCAAGACATGGACCACGGCCTGATTGGCCTCTCGAACCCCTAATTTACCTTTCTTCCCAATCAGCCCTGAGTTTCTCTGCGGTGGTGACTGACTATACTACATGTAGATATAGCATGGCCGCAGGTGCGAAGGCGAACCTGAACAGGACAGAAATAGGAGAAAAATGGGGGGGGGGATTAAGCTCCATCTGGAACACTCAGAGAACAGTTGAAAATTAGCCTAGTGTTTCACCCCACGATTAGCTGCAAACCAAGTGTATTCTATGGCTGCTTCTTCTCGAGATCTACCACGACTCTTATAAGTAAGTCCTTCGTACTAGCTAGCTACGCGTCCCTTTGCAGGCAATGCATAGTCATACTTCCAGACTAGACCCAACCAGTCAATCTTCAACCAGAGAATTCGCTGCTATGTATGTAATAGGTATTATTTTTACCAAGACAATGGAGGAAAAAAAAATTAACACAAAAAGAAATAAAAAGAAATTAAATCCTATTTTTAAAAAAGAAAACCACATGGCCGACTATTTTCGATTGACACCTTTTCTTCAAACCCTTTCTTTCTTTCTTTCTATTTTATTATAAACATTCGTACCTGATTCTATTTCGTTCCTTTCAACCTTCTCTCTCTCTCTCTCTTTTTTTTGGCCCTTCGACCCTCTTTTGGGATTACGTCTGTTTTTATTTGCATCTCCACGTTACTTATTTTTAAATTATATTCTTTGTTTCCTTTGCGCCTGGTCATCAAAGAAAGAAAGAGACAGCAATCTATTTACATAATAATCGCTTGGATAAATTAGCGCATTGCTTCAAATCGGACCGGGCTATATTCTTATCGGAAAGAAATGAATCCATATTGATTATTATTTACAAAGTGACTTGGACGATTTGCGCGCAAAAAAGGAAGAGGAGAAGGATACTCCTGTGTTAATGACGACTTAATCGACTGATCAAACACCCCCCCCCCCAAAAAACACCTTCGATCTGGGAATTCGGAGCGCCATCGACTTGCTTTCCATCGAGAAAAGAAGGAGCAGAACCCCAAATCAGCAAACAAACCTACATAATTCATTTTTAATCAACGCAACGCGAGTTTCATGGGCATACTTCATAGACGGTCTTGAAGTTGGGTTTGGTTCTTTTTTTTTTTTCCTTCCCTTTGCAGATTGGAGGCATGCCTTCGGTGCTGGTCGAGACAGTGTGCCCAATACCATTATCGTTACCGAATCACGCGAGTCCGGTCATGGATTCCTCAGGTGCGTCTGGCGCAGACAAGAAGCGCAATAAGCTTGGATACTCTCGGACGTCAGTCGCATGTGGTCAGTCTATTTTTCATCCTCCGCTTTGCGTGAGTGAGTGTATGTGTGGTGTCGGTTCTAACGTACCCAACTGATACCCAGTGCACTGCCGTCGACGCAAGATCCGATGCCTGGTATCAGCAGACGACAGTGAAGGCCGCTGCGAGAACTGCATCCGACTCAGAAAAGAATGCCAGTTTTACCCTGTAGACCAACAACCACCGACTGATCGCAAAGCGCGGCCCGGAAATACGCCGACGTCGTCCGCCGATCCTTCAATAGCTTCATCATCGCCACCCTCGGCGGTTTTGGGAGGAGCAGGAGGAGCAGCAGGGGGACCCATAGACCCCAACGATATCTACCATTACCAGATAACCAGTGCGACGACGCCCGAGATGGCTGCGACAGCTTTTCATCCGTCGGGGTTTTCGGTGGCTCCTATGGGGGCTTTCTCTGCCACTAATAGTACGCCCTTCTTTTACTTCATCACCTGGTTGGGCAATCACAATCATGTCGGAACTAACTGGTGTTAAAACAGACGCTGTTCCTCACCCAGAACTTGTCCCTAGCCAAACGATTGACCCAAACGCCTCTTGGGAGCATCCCGCAATGGGAAACCCAGCGCAGATGATGTGGACAACACCACAGGGCCAAATACTCGCAGCAGGAGGAGCACCGCCTCATCCACAAATGCTCGGTCCAGCCGCTGCAGCACCTTATACAGTACAACTAGACGGGACATTGTGGCCTGCACCACCGCAACGCGCCATGACGATTCCTTCTCAGGCGGATATATATTCTCATCCTCCTCCCCAGGGGCATCCGGGGTTTGCATCGAGCATACCCCCCGAATTGAAACGAAGCATGACCAGTCCTGCCGTCTCACGTTCTCAAATTTCCCCTTTGCAAAGTCCCGCGACATCGCAAATGCAGGTTCCAGTGAATTACTCGAGCCCGCCAATTGCATTCCAACAGCATCAGCCGCCGCCACCGCGGCAGCCATGGAGTAATATGAACACCATACCGATGGGTGATGGCAGTTATGCAACGATGTTTGCTGCTCCCCCTGATCAGTTCCCCATGGGTCAACATCCGACCACGGGGCCGTAAATATTTATCTTTCTCTTCTCTATTTGTCGATCTACCCTTAAACAGGGCCTAGGACTTGATCACTTCCACTTCTTCCGATCTTCATCATTATATCATTTATTTTACTTTCTCTTCTTTCTTCAATCACTGATATTTATATTCACGATCATTCAATGAACGAGTGGTCTACTCGAGTTGGGTATATCAATCATTTAGCGGGGGGCGCAAATGGGTTTCTTTCTTTTCTTTCTTCTTCGTCTTTTCATTATTCATCAGTATATATATGCATATATCTTTTTTCTTTCCTTTTTATATTCTTTTCTCTTGATGAGCATTGGATTTCCTATTTACTTTACCCACATACATAGATAGACGGATACCTTGAAATTGCTGAGCATTGGATTTTTTTTTTCATGACTATATTTACTACTTACCATTTTTGGTTTTGATTTGTAGGACAACCGTCTGTGCACATTCAGAGCAATGCATTGTCATAAGTCCCCAAGAGGATGCTGAATGACGGGTTTATAACTAGGGTTAGGGTTTGGTCGGTCACATGTCAGCCAACCTCCCCTTTCGATGACACGCTACTTCAATTACCTTCCACTCGGTGAATTATCGGTAAAAGAATGAGGCCAAAAGGATTATAAAACGCAGCTCGCAAGCACAAAGCCCGGATTACGATTGAAGCTCTCGTTGGCTGATTGCCACTCACTGGCAATAGGTGACACAACTAGGGCAGCAAGTTAGGGCTATCTTTTGACTCACCGGGAACATCCCTGCTACCAAGGTCCTTTTTTTTTCCTTTATTCAACTCCTAGCTGAGGGATTTTTGCCCTACAGTTTCACACTGTTGAGCGTTTGAATCAAACGTAATAGGCAGCTGAATGGCAGATATTCTGTGTTGATGGTTACACAGGTGGCTTATGTCAAATCGCCCTGTTGAAACATTTGCGCGGACAAAGAAGTCAGAAAGATTACGCCCGAGACAGAGTTTTCTCTCGTTTGTTCTGGGTGTCTAGTCTGCAGCCTTCTATATAAGAACAGGGCTCAGTCTCTTCATGGCCATTACTTCCTGTTCTTTTCTAGTGAACGCTGCTAGGCTTGATGCCAACATTCTCATATATATATCTTTTTGTGCTCAACTTGTTGATCAAGATCTCGACGAGCATTCCATTGCATGAGGCTTTAGAGTTATGGTCATCTACTATCAATCAACTTGATGATCGATCGTCTGCGACCAGCGAACCTTAGAAGTCCGTTTACCACCCGCGAGATACTAAGCCAGAATGCTCATATTCGAGATGAACATCTTCGACCTTTCGCGAAAGCTTGCTCTTCAAAAGAGCTCAACACCGGCTTCCTACAACTTTCATAGAATAACCCAGTCTACTATCAAAATTGAGGGTAAAAGGGCTTCACGATTTTACTACGTGGAAAATGCTTCGCATGGACAGCTGTCATCATGCCCACGAAGCTGTCATAAACTCGATCGTGACAAAGCCGATCAACCAAGGCTAGAGAATCCGTTGCAAATACGTTTGTGGCTTTACTGGCTGAAATGAGATATTTATAGCCAAGTTGCAAACCGTGACAATATTACCCCATTTGTCTGATGGTCACCGGGGAAAAGGACCAACAGGTATGTGACATTCTCAGATAGAAGCAAGCATTAGTCTCACGAATAACCTGCCTCTAGCAACACGGTGTCTCGAGGAGACCAAAGATCTAAGAATCAACTTTACTATCATTACCATCGTTTAAAATGTGATGATATCAGATGCCTTGGGCATTCTCATCTCGCTTCTCAGGCCTCCGCATCTCCTCTGCTACGAATCCTTCACTATTGTTTATCACTCAACACCTGCTTCTTACTTCAACCCGCTCTTCGAAACGTCCAGTTAGCAATATCTTCTACGAATATTTGTTACAGTCGTGACAGCCCGAAATGGTCTTCAACGCGCAAGACAAGGCAGAGGTAGTTGCTTCTATTATTTTGAAGCCTATCGATACGTAGCAGAAGAAACGCTACGAACGAATGCGCGACTATCTCGCCAATTCAAGAACTACAGCGTAAGACCAGCCGTCACTTAGAGTGATACATTTGTCCAAAATGACCAAGCACCGTGGACCGATGTATATCGCTCGGCCAAAGAGGCAAAGCTCACTCCATACCCTCATATAAACAAGGATCTGGACGAATACAACGCAATCAGCGTGAAGCCTACTCGAGGAAACCCTGATACGAACCCAAAGTGGGACGCAAAGAGAGTTGCATGGCTCAAACATAGGCTGCGAACTCTCGCCAAAGATGCATCCCACAAATCGATTTAGTGGCACAAGGCACGGTTCTTCCTCATCCTCTAGATATGAGGGAGTAACTAGCAATAGAGCGATATTCCAGCATCAGATTTCGTCCCGATCATGATGCCTCGCGGGATGGCTATTCTTGCGTCTGTCCTATGTCCATCCCCATCCAGCTCGTTTGCCTTCAGCCTTCGAAAACTGCCAAACCCAAAATCTAGTTTCCGCAAAGCAGTCTGAAGTCGATATATACAAGTCACACCGAAAAGAAAGCTTGCAAGGCAAGGAGCATCAAGTCATCAGTTGAACCTAAACCAGTCTTGTCTGCAAGAGCTCGCACAGGTCGTGGCATGGATCAAACGACGCCCTGATCCTGTGGTGTCTCAGCAAGTCAACCAGTCTCTTCCTGGGGAACAGGCAAGTTTCATCCGCATCTAATTGCACTCAGCATAGCTAACAGTCGCAGGAGATATATCATATCCCAAGATGATGGGCGACATGAACTATCTCTCGAGCTTCTACTAGTGCAGGGCAAATTTCTCGGTATATGACGAATACGCTACAATATGGTACATAAAGCCCGAGTACTCTCCATCAGGACCAAAAATCGAATTAGTGTCATACCTATATACCCTCGAGGAAATAGTTGTTCTCCACGCAAAGCCAGCTGCAGAGAGGCGCCAAAATGCTTTTCTTTCGATATAAAAGGCAACAGTATTCTTGCAGCAGGAGGAAGTACCTGGTCAATAGTTACTTGTATAATGCTAGAGACATTCAACTGATCTAACTTCTTGGCCGAAGTCGACGATGCCAAGCAGCATCACCGAGCGTATTAGCGATTTACCACTCAGAACCATATCTTTCATGTACGATTGGCCATGTCAAAGAAACCACCCTAGATCGACAAAAGAGCACAACCGGTGAAACCGCACTGCTACTATCATGCTATCAGGAACAGTACTCGGCAACAGATGGATTGACCTGGCATTCAAACGTAGTGCTAATTCGAAATTAGCCTATTTTTGTTGCCTGCACGACCATATACGACATCAACCAAGAGAAAAGTTCGCAGCAAATATCAGCCAACAGCCGTTGCAAACGCTCCCATCTCTTGGTCAGGCCTCATAGGCAATCACATTTTATGCCAAGGGACCATACCAGATGAACATCCATCCAGAAAGAAGTGCCGAAATAACGACTTGGCGTACTTTCTGCCAAATCTTTACTCCCTCCCACGCGAAGAAGAATCCCTTATGGAATATTTCAGGAAAGCCCCGTCCAGTTCCCTGTCAAAACGAGCAACACGATATATCATATGCCGACGAAGAGAAAGTGAAGTAGCCTCGAGTATCCCGGACACCACACTTGCTGGGAACAGACCGTCTATCCCAAAAATACTCTCCCGCATCACTTTGACATCCTGTACTCGCGACAATTCCGCGATCAGAAATCTTAACTTTTTCCTGCATTTGGTGCCCTTTTTTTTTGCACACCTCGCGCTCATCAGATGGTAGCATTTCTTGGGACGCTTTTTAACTGGCTTCCAACTGCTTTGGGAACAGTATTTGTGGCAATATTTCGCACACAAATACATAGCTTTGTAGAGATCCCATGCAGGCTTCTCGCATTCAAAGACAAGAGATTGGTAGCTGGGACATCAATTCTCGCTGACAACGTGTGCGCCGGATGATTCCATTGTTAATTCCGAATACAGAACACCTGGAGCCAGCAGGATGACTTGTTTTCTTTTTTATTCCCCAATCATACCAAGCTTTTTACACCTCCAACATCGCGGAAAACATCGGACCAATGCCTCGATGTCCTTCGGCGAAGATCCTAGAGAGACAACAGTCCACCAATCAACGAATGCAGTAGGGGGTTCTACGGTAAATGGAACTAGGAGACAGAACGGGTCGTTCAACGGCGTCTCAGTCGGAACAAAGGAAGTCGTCGGCTCATGGCTGTTGAGATGCAAGAAAAGTGCACGGCACTCATTAACTAGGCTTATGAAGATTGACATATGACCTGCCATACTCTTAGCAGGACGAGAAGAGGCACCAACTCCAGTCATGTCGAACCGCCGCTGCAATTCAAAGTGCATACATACATGACCGATCTTCGTCTGGGAGATAAAACAATCCGAGCACATACCTATCCAAACGAAACGCAAAACCCGAAGCCCAAGGACTAGTTGGAGATGGCAGATAATCCCAGAAAGGACAGTCTCTCCATATCTACGGGAAAACATGATGCGCAGTTCTTTACATTCAACCTTGCAGGTACACCTTGGAATAGGTGAACATTAGGTTACAGACGGAGAAGCAGATTTCATTTAATGGCAGCTTGACCTTGTTCTGCATTCGTTTTCGGCATATTCTATGGATGTGATTTTCGTGCCTATGTCTTGCTTGTGATTAGACTGTTGCGCACACAAGCTTTCGTGTGATGTCCACTGCCTTGTCGTTTCTACTTGTTTTCCAGTAATCTTACTACTACGCGCTATATCGGCAAACGTTTCTGCCCGTTGATATTACTCCGATATATAGTACAATATATTATTATGACCACTCATGAAATTGGGCGTCAAGCAGTCAATATGGCTACAACGTCTTCTTACTCTATTCTTCTCCTTCGATAATCGACGATTGCGGCGAGTATGGCGGACCAGGGGGACAAGATCGTATCTATGCTTCAATATTTCCTAGATTCTAATGATCGTGGGACCGAGCAAAAGACCAGTGGCACACGATCTAGGCCACTTTGACAACCTAAATCTACGACAGGCACATACATATATAAATGCTACACTGAGACCTGCATGTATTCTGATTCTTGACCCATGTAAATATATATTATATATATATATATATACCTAGGTATACATCTCTACCCATCAGATCATAAACTTATCCAACGCTCCAGACTCTATAACGTACATCTACTTCCTCCCAAGCGCCTTCGAAACCGTCTCCCCAGCCGCTTGCATCATCCCCCTATCTCTACCCTTCTCTCTCTTACCAGCACCAGCATTATTCCCCTCGGTACTCTGGCTCTTCCCATAAAGCGGGCTCTCATCCTCTCTCATCGGCAGAATGGATTCGCGCTCGTCAGGCGGGAGACGGCCTGTGGTTGATTTTGAGTCTCCTATAACCATGCGCACCTCGTCAGATTAGATCGTGCGGCAGAGGACTTGGGGAGGATGAGGATGGAGTGGTTATACCCGGCTGCATTGCATTGGCCATTCGTGTTTTCATGCGGCTGTAAGGGGAGGATTCTCTGGACGCTGATCTTGAGGGGTCCATTTTTCTTTTCTTTTCGGTAGAAGGTTTTGGCTTGTTATGAATACTTTGAATGCTTCGATGTAGGATGATATGGAGTTATTCGACTTGTTTAGTGAATGGGTCTTGTAAGATATGATTGATATGTTGGGAAAGAAGGATTGGTTAGGGTTTCTCCAGGTCCAGTGATGTAAGAGCATCGTAGTTTGCTGTCCTCGTTTCCGTATGGCTATGGCTAGCTATGACCATGGCGACAAATTCCATGGTTATCAAATAACCTAAATAAAAAAGATGTAGAGGCGAAGAGAAAAAGCCAGCCCACCATCATTATTCATTCACAATCTTAAAATATTAGAAATAAAAGACATAAAACAAAAGCAGTGCGCACTTCTGCCCGGTTGCTCGGCCCATTAATAAGAAAAAAAAAGCATAAAGGAAAAGAGAAACGAAAACCATAACCAGGGCTGAGCAAACCGAACAGACGCGATTGTATCAAGCAATAAGCACAAACGACAAAGGAACAGAAAAATATAAATCAAAAACCACATCGCACTCGCAAACATCAGATTCATCATAACCGAATCAACTGGCCGTAGACAAAACACAATATTGTGTATGTAACCCGCCTGTGGAACAGATCTAGTCACAACTCCGTTCCAGGCAAAACAGAATAAAAAATCAGTCCGTTCTCACACCTGTACTGCCCATCATGTCTATAAACGAATCCGCATAAGAAAAGAAAAGAAAGGCAACGATGTGAGCGACATCATCATAAATAACGAAGTTGTAAAAGATGGGTAAATAAGTTCGAGTAGATGATACTACAAACTCATTGTCAGCCATTCCCACTCCTGGCTGGCTGTCTGGCCGGATCCCGCAGCCAGACTGTGATGGGCCGGATTCGTCGCCGCCGGCGGCATGGCTGGTGCTAGTGGCACATTCTTGGATCGTGCACCGGCCGAGGGCCCAGCACTGGCCTTGTTATTGTTGTTGTTGTTCATATTATCTATGCTCATATCATCGCTGCCGTTTGTTTCTGGGCTGTCTTGAGACAGACTGGCCTGGATGCTGGCGAGTGAGCCTATCGAGTCCTTGTCAAGCCGTCGCTGACGCTTGGGAGCAACCTGGACAGCCCTAGCTTGGGCACCAGTTGATGGGGTGGTTTTCGGTGGAGCTGCTGCAATTGGGACAACACCACTCTTGACAGAACCACCAACACCAGTTGATCCTGTGGCCGAAACAGTAGAGCCTGAGATTGATGGCGGCGATTCAGAAGCATTAGCGCTCTGCTGCTTGCTTGAGCCTGGTGGCGTGATGACGGGAGTCTGCTGTACGGAGTTCTTCCGGGAATTCTTTTTGGACCGAGCAGACGACACTCCGATAGGGAGGTTGTTACCACCGCCCCGATTGCGCTTCTTGATGACATCAGTCTTGAGCGAAAGAGGTCGCACCACGCCGTGTAGCTTCAGGAAAAGACCACAAGCATTGCACAACGGCTGGCCCTCAGGATTCCGTCGCCAGAGAGGTGTCGTCTGGGTGAAGCAATTGGTGCAGGTAGTTGGGGCACCTTGGTCACCTGGCTTTGTGCCACCCGGGCTGACCGGACGCGATGGCACGGCGCTGCTGAATCCCGATTCAGGCGGGGTATTTGGCGACTGCATGCCCTGCATGGCCAGGTGATCTGTGTTTGGGGTAGAAATAGCGCGAGCAAGTTTTGGTCTTCGGAGATCATGGCTGCTGAGGGCCTGGCTGTGCGGGAGACTTCCACTTTCCCAATCGTGAGATTGGTCCATGAGATCTCCCATTCTGGTGTGGTTGATGCCTGAAAAGTTGGGCATGGAGCCATAGTGACTGGCAATCTGAGCATCCCATTGCAAGCTCGTGGACATGTCAGCAGAGATATCATCGATGCCTTGAAAATCGGTCTGCATGGCGAGGTTGTGATCATTGAAAGTAGCGCCTTCTTCGTCTTCGTTGTCCGAGTCGGCTCCAAATGTGAACATGTTCTCGCTGCTTGTGAGGTTCAGGTTGTGATGGGAAGGAGGAGCCGAGAACTCATTGTGTCCAATGACGGACGACGGATCAACGTGCTGTTGACCTGAAGCGAAGCCGGGGGACGGGATGTTGGAAGGCGGACCGCTCATTGTGTTATAGGCGGTAGCGGCTGAGGGAGCATTATTGGCAGAGTCATTTTTCCCGTTAAACATGTATCGAGGTTGCAGAGAAGCAGTGAGATTGGACGTGCGATGAGGTGCGGCATAGACTGGCACTCGACGCTGAACACGGGCATCCATAGAGTTTTGGTCAAAGTACATGGAGTGCTCCCCCTCATATGTGGGCTGCGGGGTTGAGGCCGTAGACTGGTAGCCAGACGGAGGGGGGGAGTAGAAATCGGTCGAGTTCAGCGACGATCCAATGGGAGGAGTCTGGGCATAGACATGACTGAAAGGACCCGAGGTCACCAGGGGCGACTCGGTGGGTGAGAAGGCAAAGTTCTGCTGGAAGGGTCCGGCAGAAGTCAGGATCGGGTCATCATTGAGATGGTCGTTGAGGTGGAAAGTATCGAGATTGAAGGGAACGCCGGGAGAGGTATGATTATTGGAGGGGAAGGCGGAATGCGGCTGGTCCAGGCTGTAGTCTGGCATCATGGCAGTGTCCAGTTCGTGGTCATTATGCTGTCCCAGTAGATTGGACGTTGGAATGACTTGAGGGGAAAACTCCGCGGGTCGCTTGCGGGGTGCCTGAATTGGACGTTGTTAGCCGATCAATCTCTCCTCCTATCTGTGGGACGAGAGAGGCTAGCGAGTATACTAACCTTGCGTTCGTCTACACTAGTCTTCCGCACACGACGCTGCACATAACCAAACTCGTCGTTGCGACGCAGGTCCTGTGGGGGATGGGGCAAAGACGCAGGAACGAGGGGATTGTGCGATAGGTGCTGGTCCTTGCGGCCCTTGATGGGAATGCCCGAGGGAGCGGCCGATTGCGAGTTGCTGTTGCTGTTGCTGTTGCTGTTGTTGTCGGCGGTAGCAGTAGGAGACGACTCCTCGATGCCAGCAGGCGAGCCAATCGAGGAAGGCACAATGAATTCGTCGAGGTTCATGAAATCCGCGGCGGCATTGCCCAGGCTGGCCTGGCGAAGTTGAGCGATTCCACTAGGAGCGGGCTTCTTAGGCGCCTGCTGGACGGAAAGACTGGAATATTCAAGTGCGGTCAGCAAATTTAGGCCCGATGCGTGTGTACTCGCGGGGCGAATAAGGGGGGAGAGAGAAAAGCAAGAGAAGCGAGGAACAAGCGACAGAGAAGGTAGCGTAGAGGGGACAGAGATAAGGCAGGATTCGACGATGATAACAGCACGAGCTAGCGTCCTGCAGGCTGGCTGCAGCTGCGGTGCCATTCATCTGGACCATTATTTTCTGCGATTCGCAGACAGGGTTTGAAGGACACAAATGTCGATATGTATTGGTATATAAAAAGCTTACCGATGCTCTGCTCGCTCTCTTTCCTGCCGCTTCAGACTCATGGCCATCATCCGCCAGGTCAGATTCTCCATGCGCTCTTGATTGGGCAATTGCGATTTGGTCCGCGAGTACAGTTTCCATATCTGCGTTGCCAAAGGATCCTTTCGCTGCATTTCGTCGGGGCTGTCCACCGCATCGCGAGGGGCGCCATCTTGCCAGTCCGGGAAGACGGAGTCGCGCAGCAGCGCCCCTTTGGCGCTGCCGTCTTGGATGGGGAAATCCAGTTTGGCGGTTTGTGCCAGAAGGAAGTGAGAGGGGGGCGGGGGTTAACAAGAAGAAGGGACAAAAAAAATTTTATATATATTCGCTCCCCTCGTCCAGAAGAAAAGGAAGCCCGCGCGCGGGCTAGACGAGGGACAAGGGCGGCGGAAGGGAAAAATGGAGGAGGGAAACAACAGCCAAGGTCAGCGGCATGCGAGGAGGGGAGAGCATAAGAAGGCACACAGAGACACACACGCACACACACACGCGCGGAGAAGCAGCCCTCGCACGACAGGAACCCAGTGTGTGGATAGGAATATAGGGATAGAAATAGAACAGATGAGAAGAACAGTATTAAATGCAAGCTGCTGCCAAAAGGGCTCTCGCCAGGGAAAATTGGATTGAGAGACCGCGGCGGCGAGAGAGGCAGTTGCGAGTGATCTCAGACGGGGCAAACTCTGGGTGGTAAGTACCGTACCGCATACACCGTCAGCGTAATTCGGTTTCACCCGACGTGCCGCACTGCTGGTAATGAATGCCCCGCACACGCGCGGCCTGCCATTGGCCGGGCGGAAGTCGCTGGTGGGTCTAGACTCAGGACTAAGCGTGCGCTAGGCTGGGGATGGCTTAGCCTCAAATACGGCGGTAATAAACTGGAGCGTCGTTGACACCACATTATTATTCAACCCAGTCAGTTAACTAGTTAGTTGCTGTAGGTGTCTACGACAAGTCGACTCCATGTCCGGATATAAGAAACACGCCAAAGGCGGCTGGGTTTGTCGACAACTTGATTTGATTTGATTTGAATATAAAGAGCGGCGTGGGGAATCCTAGGCGGTCGTGGGGGTCATCTAGCTTATTGTATAGTCCTCTCTACGCGATCTCGAGATAAATTTATAATAATTTTGATGTGCATGCATCTCGAGATTAATATAAATGAACTCTGCCAACTCTATTTGGCATTGCTTGACTCTGAAACAGCGCTGGGACCATGCGATCAACAGTGTGCCTCCTCTAGGTATAATAAGTTCCTATATCCTGGATATATAGCTAGCGTACGTACGCTCCAGACTCTGGTACCCACGATACCTCCCTCTAGCCTACGGAGCACTAGCCAGTGCTCCGTGAGACAGCATTGACCTCCTCATTTCTCACATGCAAAGCTACTTTAGCTTGGAGACAAAATTTCCGCATCTGTGCTGTGTTCCGACACGAATCGGCATGCCTTGGGAGGGGGCATCGGTCCGACTTGGACCTCGTGGTGGCCTAGACTAGTGACTTTTGAACTCCACTGCGTCCTGGCCGTGGCAGTGGCGATGTGGGGAGACGATGATCTTTCATTTGTCGCGTTGGGTGTTTCTTGATTTTGCTCAGCAGCATTAGGCTATTAGCCGTACTAGTGCTATAGTATGTATAGTAGGTATATCTATCATAACGACGTAGTTATAGCTTATTATATTATATTATAGCTGGACACAGCGTGATAGAAGGCATGTAGGCGGAAGTAAGTGTTTTAGGACGTGCAGCAGAAGTGGACCTGCCAAGAAATGCACGCTATTGGCCACGGCAAATACTACCACATCAATGACTCGCTCAGCCGCTTAGCGCTGCGTTCTCAGGCTGGGAAGTATACACAGGACACCTATTCCCTGTTCTCGCAACTATGCTGCGTCTATCGATCGAACAGGCTGATATGCTACGTATGCCGTTACGCATGCTCTGTATGCATAGGGTTACTATATTGTAATATGTTATTGCGGCAGTATGCCAGACTAGCCCGTTCCAGCTAGACCATACTCCGTACGCAACAGTACCGTACCGTACCGTACCGAACGTACGCTACGCGCCGTACACTTAGTGGCTGCTGGGACTTTGTCTCCATCCATAGACAGCCTGCGAGTGAACCGTTGAAAGGTAGAACAGTAAACTCTGCTGCCAGGGAGAACGAGTCCGAAATCCTCCGATCTGGGCGACAGAGTCAATGAATTACTATACCATATGAACATACATATATACACATATATATATATATATATATAAGTATGTATGTATATGTGCGTATATATCATGGATCTATGTGTATGTACCTGCTATAGCAAATCTAGTTATATGATGGGTTATATTATATAATAATATCATAAAACAAAACTCGGTGCATTCCGATCGAGCGCGGTAGCCGCTTTAATATTTTCTTTTTCGCAGACATGTCTTGCATACGAAGACTATAGCTGTAGCAATATAAATAAATAGACACGAGTAAACGACCCCGCGTGGGTAAATTAAATTAAACGGAGCACTCCGTACCGTATAAGCCTGCCCTTGTTTTTTTTCTTTTTTTTTCACTCCTTCATGCAACGAACTGAACACCAGGCACGATACCTAGGTACTTAAAAAAAAGAATTCACCTACCTGGGAATTCCTACACACATAATATAACATATAACCATAGAATGATTGACGTATACGGAGAACTCCGAACTGCGCAGCAACACCGTCACCCACTCACTCACTAGTACGAAGGTTGCGTATTATGGAGTACCGACAAACCCACCAATCACGGTACGCGCATTTGCATTCGCCTCGTTGGAATTGATCCTTTTTCTTTTCTTTTTCTTTCTGTTCTTCCTTTTTCGCGTGTTGCGGGTAAAAGGGTATTCGCCACATACTCCGTACCATAGAATCATGGGTCTGATTGGATGTGACGGTATCGCCACCTCTTTAAAAGACTCAGATCTGCGTGTTGCCGTAATTGCCCGATCGGGTAAGCCGGTTGGTTGGTGTCGACTTGGATGTTCATTGTTGGGAACATTCGAGGGGATGTCGCGTGACCTGTTTGTTCTTGTCTGTATGTATTCGATGGTCCATGTCCATATAGATTATGATTATATATCATCGTCCATGTTGTGTCTCAGTGTATGTCGTCGTATCCATCACGTGATACATAGGGCTAGGGCTCGAATAGTCACAGCTCACAAGACAGTGGGAAAAAAGAAAGTAGATCTGAGCAGGAACCACACCAGTATTTATATCCAACTCAACCGACCTAGGTAGCATATCTATCTACCTATCTATGCAGGTGGATTGCATCAAAAAGACAAAGATAAACGCAACGCCTACTTTAGGCATAGAACAGATAAGCCGAACAAATCACAGCTGCCTATTTCGTATATTTCGTGCAAGATTACGGAGTAGATTAAAAAAAAATTCGATCTCGGAATCGAGCACGTCAGTCATATCATATCTATCATCAGACCAATGGTTTGACTTTTTTTTTTTTTTCTTGATCCTCCCAACCGGCGATAGCGAGACGATAATTTGCTGATCCCCTTGGATTACCAGATAAGAGAATCCTAATCTTGATTCTGGTGTCGTATTGACTATCTATTGGCATGGCACATAGATAACTGCGTGCTTGGAAAATTGGGGCTGAGTTAGGGCACTGCACTGCCCTAGACTACACTATACACTACGTGGTCGATGCAAGCTTGCATTATCTTTTATCTTGTCTATCTGTGGGTTTGGTGCGTGAGAAGGAAAAGAAATGAGGGAAAAAGATAGGACGATCATCTGGATGGATTCAGTTTTCTTATCTTTCTGTCTTTCTTTTCTAAGATGATATTCTCAATTCATGTAAGTCGAATGACATCTCTTCATATCATCTCAGCGACCTCTTGTCTGATATGGCCGGCCGACGCCGATGAGATAGATCTACCCATCTACTTACTTACCTGGCACCCTGCATCGTCTGACTTGTCTATGTGGCGTGTTGAGTGTTGATAAAGATAGTGTGGCTGGACATGACTGTCACCTTCCAAGGTTGGAAGCATGCCCATAGTCAAGGCTTGACCGCTCTTCTCCTTTCGAATTCGTCGATAAGCAGCTTGTCGTACTTCCTGTGAAGGCAACAACCCGCATTGGCAATCACATTCTACCGTGCATCCGTGTCTGAACAACCTGGCATTATCTGACCTGGCATAATCTGAGGACACGTACAACGTACGACTTAAGCACTGGATTGGAGTCGATGAAACTCGGTACAGGAAGGATTAACTCACTACTATATACAATCACAACCCTCTCATCCTCATCACACTCATTCACCAGGCAGCCTAACATCCTCCCACCCCCTCCCACTGCCATCCCCAATCCCATCCGCACTCGCATACCTCCCAATCCCCCTCCACTCCGTCATATTAACCCATCCAATCTGCTGCAAATCCCCAAACCCGCCTACCCAATACGCCTGCGTCACGACCAAACGTGCCCAAAACCCACGATGCGGACTATCCTCCTTCCCCGGCAGCCACACCCGCGCATCCGGATGAGCAGCGAGGAAGCATTCTTCCAAAGACTTGCTGCTGCCGTCTTCAATACGCTCAACATACCCTAGCAGCGAAACCCGCGGTAAACCAGCCTCGCTAAGCGGGAAGTCGGGGTATACAGGCTCTGTGCTATTCAGATGTGTCCACCAGTCAATCGACAGGCTGACGTTGGAGCCCTGCGCGGCATTGCGGAAGGTGGTCGAGACATATAACCCTAGGAAGATAGGGTTGCCGTTGTTGATGTTGCCATCATAATCATCTTCCTGAGTGCCGGAATCAGAGGCAGAGCAGTCGGCAATGTATTCAGGTAGACTGATGGGGACTCCTTGTAGATCAGCCGGGCCGGAAGAAGAAGATGATGATGATGGTTGTTGGTACACCGTTGACGCAATGCCGATAGAAGACTTTGCGAGCAGGCGACGCGCAAGAAGCGTAGATGTGAACCATGAAGGACGGGAAATCCCCTGCTCTTCGGGTTGTGTTGTATATCTCAAGGACGAGGAAGATGATAATGGAGCTGCTGCCGCCAGCGATGTAGTCGTAGTTGTACTCGTAGTTCCACTGCTACCACTGCTGCTGCCTCCAATAACTGCGTCTTCGTGCACAACATCCGAAACAAAGTTCTTTAATGGATCGTCATGGCCGCCGAAGCCCGCGAGAGAAGCCTGTTGCTGGTTCAGGTATTCCTGCGTGGGGAACGGCGTGGCCAGAACAGCGAGGAGACATAGTGATAACTTGAGTAGCGTTACGATGCTGCTACGTGCCATGGTGAATGAATAGAAAAGAGGAAGATGAGATGGGAAGTTGTCGCTGCAGAGGGCGGAATGAGGTAATTAAAATACCTACCGCGGCAGGTCAACTGACTCGATCAACTACGGTCTCGGCTTATCAATCTTATCTGATCGCGCTACGCCGGATTGGTCTGCAACACCTTTTTGCCCGTTTATACCTCTACTCGAATCGGTACTATGTATTGGAATATTCACTTCACAGATCAATTGAGTTATGTATTGCTATTCGCTAGTTAGTGGTTAGTGGTAGCGGATTACTGCTATATCTACACCCCATGCTTTCAAGTGCATGCCTCATGTCCACTTTGGTCAAGTTGTTGAGGGATAAAGAGAAAAAGAGAAACACGATGACACCAAACCCGTTGCAAAGAGAAAGGGAAACAACATTGATGGACTCCGAGAAATGCTGCTCGCCTTCGGACCGATTCCCCACTCCTATAAAACGAGAATGCAACCGGATGAAGAAAAAGGAAAAAGAACGAACCAGACCATGCCACCACGCCACCACACTCCGTGTCACAAAAACAGCTGAAAGAAAAGAGAGAGAAAAAAAAAGAGGTAAACACGAAATAACAAAATAGTTAGGTTGCAAATAAAATGCTTGCGTACTTCATACAAGATGTCAGGTTTGCCGACCTAGGACATCATATTCATAATCGTGTGTGCGAATGACGCCAAGACATGCCTGAAAATCTCAAAGAGCAGATCATGCATATATATGTATATATATATACAAACGCTGTCAAGATATCAGCATGGCAACTACGGCTCATTGTTCCAGGAGATGAGAAGATCTGCCAAGATCTTATCACGTAAATATAAAAAAAAGGTAGGTAGGCTTATTTCATCGATGCCGTTGGTTGTATGTGGGATAAGAGATGATTGCGAACTTCAGCACTGCAGCACGCTCGCTTAACGCCACCCTTCTCGGCAGGAACAGGGATAGGTAGCTGAATAGAGCTTAGACCACGATCTGAGGCATTCTTAGATATTAAGAATGATCTGGCAACCCTTTCGTCTGCCAAAACATGGTCTTCTCCATAGGCCGAGGACATTAAATGGCGAACATTGCTCTGCAGAATTTGATCCTCCGAAGAAGTCCTTCCTCGCTTCCTGCAAGTTCTGTTCTTATCTACCTTGTCTGCAGGAGAGTGCGGCCGCAGAAGAGCGCCTGACAGCTCGCACAACCCTTGGGCTGCTTCATGAGTTGTCATGTCCACAGGTGTATTCAAAGAAAAGTTTGAAAGATCTGGTACTGTTCCGCATATCGCTGCTTCAGTTTCAGGAGAAACACAAACACCGCCAAGAGAGGTCTCGTCAATGGGAGAATGTATAGACAGGTTCTTCCGGCATTCCTTCAATGACATCGCAGCGCAGCGACGAGTCGCCGTGACAGCCAGTCTTGACTGGCTTGGCGCGCAAGTCGCAGAGCCACATGATGAGATGGAGGAAGACCTTGAAGAACGAGACGATATTGTCGACACATCCGAAACCATTGAATCAGGGGATGAGGCAGAAGATGTAGAGCGTGCCAGAGACGACCGACGGGTCAAAGGTGGAAATCCTTCAGTACTAGCAGGCTTGTTGTTGCTCGCGAATGGGCGTGGATCCAACGCCATGCGTGACATGCACATGTTTTGAGCCTGCGACATGGCAGACACAAACGATGGTCGCCTCGAACAGGGACCGCGAACACTCACTGCAGGAGTAGAAGCGGCGCTAGATTGAGGCGTCAATTGCGGCGTAGGTAAAAGCCCAAGCTTATGCAGGGCAGGGAGGGTCGGGTTTGAGCAATCGGAACGAGGGCTGGGCTCTAAAGTAGGAGCGGAGCGAGGGCAAGCTGGAGCTTGCTGCTCGTTCAACGAACATGACGAAGAGACACTTCTGTCGCGAGATAAAGAACGTGGAGGCGAAGGAATATCAGCTAGAATATCCGAGCCGAACATGCCCGAAGAGTTAGTAGGTACCACGTCAACCGTGACCAGCTCCGGGGTTAGTTTTGGAATCAAAGTCTTCCAGCAATCGTCGGGATTGGAAGACGCGGTTGGGCCCGGCGTATATTTCAGAACAATGTCTGTCCATCGGTGATAGACAGACTCCGGGACGTGAAGTTGCCAATCTACTGCTTGCAAGAACATCATCTCGTTCTGATTGATCTCTTGGGTCTGTAGGCCCGAGATCTTACTCCAAGCACGAGCCGAATAGTTTCGGTCCTGCAGATATTTCGATGCAAGAATGAGCGCGGCGAGGAACATCCGTCGACCGCACTGCATCGCTCGACAACTAGGGCTATCGCGAGATTGCTCCATGGTGAAATCACTGTTCGGGACATGTGGTCGGATCTTGACAAGGTAGTAAAGAGCGACCTGTAAAGTACTATAGCTAGTACGAGACCTTCGCAGAGTTTCTTGAATGAAAGTGCGAAGGGGCAAGACACCCTTACAGCCAAGAGACTCACTCCGAACAGCAACCACTGACAGTGGCCAGATTGTCTCGACAATTTGTGATGCGGAGTCTTGCACAGGAATTCAGCATGAGACGATAGCACGAATCAAGAAAGGACGTTGATTAGATTATAAACTTACCGACCAAGTTGTCGACAAAGGAGATCTTGCGATCGCATTGTCGCACGAGCGGCGGAGGCAGCCGAGGACACGCAGTGGATGCACCATTAGAAGCAATAGCAGGGCAAGCTGTACGTCTAGGATGCTTCCTAAGCTCTGCAGGCACTGCGCAGTCTGCAGCTTTAGAGGGGCATTCTCTTAGGCTAGCGCGCAAACAATGAGATGCATTTTCAGAATGGGACAAACCGCGACCTGATGATTCTCCCGACTCCTCGTTTTCCCAGATGACGTCAACAGCGGTCGTCGAGGACGAGGAGATTGAGCTCTGAGTAGAGACGCAATCTAGCGAGAAGATCGAGGAGGAGGAGGAGGAAGAAGCTGAAGAGCTCATAGAAGATGAATACGGATAAGAAATTACCGTCTTCCTCTGTTGACCTGGGTCAGAAATATTCAGACCCAAGACGTCTGACCCTGGCATATTTGACATTTGAATCAAATCTTATACACTTGCTTCGTAGTTCCAACGCACTAGACCGCGTTGTGTCTGTGTGCTAAAATTTGAATGCCGGGGGAGGACGCTTTTTGTTTTAACCGTGGGTATCAATTAGACCGTTTCGAAAATAACCAGGAAGGAAAACCGATAGACAGCCGTCTTTTCAAAGGCGACGGTGGGCCTCAAACAGTGTGATGGTACTCCAGTGTCTCAGGTGGATTGAAGGGCTGAGATTAACTCAACGCTCAATTGAGGGTATTGAGAGAATCGGAGAACCGAGAGTCGGGAAAGATATTAATAAGATGCGAGTATGCAGTAAACCGACCACCGTATATACACGTTTTGAGTCGACGTCAGAAGGGTAAAGCGGAAGGAGCAAAAGAGTCGTGGTTACTCCCGATATTGTTCAAGACACGAGGCGAGTATGGTTGCTTAAGAGCGTGCGGTGGTCTTGTTGGACTTTGGTAGATCTGACGAAGAGTAGACGGTAATACAGGTGATCGGTTCAGTAAAAGCTTCAACAATAGCGTACATTTTGATAACGACGAGCAAGGGTGGTTTCGTGGTAGAGTCGTGGCAAAATAGACAGGTTATCTTTTTAACAAACGGAGCGCTTGTTAAAAGTGAGTCAGTAGTCTATAAACGGACTCTTGTCACAAACCATCGGAGCACGGCGGAGCTAGTGGTATGACAATTGAGAAAGCGCGCGTCAAAGCGGTGCCAGCTAAGGTGGTGGAAGATGTCACACAGATTAGCAAGGGTATTTGAGATTGGCAGCACCGGCAAGGCAGGTGATTGATTGATATAGCAGAGCTTGCGGTTGGCCACTCAGTCCTGACTGATTGGGCGACGGGCTTTGCTGTCAGGTACCAGACAAAAGAATGGCGGGGCGGGCGGCGACAGAAGAGGACAGAAGTTATACAAAGAAGGGCATTATAAAAAAGATGATGATGATGATGATAAGTGTGTCATAGCAGGCAGCGGTGACTCAAGTTGGACTTACTCAGGTTGGCTGGGCACCGGGCTGGGGGTGGCGAGTAACTAGCGCGGCGATGCCGGGTGCCTAGAGCTTGGGGCGCCAGTTGGGTAGAGGCCAAGCAACGAAAAAAAGAGAGACAACTAAATGTCTGGAAGAACTGGGACAAGAACAAAAGGAGCAAAGCCAGAGATGGTTCTCGCTGATGGACCAGAGGCAGAGGGAGGCAAGGTCAAGGTGAAGGTGAAGGTGAAGAAGGTGAGGCCTAAAAAAGAGGGTCAGTGAGGATGAGTCGAGAAGGAAGGAAGGGGGCAGTGACTGGGTGGCAGGGCGAGGCAGGAGGCAGGGACGGACACCGGTACGGTATGGGCAGTGTAATTAAAGACACGGTGGAGGGCCGGGCAGGGCTGTGAGCGGTGCACCCAGTCTTTTCCGGGAGGCAAGGCCAAAAAAACCAATACGCCCGCCGTACTAGCGGTAAGGACCGCTTATTAACAGAAAAAGAGAAAATTGGGCAGTCTCACGAGATCACGAGCGTTGGACTCCGCTAAGAACACTGGGTTATCCAACCAGAAACAAACAAAAAAGCAACAAATTATTTGCCGCCGCTCAGCAGCAGCAGGCAGCAAAGGAGGCGAAAAACAGAGCTGTCTGTGCGATGCGATGATGCCGTCGAAAGGCCGATCGGAGGAGCCACCATAGGCTCCCAAATATCAGAGATGGATTTCAGATGGCAACGGTCCCGGCGGGGCACTGACTGGATCGGGAGGAGGCGAGAACAAGAGAAAAGAGCAAGAAGCAGATACGATAGCCAAATGATAAGAATAAAACACCAAGGAGATTAAGATCAATATCTGTACAACATGGGAAGAGGAAGTACGCGAATCAGTGCTGCTCTCGCAGACTCTCGGTATAATTCGACGGGGTCATTGCGAACGGTAATGGCTGGGGGCGAGGAAGAGAAAGAGAGAAGAGGAAGAGACTGACTGCAAACGGTGGGATATATTCGTCCATCGCAGGCAGCAGCAACGATGTATGGGATGGTGGTAATGCGAGGTACGGAGTGCGTACCACTCTGCGCCAGATGCGGGCTGCACGCTGGTGAGTTGGCTGTATCGGTACCGTCACAAACTTACCCGCGAAGCCGTGGATTCGCTGATGCTTCCAATCTGCGTGTTCAGGGGCTAGGCTGGACGCGGCTAGCCTGGGGGGCCCGTGATTGGCCGTCCACAGTCCAAGTCGAGCGACCCGCTGTGTGGTGGACCAACCACGTCACTGCACGCCATCTGCAGTAGCGCCACCCACGCTCGATGCCCATGGACGCACCGGGCCAATCACAGCAGAGACAATATTAAGCTGTACATCCTAGTATACAACTCCCAAGCTACGTTATTCATCATTTGACTTTGCTTATCTAACTGCAAAACTGATCCGGAATAAGGCGCTGAGTCACTGGTTTACATATATATATATATATATAACCAGCCCTTTTTTCAGTTCGTTAAGATAAACCGGCCGTATGACCTAATCCCACTAATTGATGGCATTTGCGGCTGCGATGTGTACCAATCAACAGCGTTCCAACAGCCCGGAGACTCTCTGACTGAAACTCTGCTGTTCGTCACGATGGACAAATGTGAATGGGCTGACTCGGAGCGTGTGGGTCGGGAGGACTATGACTCAAAGCAAAGTCGCCGCCTCGCGGAACGGATTTACGGATCTTCGATTCTCTCGTATCTTCTTTTGATTCTTAGCAATTCGTATCTAATAGTCTATGGCATGGGGTTGAAGTTATCATCTACTATCCAAACAACAAAATCATTCTACTATCAGATCTGCTATCTATGGATCAGTTATAGGTAAGGCGCGGTGAACTCGAAATCTCATTGGTCCGTTTTTGTCCAGCCAATAGCATTCCTCGATGCTTATACCCAAGGAGCCAATGTAGAAGATAGAGTGCCTCGCATCAATCGAGTGCGTGCTATAGTTAGATGTCCTACCTATAATCAAGGCATGCAAACAAAGGAGGATATTCGCTCTTATTCTTCCACTGGGCCTGTCGCTGAAACTCAGGAGGTTTCTATTATTAGCATCATATCCCACGACGGTGCTTAGAGTAGATATGGCATTGGAAGTCTAGATAATAGGGCAGCAAGAGACGGCCTTTTCTAGCATTAAATAGACGTTATGAATGTGAAATAGGTTATACCCAGATGCCTTGAAGAATAATTGTATACTACCAGGTATCAAAACACCTGCATATATGTGTATATATATATATATATATATATATATATTTCTTTTCGGTTTGGCTCCTGCCCGCAAAGACAAGCACCGGTGCACCTTAGGAACAGTATCTCACTAGGAAACTGTACACGCTGCCGAAATAACCTCATTAATAGGCCTTTTCAGCTCCGAGGACTTTCTACCGACGAATTCCTTGTGCTCCCAAAACTGACCCGAATCCGGACCCCCATCTGGCTTCTTCCACTCAGACCGCGGAGGATATGGCGACTTATCAAACAATAAACGGAGCTCAAATCTTGGGCTTAAATGATACTGGCTTTTTGGGCCCTCGAGGAACCAAGGCACCATAAAGTTGCCTCTCTCGAATCGGACAGTATACAACTTGGGCTCAAAGGCCGCGTCTGTGAGACTATGTTCATTGACTAGGGTGTTTCTTGCCAATGTCGATGTTCGCGTCCATTCTGGCAGTCGTTTGACAAGGGTTATTTCGAGGTTGAGTTGTCCGAGGAGGGCCGGAGAGGCTTTTGCTGTTTTGAGTGATGATTCAATTACGGTCGGGTCAAGTGGTGGCTGCTTGATGCTCTTCCATGTGAAGTCTGCGGCAATCCAAACGACTAGTTCGCAGCGACACCATAGCTTTTATTTCAGTCAGCTTCATCTGTATCTGAGTTCTTGGGGCGGGCCAGACATTTCAAGTTGTCTGGTTACACACCTCGCCCGTGCCGTCCTGGTTGAACTTGATTGTCCGGCCATCGCTGTCGTAGCTCCACTCGTCCTCGCCAGAGAGAATAGAGCAGAGTGCTTCGTTCATGTCGTTTGGTTAATGAAGGCGCTGCGTGGTGTAGACCAGGTGGCATGGCGCCAGGCAAACTCGAAACGTGATTGGCCGGAGTGTTTTTGACCCAACTAGCTAATAGGATCTGCCGGCTGCTTAACTTGAATATCATTAACTCCCAAGTTTCAGCAAAACATGTGAATAGTTGTCCAAACATGTTATACAGTCAAGTGCAGGCCTAAGATAAAGAAGGTATCTTGGTGAATTTCCACTGAACTTGTGAAAATTTGGGCTGCTCCTGTTAATATTAGCGCCGTGTCTAGTTGTGAGCAGTCAATATACTCCTCTCCTGAATGTCTAAAACGTAGACTGGATCAAAATGATAAAGATATGTGTGAGGTTCTTGAAAAGGAATCATGTGAAGTCTGTTTCGACATCCTTCCATGATGGACATCCCTGACTTCCTACGTGTTACAGACTGCTGTTTCCTTGATCCAATTAGTGCTCTTTCTATGCAAGAGGCATGACATACATCAAACTTGCAGGGCCTTTCCGATCCAAAAAAAAAAAAAAAATAAAAAAAAAAAATAAAAGAGAGAGAGACTAGCCAAACAGACATCAACAGGCTGTTTTCTTTGTTGGTTCCAGCTTGTCACTGACAAACACACGATTGACTGCCCTGAGCTGCCCCACTCGCTTCTCTGACTGCAGCGTGTTTGTTGACAGCCTTGTGTGAAGAAGATACTTATTCCAAACCTCTTTTCTGTCACTGCAGACAGGCTGTCTTCCTTCTCGTCAAGCATACAGGTGCAATATGCGTGGACTGTGATCGTCATCCGCCATCTCCAGCGTGTCCTGCCTCCCTCACAATGGAGGTGTTTTGTCGGAATGTGCCTGGCCAGCTCAAACATCATCATCTGAAAAAGGAGCTCACACCAATCTTAGCAGAGCTCGACATCATTGCCTTTGACTGCCGAGTCCTCCCCAGGGGCCACGCAATAATCACGATTGCAGATACTGTAAAGGCCAACCGATTGCTCAGCAAATATCCACGCGTCCTCAAAGGGCAGAGGCTTCCAGAGCATCGCCTGCTCAAAATCCGCGGCACAACTATCTACATCGAAGAAGGAAGAAACAAGCCAGACCAGTTTCTTCTCCTATCACTTCTAGAGGAAGAAACACAGCGCCGCAGTCGACCACGCCGCCCTCCGTCCGTCACTAGCGACGCTGACTCGCAGAGACCGAAGAAATTCCACATTAGCTCCTTGTCTTGCGGTACCTTTGACTTTAGTGAAACCAAACCTGTCTTCATTGAGCAATATGGAATGCATATGCCAGGAACCATTCACTTCGGGCCAACGAAGCTGACAATCACTATGGCGAGCCCCGAGAATGGCGAAAAGAATCTCAAGCTGGAATTTGAATATTGGTCTATCTTTCATTCAATCTACGTGAGCGATTATGGGCACACAACAGTGACCTTTAGCTGCAACTATGCCCCTCGTTTGTACGAAGCACCCATCAAAAATCCACTTCGAGTGACCTTGGCCACTTTGCTACGCGGTCGTCCTGCTGCTGTACGCGAAGAGAAAAAGAAAAGGCTGGGCTTTCTCGAAAACTCTCACAAATATGTAGTCGCTACATGCTTTGTGTATCGTGTGATGCTCACAAACCCACATGATGGTGCCAGCATTTGGCGTCTGGCCCGCAACCCCAATAGGCCACAGCTGGTGAGGTGGAATGAGACCCCTGTGCGACCGTATGTGTCTTATCAGGATCAGCTACCCCGGTTTATTATCACTTTGCGCGATGTTCCCATCTCGTTTGTCGTCAAGTTTCAACTTCAAATGCTGGTATGGAACGGCGAACTACCGATGCGAAAGGTGCTCCAGCTCATCCCATATATAAATGAGCTTTTGTTGAGAAAGAAGCCACTAGTGGTAGCCAAAATCCTCAAAGCTCTTCCAAGAAGACTTGTTCATCCGGACCCTAACGCGGACAGTGCTAATGTAAGCGTCGAAAACATCATTGAGACCCTCAAAGAGATCGAGGAATTTCAAACCCTCGAGTACATACAACCAGGACAGCCGGGATATTTGTATCATAACCAAATCGAGATTCACAGGGCCAGCGTCACTCCCACGGGGATATACCTGGATGGGCCCAACTGCGAAGCCCAAAATCGCGTGCTCAGAAAATACCGACATCACAGCGATTACTTTCTGCGGGTTAGATTCATTGAAGAATCGGGAGATCCTATGGTGTATGACATCAGCTCGAACTTGGATGTCATCTTCAATGGTCGTTTCCGCGAGGTGTTGAGAGATGGAATCGTCATTGCGGACCGCCACTATCGATTTCTGGGATTCTCTCACTCCTCCTTGAGATCACGCACTTGTTGGTTCATGGCAGAATTTAATGATGTGTCTGGCGAGCCCTTGAATGTCGAGAAACTGATTTCAAAATTGGGCGATTTTAGTCATATCAGATCTCCCGCAAAGTTTGCGGCACGGCTGGGTCAGACCTTCTCCGATACTTTGACTTCTATATCAGTTGACAGGCAGATGGTGACGAACATAAAGGACGTGGAACGCAATGGAAGGGTCTTCAGTGATGGCTGCGGCACGATATCGAAAGAGATCCTGTGGAGGATATATCGTGATTATCCTCGTAATGCTGCCGTTCGTCCTACGGTGTTTCAAGTGCGGATTTCTGGTATGATTAATTCTTTATTACTTAAAAATTCTTCAGAGACGATGCTAATATGGCCCTTAAAAACATAGGTGCCAAAGGAATGCTCTCCTTAGACACGACCCTAAAAGGTCCGGTGATATGCCTGCGGGATTCAATGATTAAATTCCAGGCAGAAGCAGATAGCAACATTGAAATTTGTTCCTCGGGCATCAACAAACTACCCTGTTATCTGAATGCACCACTGATCAAAATCCTCGAGGATCTTGGAGTGGCTCGTGATCTTTTTCTAGAATTGCAGCGAAAAGAGGTGGAGGTTCTTCGACAGACTGTTCGCTCTCCACAGCAGGCAGCCATCTTTCTAGACCAGTCTCACACTGCCAAGTCGACTCGCTTGTCATGGTTGATTGCAACGTTAAAATCGTTGGGACTGCATTATGTACATGACAGCTTTCTCAAGAGAGCAGTCGAGCTTGCGATTCTCATAAAGCTGAGGGATCTCAAATATAAAGCGAGGATCCTCGTCCCCAAGGGTGTCACCTTGTACGGTATTATGGATGAGACGGGTATCTTAAAGGAAGGCGAGATATTTGTCCCTGTACTCAACGAGGCAAACCATCGAGAGATACTTGTCCATGAGAGAGTAATCGTCACTCGATCCCCGGCATTTCACCCCGGTGACGTCCAGCTCGCCAACGCCGTGGACGTGCCTGAGGATTCTCCATTACGGAAACTGCACAACTGTGTTGTTTTCAGTCAACATGGTGCCAGAGATCTACCCAGTCAGCTCAGCGGTGGTGACTTGGATGGTGATTTGTTCAACATTATTTATGACGATCGATTCCAGCTTCACCACATAGCGAGACCAGCCGATTACCCCCGAGTCGCTGGCACTGTCCTAGATACGCCAGTCACAATCGAAAATATCAAGGATTTCTTCATCAATTTTATGCGCCAGGACCAGCTTGGTCGTATAGCTACCACTCACAAAATCCTTGCTGATCGGGAGAAAGCCGGCACGTTCGATCTGAAATGCTTGAAACTTGCGGAGCTGCATTCGACAGCTGTCGATTTCTCGAAGACAGGGACACCTGTGAGTTTACCCAACAAGAAAAAAAGCGATCAAATAAAGGGAAAATCATGGTGCTAACACAGTGCAAAGGTCGACGTAACACAAATACCAAAATATCTCCCCTCCCGACCAGATTTCATGGCTCCGGGACCCCGCGTACGAGTCGCAGAGAGCATCGAGGTAATCGACAATGGAAACGAATACCTCTGGAACGACGATAACAACGGTGGTGTTGGCCTAGACGACGATGACGATGACATTCGGCCGCCCATACGCTATTACAAAAGCCAGCGCGTCTTGGGGTATCTTTACCGCATGATTGACGAGCAGGAATTCATGAATGATTTGAAATGGGAGTCGTTCCACAAGTCTGAGTCTGTTGATGTCCTGCAGTCTCTGTGGGCATATGTGCAGAGAGAGACGGCTGGGTTTGTTTGGGATCATTGCGTCAAGGATGCTAAATACTTCAGGGATATGTATGCTTCCTTGTATACCGAGATTTGTGAGTTCGGGTTTTATATGCATACTGACCAATAATTTTAGCTACGAAGAATCTCTTCAGGATCTGATGTACCAGTACTCTGATTCGCCGTGGAAGACTTCCTTGACCGAGGTGGAAGTGTTCGTCGGCACCATCATGGGCCAAAACCACAAACAAACAGCATACCAGAAAGAATCTTCTCGAGCAATGCGAGACGGTAAGTCAAGCAACCAATTATCCCTTCATGGTCCTCTAATAACATATTCTGCATAGCATACGACGACCTGGTCAAATGGACTATATCTTTAATCACCGGCCAAGGAACGGATAACGAAGTTGAGTCCCTCGAACGGTCCGTGGCTTGTTTCTGGGTATCCCTGGACGGAAGCGCATCGTCAGTGCTTCCAGGGTACAAACAGCTTCGTAGTTTTCCGTGGATTGCCGCGATTACTTGTTTGCAAGAGGTTGAGAAGTTTCAGAGAAGGATGCCTTTCTAGGGGGGGATATTCATGTAGATTGAATAGGGAATGGGAGGGTTG